CCTAGTGGAGGTGATGGAATTCCAGCTGAACTATTGGAAATCCTAAAAGGTGATGGTTTTAGAGTGCTGCACTCAATATGCAAGCAAATTTGGAAAACTCAGCCAAGGCCACAAGACTGGAAAAGGTCAGTTTTCATTCCAATCCTAAAGAAGGGCAAAGCCAAAGAATGTTCAAACTACTGCACAACGCTCATTTCTCATGCTAGTAAAGTAATGCTCAAAATTCTCCAAGCTAGGCTTCAACAGTATGTGAACTGAGAACTTCAAGGTGTACAAGCTGGATTTAGAAAAGGCAGAGGAACCAGAGATCAAATTGCCAACATCTGTTGGATCATCGAAAAAGCAAGAGAGTTCCAGAAATCTACTTCTGCTTCATTGACTATGCTAAAGCCTTTGACTATGTGGATCACAAGAAACTGTGGGAAATTATTCAAGAGATGGGAATACCACATCACCTTACCTGCCTCCTGAGAAACCTGTATGCAGGTCAAGAAGCAACAGTTAGAACTGAACATGGAAAACGGACTGGTTCCAAATTGGGAAAGGTGTATTTCAAGGATGTATTTTGTCACCCTGCTTATTTAACCTATATGCAGAGTAAGTTTATCATGTGAAATGCCAGGCTGCATGAAGCACATGCTGAAATCATGACTGTGGGGAGAAATACCAATAACCTCAGATATGCAGATGACACCACCCTTATGGCAGAAAGCAAAGAGGAACTAAAGAGCCTCTTGATGAAGGTGAAAGAGGAGAGTAAAAAAGCTGGTTTAAAACTCAATAGTAAAAAACTAATATCATGGCATCTGGTCCCATCACTTCATGGCAAATAGATGGGGAAACAATATAAACAGTGATAGACTTTATTTTCTTGGGCTCCAAAATCACTGCAGATGCTGACTGCAGCCATGAAATTAAGAGACACTTGCTCCTTGGAAGAAAAGCTATGACAAACCTAAACAGCGTATTAAAAAGCAGACACATTACTTTGCCAACAAATGTCTATCTAGTCAAAGCTATGGTTTTTTCAGTAGTCATGTATGGATATGAGAGTTGGACCATAAAGAAGGCTCAGCACCGAAGAACTGATGCTCTTGAACTGCGGTGTTGGAGAAGACTCTTGAGAATCCCTTGGAATGCAAAGAGATCAAATTGGTCCATCCTAAAGGAAATCAGTCCTGAATATTCATTGGAAGGACTGATGCTGAAGCTGAAGCTCCAATACTTGGCCACCTGATGCAAAAAGCTGACTTATTAGAAAAGACTCTGATGCTGGAAAAGATTGAAGGCAGGAGGAGAAGGGGATGACAGAGAACAAGATGGTTGGATGGCACCACCAATTCAATGGAAATGATGAGTTGGTAAAGGACAGGGAACCTGGCATGCTGCAGTCTATGGGGTCGCAAAGAGTTGGACATGACTGAGTGACTCAATAACAACAACAACAATAGTCATGGTAGTTGTTTGAAGCTTAGGATGAAGATCTTTCTCAGAGAGTATCTCATCTGTTTTAGACTATGGCGCCATCAATCCAGGATGACTTCAAAATCATGGTTTGGGGACCATGCAGATGATGTGAACTTGAGCTGCAAATTACACAAAAGTTCATGACAGAGGATGAGATGGCTGGATGGCACCGCCGACTCAATGGACATGGGTTTGGGTAGACTCCGGGAGTTGGTGATGGACAGTGAGGCCTGGCGTGCTGCGATTCATGGGGTTGCAAAGAGTTGGACAAGACTGAGCGACTGAACTGAACTGAACAACCTGTAGTTACAACTTCTCAGATACTTCCTTCCAGTCCTCTTAACTTCTCAGTGTCAAGGCAACTTTCCCTTCAGGCCTCTGAGGTTAGAAGTGGCAGATTTGTCATTTTGTTGTCCCAGTTGGATATGGTAGTCTTCTGTGGATTTCCCACCCCCCCCATTCTGGTATTTTTGAAATTTTCTTTAAGATGTTATTCTGTGCCCTAGGTCACAATGGTTTTCTCCAACATTTTTTTTTTTTAATTTTCTAGTCTACCCTTCACATTTTAGTTTTTAATACATTTAGAGTACATCTCTATATGCAGTATTAGAAAGTGATCCAATTTTATTTTTCTCTTTATATTGAGACAATTTTCTCATCACTATCTGCTAAAGAATCTTTTCCCCATTCATTTGTAGAATTCCTTTTTTTTCATATTAAGTAGCCATATATATAGGAGTCCCTTTTGAGTTCTCTATTCTGTTCTATTGGCTTACTTGTTCTTGTTTCTATTACCATAGATGGTAGTGTGTCTTAGCTTTTGGTATAGCAAGTCCTTTATTTGCTCTTCTTTTTAAGGTTGATTTAGCTGTAAACAGACCTTTATTTAGCCACACAAATTATAGATATTTTTTACAAGTCCTTGAAATAGTCCAACTGAAATTTGAATTGGGAATGTATTAAATATAATTTAATTGGGGGAGTACTGACATCTTTATAATCTTAAATTATTCCAGCCAGAGCCTAGAATGTCTCTTCATTTATTCAGATTGTGCTCTATGTCCTTTAATAGAGCTCTAATAGTCTTTTACATGATGCTGTTCTGTCTTTTTAGTTAATATCTTGGTATTGGTCATTTTATTGCAATTGTGAAAAATATCTCTCATTATTTAAAATTACATTTGTCTAGATTTTTTGCTACAGTAGAGAAATGCATTTATAAGACATTTATAAGTTGTGCTTGTATTCAGAAACCTTGGTGAGCTTTCATTAGCTCTGATGGAGAATGTCTTTGATTATCATTTCAATTGCTTTCATGCTTACTGTTCTACTCGATCTATTTTTTCCCCAGTTTTGATGTTATATTTTTTCTAAGAAGTTAACCATTTCACTAGGTATTTCACATTTATTATTACAGTTATTCAAATTATTTTTCTTTTCTCTCTTCTTCTACTTCAATTTTTAAGGAGCTTTATATTTACTTTTGCCTTTTGCCCAGGACCACTTTTATTTTCAGTTTGAGGGCTCCTGACTACACAGGGTGTATAAATTAGAATTTCAAATCAGTATGAGGGTAGATTTTTGGTTAAAAATTTTAAAGAAGGCTTTTTCCCCACCCAGAGTTCAAGCTTCCTTGTCTGGCAATATATATATATATTTTTAAATTTTCTTTTTTTGTCTGTACTGTGTTTCTGTTGCTGCTTGGGTTTTCTCTACTTGCAGTGAGTGGGGGCTACTCTCTAATTGTGGTGCAATGGCTTCTCAATGTGGTGCCTTCTCTTGTTGGGGGAGATGGAGTTCTAAGCATACGGGCTTCAGCAGTCGTGGCTCTTGGGCCTAGTTTCCCTGAGGCATGTGGAATCTTCCCTTACCAAGGACTGAACTGCATTTTTTGAGGAAGGACTTCCCTGCATTGCAAGGCAGATCCTTAACCACTGGACCACCAGGGAAGCCCTGGTGGAATTTTTTTCTAGCTACCTTTTTACCAAGTGTGTAGTAATTTGTGAATCCTGGCTTTTTTCCCCTGGGGTCTCATTTAAATACCACTTCACACAGGTCTTGTCTTTGCCCCCACCTTGCTGTTCCTTCAGTGGCTGACACTGCAAATGACCAAGAGCATTTAAGTATTAACAAGTTTCCATTCTTGTTTCTCAGTTTTCTCCTGATTTTTGGCCTGGAGGTTTCCCTTACTTTCTTGTAAGGAGCTACATTCTGCATTTAAAAAGATGTTTGTTGTATTTTATTCAGCATTACCAAGTGTTTTATAATGGGAGATTATTTTAGGTCTATAATACATAGAGATCATTTTGAGATAAAAATAGAGAAAGGTTATATGTAAATATATCAACTTGTATTTCAACAATAATTTTCCTTTTGCTTATGTTTTTAATCAACAGTCCATTATGGATGTAAATAATGTATCATGAAGTATAAAATCAATTTTAAACTGTCTAAAAGTCAAAACTACCACTGCATCTAGGACTATTCTACTGAGTAATAAACTGAGTTTCTTCATTATCAGCATATTCATGAATTCCCAACTAATTGTCATAGGCTCTTTTAATACACTTTCAGAGACTGATAACCTAATTTAAACAGAAGAAAAAAAATGTTTAGTTGAAATTGTAACAATGTCAATTGTAACAAAGTCAATTCTGCCTTCAAAAGCACCTGGAACACCCTTGCAGAAACACTAGGAGTTTATTACCTACTGGATGGGAAATTCTGACCTGCAGGATGAAATGAAAATCCCATATAAACTGGCTTCCCACTTACTTTTTCAGCTTCATCTTTCACTACTTAGCAAAGATGCATCTGACAGGGACTTCCCTGGTGGTCCAGGAATTAAGAATCTGCCTGCCAATGCAGGGAACACAGGTCCGATCTCTGGTCAGGGAAGATACGATATGCCGTGGGGCAACTAAGCACATGTGCCACAACTACTGAGCTCCTGCTCTAGAGCCAACGAGCCACAACTAGAGAGAGAGGGTAGACCCCACTCTTCACAACTAGAGAAGGCCTGAGCACAGCAACAAACACCCACCACAGCTGAAAATTAATTTATTAAAAAAAAGTACCTGACAATTGTGATGCTCAGTGATAGTCCTGCTTGCCTGGAAGGCTCTTTCTTCACCTAAAAACCTTCTGTTGATTCTTCAAACTCCAGTACAAATGGTAACATCTTTGAGTAATTCTTCCTTTCTCTCCCAGGCAGTTAATCACTATCCCTTTTATGCCCTCACATTTCTATTTGTGTTACAGCATTTACCCCATGGTATTGTAACTTACCTGTTTAGACTTCTCTTTTCCCTACTAGCGTAAGTTCCTAGAACACAGGAATCATATTTATCTCTACAGTTCCAGCACCCCACACATCACATTGAACATAGTACTCAATAAATGATTCAGTATTAAATGAATGAAGTAACTGTTGCTGTCTTTATGAATGCCAACTGTTTATATTTATGTCTATCAATAAAGTCTCTAACCTAGAGCATTACTTGATTTTATTTGTTCTTTTTGTGCCTTTCTAGACTTCAAAGCAGCATATATTGAAAAAGATCCAGAAATTCACAGGTCAGAAAGACCTTTTATTTTTCGGTTCAAGACTAATGACAAATCAACTGCAGGGTCTGCTTTAAGACTTTAACCTGTAATAGCAGGTAGAAGGAGGAAGGTTGAAAAGATTGTGTTATTGGAAGAAATATGCCTACTCTTTCTAGCAACTACACTTCTGAAGAAATGTAAATGGCTTCATAATTCTTTTCATGAATGAAAAGAATCATGAATTCTTTCATTTCTATCCTCATACTTTCTTTCCTAATCTCCTTTTGTGCAAAGCTTATTTAAAATATCAGGAAAGAAACTCTGTGAGAGGGGGTAACTGTGAAGAGTTTGGTGTAGGAAGTTTTGATACCTTTTTTCTCTACCATAGAGACTGGATAATACATATCTTTTCCTCCAAAGATATGTATTTCTCTGTTTTCCTCACTTCTCCCTACCATGATTATTCCTGCTGCTTCCAATGGCTTACATTGACTACATGGTGAAGACAGCACACTGTAGCTTAAAAGAGAAACAAACAAAATGAGACACTGGTTAAATCTGAGCTCTTCCACTAATTAGCCTTTTGATCTTAGGCATGGTTTTGTCTTTGTTTCCTTATTTGCAAAATGAGGGGACTGAACTAAGGTAAGGCCAAGAGTCATAATTTTAATAGATTCTTCACCTCTACTCCCAGATCCACAGTTGGAAAAAAATCTCAGGATGAGTTGCATTGAAGCTAACCTGAAACAGTGAGTAAAATCAATCTTCTCTGTGTCTATTTTTTCTCTCTTCAGCTTACCCTACTGATAAATCCTGTGAAAGTCAGGAGTAAGATACCTGGGATTTTGTTTCACTTCCCTCACTATGATAGCTGTCTCCTTTCTGAGTCTCTTTTTTCATCGTTCTCTTACCAGTACCTTAATATCACTTCAATTACACTAACACACTCTGCTGCACCCAGTTTTTCAGAATTCCCTGTGGGATGGACCCAGGAATATGTACTCTGGTCAATGGACAGGAGTCTTCAACAGATCTTCCAAAACCTGGAAAGTACAAGGTCAGGTGGTTTCTGAGTGGAGGCTGAAAGTGGTAGAGCTTTTAAGAGGGAGGAAGGAAGGCAGTGAAGGAAGGAGGGAGGGAGAGAGGGAAGGAGGAAAAGAGAGGGGGAGGGAGAAGAAAGATGGTTAGTTAGTTTTCGTAGTGGGGCAAAGTTTAAGAAGTCTGTGAATCATTTCTGATTGGAATGGGGACAAATGCCTCCCTTTTTCCTGGTGGAGGAATTCTTTCCATAAATAAGCAATTAATGTTGGGGAAAGCAACCTTTTTTGTTTTCCCTCAGTCCAAAATATTTTGCATTCAAAATGGCCATTCTCTTTCCATTTTCCTACTTTTTCCTGTTTCAAAACAAATGGGAACTTTTCTCTTTATTTCTTAGATCAAGTCTTATGGAATTGGGTTTGCCTGAACCACAGGATATGATTTCTTCTTCCACCTCCTCTGTGGCTCAGGAGCCTGTTCTACCCTGTTGTGACTGTAAGAATGCAGAACATTCTACTGACAGTAGTATCTCCTCTGGATCATCCTACAGCTCAAACCTGTCTCACCTTCCTGTCTTTTCTGAAGAAACAACTTGGCAATTCCGGAGCCGCAGTTTACCTATTTTACCCCAAAATCAACCTCCTGTGTTCAGGAACCAAGGCAGATCTCTGCCTTCTTTTAGGCTTTCAGAGCTTGGGAAATCAGAATTTTTTCAGAATTTGGAAACTCTTTCATCCTTAAGCCATCAAAGCACTTTTATCAACTCTCTTTTTGAATCCCCAGATCTCCACAGACAAGGAGAAAAAACAAAGGATAAGAGAAGGAGCAAGAGTGATTTGACATCAGATCATAAGCCAAATATTATCTTCAAAGAGAGACCACTATTGTCAGGGTCAACTCCAATCCAGCTCTCTCCTTTGGCTAGGTGGGAGTTAGAGGGACATATGGCTTGGAAGGTTTGTACTCTGCGGGAACAAACAGTGCCTCTGCCTGTGAGGGAATCATGGGCAATGCTGAATTATTTAATTGAGGTGCAAGGAGGAGTCCCTGAACCAGAGAAACCCCAAATCCAGCTATCTATGCCCATTCATCAAAGCACTGAGCAAAATATCAACAATGAATCCCCAGACCTTCCATCTCCTCAGTTCCAGGGGAACACTGAAGTGGAATCTGGATTAAATAGAACAGAAACAAGAATTTCTCAGACTCTTATCCCAGGTAAGCAGTCACAACCTGGATATGGCCCGCAAATCCTTGCATCCAGGCCATTAATGACATCAATAGATATTCTACCTCCCAAAAGCTTAGGAGCTGACATCACTCAAGAGGAAATGACTTTACTGAAGAAGGACCCAAAACATGTGCTAGAGCTTAATATAAAGCAGAGGGTCTTAGGTCTTCCAGAAAAAAGGATACAGCAGCAACAGACCCAGGTGCCTAATATGGAGCTGACCCCACAGCTACCATACCAAGTCACAGATAGTGTAAAAGTTACTCCACTGGCATTACTTCAAGTCATGGATTCAATGGGGATGATTCCAGATTCACATTCAGAAGTGATAGAATCTGTGGGTTTGTTCCAATGGCCATCAAATGAAGTTGTAAAACGAATGGAAGCCATGGAAACAGTGCATGTAAGCCAAAAACCATCATATCCAGTCATTAAATCAGTGGAGGTAACCCCAAGACCTCAGCAGCAGGTTATGGAATCAAGAAAGATAACTTCAAGACCGCTGAATCAAGTCATAGATAATGTGAAGGTAACTCCGATAGCATTGCTTCAAGTCATGGATTCTATGGGGATGATTAAAAAATCACATCCACCTATCATACAGTCAATGGGAATGACCCCAACAATGCGATATCAAGTTGTGGGGTCAGTAAAAAGGAGTACATTGTTGGACCATCAAGTCATACAACCAGGAAAGATGAGTCCAGGACTACGACATGCAGTCATAGAAACTGTGGAAATAACCCCAGGGCCACATAAAGTTATGCAATCAGTTGATGTAACATCAAGGCCACAAAGTCAAGTCACAGAATCACTGACGATTACTCCAGGGCCAGTATGTCAAAATATGAAATCACTTGAAATGATCCCCAGGCCACTGCATCAAGTGATGGATTACATGAAAGTGACTCCAGTAGCACTATTACAAGCTATGGACTTTATGGGGATAATTCCACCAACAAAGTCACATGTTATAGAATCTAGGGTTTTGATCCCAGATACACAGTCTCAAATTGCAAATTTAACTCCAAGGGCAATTCAATCAGATGGTTTGACTTCGAGCTCTCTTACTACTATTGGTACACTTGGAGTGGTAGAATCTGTGGGCTTACCTCCAAAGCCACCACATAAAGTCATGGTATCAGGAGGAGTGATCCCAATATCTCAAGCCAACTCCAGGAGTCTGGAATTGACTCCTGGGTCATGTATTCAAATGCCAGACTTTGAGGGAATGACTCCAGAACCGTATTATGAAGGCACAGAATCTATGGCATTAATACCAGGGCCATCTCATCAAGTCACGGAGTCTTCGAGGTTGACCCCATGGCATCAAATTCTGCAGTATTCTGAGATGAGTCCAAGGCAAAGTCATCATGTCATAGAAACTATGGAGTTGACCTCTGACTCCTGGCTAAAAATGGAGAAATCAGCAGAGGTGACACATTCACCTCATCCAATGATGGAATCTTTAGGGACAATCCCAAGGTCACTGGGTAGAGGTACAAAATCTATGGGAATGAGCCAAAAGCCACTGCTTCAAGTCACAGAATCTGCAGAAATGTCCACTACATCAGTTCAAGATGTGAACTATAGAGAGATGAAATCAATCCCACAACTTAAGGTTATGGGTTCTATGACATTATCCCCAAGATTGCAAAATTTGAAGTCTGGGAAACTGGTTTTAGCATCAGAGTCACAAAATATAAAATCTGTAGACATAACCACAGGTTCATTCCCAGAACTGGGAAATTACAGACAGCCAGTCTCAACTGTGAACTCTATAGAATTGGCCACAGAACCACAACAGCAGAGTGTAAAACCTGAGGAGTTGGCCAAAACACCACAGGGGCAAAATGAGAAATCTGTGCAGTCAGCCCCAGGGGCTCAGCTTCATGGTGCGAAATCTATCCAACTGATGCTGGGACCCCAACAACAAAGTAAAAAATCTACTGGGTTAGTTCCAGCACCACAGTTGCAAAGTAGGAAATCTATAGATTTTGTCCCCAGTTCACAGTTGCGATGTATAGAATATGGTCATTTGGCTCTACCATCAGAGTTTCCAGGTATAAAAACTGTGGAATTGTCTCCAAGAATAGTACAAAAAGATATGAAACCTATGGAGTTGGCCCCAAAGTCATGGTCACAAGATATAAGATCTGAGGAGACAGCCCCAATACCATTGCTTGAAGATGTAAAAACTCCTCAAATGGTAGAAAGTACAAGACTGACTCCTAAGACACAGGTAGAAAGTATGAAATATGAGGAACTGATCCCAAGAGCACACATTCAAGCAGTAAACTCTGTAGAGGTAGACTCCAGACCAAATCATCAAGTCACAGAACCTGAAGGACTGATCTCATGGTATCAAGCTTCAGAATCTTTAGGGATGATCTCAGAACCAGGATATTCAGAAACAGAAGCAAAGCTAACCTCTGACACTGGTCACCATGCGAAAGAGTCTATGGGGTTGATACAATCATCTTTAGGAAGTACCCCCAGGTCATTGGGCCAAGCATCTATGCAGATGAACTCCATGTCATTCAGGGGCACTCTTGAGCCAGTGTTCCAAAGTGTGAGAGCCATGGATGAAACTCCAGTGTTAGAGCACACTACACAAGAATATCTGGAGTTGGTACCAGGATCAGAGATGCAAGGTATGAAATCAAAGATGTTGACCCCAGAGCCTCAAGATACGAAGTTTGTTCATCTGAATCTAGGACCATATTCAGAGGTTATGAACTATGAGGAGCTGATCTCAGAACCACAATTTCAAAATGTGAAATCTGTGTCATTGACCTCAGAACCACAGTCCACAAGTATAAAACCTGAGGAGTTGACTCTAGGGCCATTAAGGCATGATGATGATTTTGTGGATTTACATATACCACTTGAAGAATCTAGTAGGTTAATTCCTGAGTCACAGTTAAAACATGTTGAATCAAGGAAAGTGACTGCGGAACTGCATTTACAAGAACTGAAATCTGTGGGTCTAACTTCCAGACCAAGACATCAAGACATAGCACTTACAGAGTTAGCTGCTGAGATCTGGCCACAAGAGGAGGAATCTGTAGTCTTGAAACCTGGTGGTGTGATGCCCAGGCCGCATTTTCAGAAATCTTCAGAGTTGACTCCAGGTCAAGATCGTGAAGACACAGAAACTGCAAGACTGATTTCTGAGGCTTTGCCCCAAGTTAATTTGCCCCAATTAATGCAAAAACCAACAGATCAAGTTATAGAATCTGCAAGAATGACTCCTCCAAGGCCACATCTTCAAGATACAGAATCATCACAGATATCCCTAAGGTCAGAATATGCAAACACAGAAAATGTGGGGTTAGCAACATTTCCAGTTGAAAACATCCAGGAGGTAATACCAGTACAACCACATTCAGAAAAAGAATCTCTGGAGTTGATTTTAGAACCAAGGATGCAATATGAGATATCAGAGCCACTACTGCAAAATTTGAAATATGTGAAGTTAACCTCTGAGTCATCCCCATTAGTGGTGGAATCTAAACAGTTTGTTACAGGACCAAAACCACAAGTTACCGAGTTGACTCCAGAGCCACAGTTCCAGGAAGTAACGTTCAGGCAGTTGGAGTCAGAGCCAAAACTACAAGACATGAAATATGTTAATTTAATTCAACAGTCAACTACTACCAAAATGGTAGAATCAGAGAAGCCAATACAAGAGCCAGTGCTACAAAGTATGATACCAGAGGAACTGACTCAGGAGGTACAGCTCCAAGGTGTGTCCCTGGGACCAGAGTTGCATAGTGTAAGATTTTCAGAGTTATCTCCCGAGCCACCACTTCAAGGAGAAAGACTTTTAGATTTAATCTCAGGGTCTCCACATCACAGTGTGACATCTGATGAATTGACCCCAGGTTCCCCAATGCAAGAAATAAAATTGTCAGATTGTATCCCAGGACCAAAGCATCAAAGTGTTGTATCTATACAGTTGATGGCAAAACCACAAACTCAAAGTACAAAATTCATGGAACTAAGCTCAGGACCATGCTTACAAGGTGTCAGATTTTCTGATTTGACTCCAGACCCACAGCATCAAGGTTTTGAACACGTGCAGTTAATGCCAGGAACACAGCTTCAAGAGACAAAGCCTGTAGGATTTGTAACAGAGTCATCTTTGCAGTTAAGTCAAGGGCTCCCGGTTGAAAATATGAAATCTATTCTGTCTATTGATGGGTCACAGTTTCACAGCATGAAATCAGTGAAACTGACCTCAGAACTACAATTTCAAGATATGAAATCTGAGGAACTGAACCTAGGGTCAAGGCAGCAAGATGTCAAATTTTCTGAATTGACCTCAGGACCAAAGCTTCAAGGTGTCAAATTTGGGAAGCAAATCCCAGAATCACCGTTTCATAGTGTGACTTCCATGGAGACAACTCTAGAGTTAGGGCTTCAAGATTCTAAATCAGCAAAGATGTCTCCAGGGCTTCAAGGTGTGAAACAGGTGGGGCCATGGCTACAAGATGTCAAATTTTGTGATCTAAAATCAGGAGTTCAGTCTCAAGGTGTGAAATCCTCTGAGTTAAACTCAGGGCCACAACTACAATATGTGAAGATTTTTGAGTTAACTCCAGAACCAAAGGTGCAAGGAGAAAGATCTATGAAGTTGGCCTCAGGACCTGAACAGCAAGGGGTTAAGCCTGAGATGTTAGGACCAAAGCCACTGTTTCAAGGCATAAAATGTGAAGCAGCAGACCAAATGTCAAGCTTTGAAGGTGACATTTCTTATAAATTAGTTTCAGAGCCACAGAGACCAGATGTAAAATCTATGGAGGTGTCTCCTAGACTCCAGTTGCCAAGTGTAAACTATTCTGAGTTGACCAGAAGACCACCGTTACAAGTTATGAAATCTTCTGGATTAACCCAAAGACCACAGATGCAAGATGTAAAACCTACAGTGAGGACCCCAATCTCAAAGGTTGAAGGTTTACAATCTGAGGCACTAATGCCAGAGCCACAGCTGGAAGATACAAAATCTGTGAAGTTAACCCCAGGACCACATTTAGGAAGTATGAAATCTATTCAGTTAACATCAAAGCCACAACTGGGAAATGTTAAATCTATGGTGTTAACCCCTGGGTCAGAGGGGGAAGATGTGAAACCGGTAGGGGTGACCGCAGGCTCAAAACTTCACGGTTTAATATCTGAGTTACTGTCCTCAGAGTTGGAGTTGAAAGATGTGAACTCTGCAGTCTTAACTCCAGGACAACATCCAAGAGGTATGAAATCTACATTGCTAACCCCAAGTCCACAGCTGGAAGGTAAAAAATCTGTGGAGATAACCTCAGGACCACTGAGAGAAGATGTCAAATCTGTGAAACTCACCTCAGATTCCAAGCTTCAAGGTGTGAAATCTGATGTGTTGGCACTGTCCTTAAGAAATCAAGGATTAAAAACTGTGACATTCATCCCAAGAACGCAACTGCAAGATGTGAAAGCTGTGGAATTGAAACTTGGGCCAAGGATGCAAGATGAGAATTCTGTGTTTTTGGCACCATGGTCATTGCTCCAAGGGCCTCAACTGCAAGGTATGAAACCTCGGGAATTGACTGCAAAGCCCCAAATGCAAGATGTGAAAATTTTGCAGCTAACCCCATGTCCCAAGCTTCAAAGTTTAAAACCTGTAGAGGAGACTCCAGATCAAGAGCTGCAATTTGCAAAACCTATGAAGTTGACTCCAAGGCTAAAGAAGCAGGTAGTAAAATCTGTGAATGCGAGCAGAAGACAAAAGTTTCAAGGAGTAAAATCTGTGGATTTAGCCCCAAAGCAACAGTTTCAAGAGACGACACTTGTGAACTTAACTCCTGGGCCAAAACAGGTTAGTGAGATATCTGTAATCTCACCAGAGCAGCAATGTGTGAATTCAGAGTCACTGAAGCGAGGTTCTAAGCCAGAAGATGGGATGTCTTGGGAGTTAATTCCAGAGCTAAAATTTAAAGATGGAAAATTAGTAGATCTCAACTTTGAATTACAGTTGAAAGGTAGGGAATCATCCGAATTGACTCCAGAATCAAATATTCAAGGTGTAAAATCTAAAAAGTTAAAACTTGAACCACAGTTGCAAAGTATGAAGTCTTCCAAGCTGACCCCAGGACCACAGTTACACCAAGTAAAATCCTCAAAGTCAACTTCAGAGCCACAGCTTCAAGATGTGAAAACTGCTAAGTTTAAACAAGAGCCACAACCTGAGAGTATGAAACATATTCAGTGGATACCAGGATGTGAGTTCCAAGATGTGAAATCTGCAGGGTTAAGTCTTAAGTCACAACCTCAAGGAGGCAAATTTGTAGAGTTGAAATCTTCAACACAGTTAAGAGATGCAAAGTCATCTGAATTGCATCTGGGGCCAAAAATTCAAGGTACAGCATATATGAAGTTCGACCTTGGGCCACAGTTGAGGAGGGTGAAAACTTCTGAGTTGTGCCCAGGACCACAATTGCAAGAAGGAAAAGTTTTGGCATCAACCTCAGAGCCACAGTTTCAAGGTATGAAAATTGTGGAGTTAAACCAAAAGCCACAGTTTGGAAGTACGAAAACTGTTCAATGGATGCCTGCACCAGTGTTTCAAGGTGTGAAATCTCTGCTAAATCTTGAGTTGCAACCTCAGTGTGTCAAACCAACAGAATTGATGCAGTTGAGAGATATGAAGTCATCTGTATTGACCCCAACGCCAAAGCTTCAAGATGTACAATCTTTGACATCACTCCAAGAGTCTCAGGCTCAAGGTCTCAATGTGAAACCCTGTCTACAGTTTAGCAGTATGAAATCATGTGACCTGACTCCCAAGTCAAAGCTCTGTGATATAAAATCTATGATGTTCAAATCTAGGCTTAACTTGCAAGATGGCAAATCTCTTTTGTTGACCCCAGGACCATGCCTTCAAGAAGTGAAACCATTACAGTCAGCCCCAGGAACACAGCTTCAAGGTGTGAAGTCTCCACTGCTTACACAAGAGCCACAGTTTCCTGAGGTGAAATCTGAGGTATTAAGCCAAGGGTCACAATTACAAAGTGATAAAACTATAGAGTTGAACTCCCCACTACACTTGAAAAGTATGAAGTCATCTGAGTTGACTCTTCAGCCAAAGCTTCAGGGTGTGAAATCTGAGGATTTCAACACTGTGCCGCAATGGCAAGGTCTACAATCTTCTAAGCCACCGTTTGAGACAAAGTCCCAAGATACGAAAGTTACTGAACTAATCCCTGGCTTACAGTTGCAAGATACAATGTTTTCTAAATTGACCGTGGGGACAAAGACTCAAGGTGTCAAATATACAGATTTTGACCCTGGGTCACTGTTAAAAGGTGTAAATTCTTCTGGGTGGACCTCAAAGGCCAAACTTCAAGATGTAAAACATAAAGAATTTAGCCCCTGTCCCCAGTTGCAAGTTCTGAAATCTTCTGAGCTGATCCTGGCATCAAAGCTTCAAAATGTGAAATTGGTGGTCAACTCTGAGTCACAATTTCAAGGAGAGAAATCTTCTCAATTAATCTCAGACTCAAAGTTACAAGATGTGGAATTTGCAAAGTCCAAATCTGGGCCACCATTGCAAGGTGTGAAATCTGAGTTGACACTGGGGTCAAAGCTTCAAAAAGTGAAATCAGTGGAATTCAAGTCAGGTCCACAGTTGCAAGATATACAATCTTCCAAGTTGATCACGGGCGTAAAGCTTCAAGGTGTAAAATCTATGAATTTCAGGTCTGGATCAAACTTGCAAGGTGTGAAATTGTCTGAAGATATCCCAAGGGAGAAGCTTCAAGGTGTGAAGTCTGTAGACCTGAAACCTAGTCCAAAGTTACAAGGTGCAAAATCTGATTTGACAAGGAAGATTCCAGATGTGAGATCAGTAGAGTCAGACTCAGGCCAACACTTACAAGATATGAAATGTTCCGAACTGATCATGGGTATAAAGCTTCAACATGTAAAATCTAAACGGTTAAGTTCTAGACCACACTTTCAAGGTATGAAATCTTCTGAAGCAGTCTTAGGGACAACACTTCAGGAAGCGAAATCGATGTTCAACTCTGAACCACAGATACAAAGTAAAAAATGTTCTGAACTGACTCAAGGGACAAAGCTTCAAGATGAAAAATCCTTAGAGTTCAATCATGGACTGGAGTTACAATGTGGGAAATCTGATTTAACCCAGAGGAGGGAACTTCAAGGTGTGAAATCAGTGGAGTTCAACCCTCAACCACAGAGACAGGGTGAGAAATCTGATTTGAGGCTAGGGTGGAGGCTTCAAGATTTGAAATCTGTTGTTCCACCTCTGCAAGGTGTGACATCCTCAGAGTTAACATCAAAGACAAAGCCTCAAAGTGGAGAATCTATGGAATTCATCACCAGGCCAATGAGGCAAGATATGAAACCTTTTGAATTGACTCTTGGTACAAAGGTACAAGATGTGAAATCTTTGGGGTTCAACTCAGCTCCACAGTTACAAGATAGAAAATTATCTATGCTGACATCAAAGGCATACCTTCAAGGTGTGAAATCTATGGAATTCAACCCTGTGGCAGAGTTGCAAGGTGCAAAATCTTCTGGGCCTATAAAGCTTCAATTGATGAACTCTACAGAAGTCAATCCTGGCCTAGAATTTCAGGTTGCAAAATCTTGTAAGTTGGTCTTGGAATCAAAGATTCACAGTGGGATATCGTCTAAGAGCAATGCTAGAAAGCAAAAGCAAGATGAGAAATCGTGTAAGTTGAATCCATGGCAAGAGCTTCAAAGTGTAAAAGTCATGGTGTTCAGTCCTAGGACACATTCACAACATATGAAATCTTCAGAATCATGCAAAGGGACAAAGTTTCAAAAGGTGAAGTCTTTGGAATTCAATCCTGACCAACAACTGCAAGATATGAAATCTTCTGATTTGAGTCTGGGAACAAGTCACCAAGGTATTCAATCTTTAGAGTTCAATCCTGGACCACAGCTGCAAGTGGTAAAATCTGAGTTGAGCACAGAAATGAAGCTTCCAGATGAGAAATTGCTGGAATTTAACCATGAGCCTAAATTACAAGGTGGGAAATGCTCTGAACTGAAGCCAGGGCCACAACTTCAATGTGTGAATTATACACCATTCAACACTGGGTCACAAGTGCAAGATAGAAAATCTTCAGAGTTGAATCCCAGTATGGCGCATCAAGGTAGAAAATCTAAGGTGCTCTGCGTTGGGCCAGATTTGCAAGGTGTGAATTCTTCTGCATTCATTTCAGAACCAAAACTTAAGTGTGTAAATCCACCTGGATGCCAGCCTGGGTCACACTTGCAAGGTACAAGCTCTTCTGAATTAACTTCAGTTTCAAAATTTCAAGGTATGGAGTCTTCTAAGTTAAATTCAGGGACAGAGCTTCAAAGTGAGGCATCTATGGTGTTCAACCCTGGACCACATTGCCAAGGTCTGAAAGGAGCAAAATCATCTAAGTTGACTTCAGGGAAAAAATGTCAACATATGGGATCTGAGGTGAGACTAAGCACAGAGAATCAGTGTGAGACATCTATGGTGTTCAACCCTGGACCGCACTGCCAAGGTTTGAAATCTGAATTGAGGCCAGAATCAAAGTTTCTAAGTGTAACACCCACAGAATGCAACCTTGGGCTACAGATGCAGTGTGCAAAGTCTTCTAAGTTGAATCCAGAGCCAAAATCACAATGTTTAAATTCTATGGGTTGCAAATGTGGGCCACCCTTGCAAGATATAAAATCCCTTGAGTTGACTTCAGGGGAAAAATGTCAATATATGGGAACTGAAGTGAATCCAGGCACAGAGAATCAATGTGAGACATCTATGGGTTTCAATCCCGGACCACACTGCCAAGGTCTGAAATCTGAATTGAGTCCAGAGTCAAAGTTTCTCAGTGTAGCACCCACAGAATGCAACACTGGGCCATGGATGCAGTGTGCAAAGTCTTTTGAATTGAATCCAGAACCAAAATTACAATGTTTAAATTCTATGTGTTGCAAATGTGGGCCACTCTTGCAAGGTATAAAATCCCTCGAGTCGACTTCAGGGGAAAACCGTCAAAATATCGGGTCTGAAGTGAAACCATGTACAGGGAATCAATGTGAGACATCTATGGTGTTCAATCCTGGACCACACTGCCAAGGTTTGAAATCTAAATTGAGTCCAGAGTCAAAGTTTCTAAGTGTAACACCCACAGAATGCAACCCTGAGCCACAGATGCAGTGTGTAAAGTCTTCTAAGTTGAATCCAGAGCCAAAATCACAATGTTTAAATTCTATGGGTTGCAAAAGCGGGGCATCTTTGCAAGGTATAGAATCCCTTAAATCAGCTTCATGGAAAAAATGTCAAAATATGGGATCTGAAGTGAAGCCATGTATAGGGAATCAATGTGAGACATCTACGGTGTTCAACCCTGGGCCACACTGCCAAGGTCTGAAACCTGAATTGATTTCAGGGTCAAAGTTTCTAAGTGTAACACCCACAGAATGCAACCTTGGCCCACAGACACAGTGTGAAAATTCTTCTGAGCTGAATCCAGAGCCAAAATTACAATGTGTAGATTCTATGAAGTGCAAATGTGGGCCACACTTGCAAGGTATAAAATCTCTTGAGTTAACTTCAGGGACAAAATGTAAAGGTAGGAAATCTTCTGATTTTAATCCGGGGCCAGAACTTCAAGGTACAAAATCTGTTATGTTCAACCCTGTGCACGATTTACAAGACATAAAATGTGAATTTACTCCAGGGACAAAGTCTCAAGGTAGAACCTCAACAAAGTTCAACTCTGACCCACAGCAGCAAGGTGTGCATTCTCCTGGGTTGAATTCAGGGTTAGAACTTCAATACTTAAGTTCTGTAAAGTCTAATCCAGGGCCACAGATGCATGGTATGAAACCCTCTGAAATGATCCCTGGGCCAGAATCTCATGGTACAAAATCTATGTTGTTCAACCTGGAATCACACTTGCAAGAAGCAAAATCTCCTGAGTTAACTTCAGGGACAAAGTTTCCAGAAGTCCAATTTTTGGTTAACCATGCTGGGTCAGAGCAACAAGTTGTGCAGTCTGTGTTCACTTTGGGCCCTCAGTTAAATGTTATGAAACCTATGTTATTTTTACCAGAGCAACTGTTTGAAGACATAAAATCTATGAAGATGAACAAAGAGCCACTGCTTTGTGGTACCAATTCTACAAAACTGATTTCAGACTCTGGGCTGCAGAATTTGAAATGGAACGTGTTTGCTCTAGAGCCATGCTTTCAAAAAGTGAAATCTATGGATTTAAACTCAGGGCCACATCCTCAAGGTATGAATTGTGAGGAGTTGCCCTCACACCTCAGGCAGCATAGTATAAGATCTGTGGTGTTTGCACCAGAGCCATGTTTTCAAGATGGGAAGCCTCTGGAGTTGAAACCAGAGATACAACCTCAAGATGTGAATTCTAATAAATTGATTTCTTGCTTCAGGCAGAAGTCTGTAGTATCTGTATCAGTGCCATGTTCTCAAGATGTGAAATCTATGAAGTCAAACCTACTGCCCCAATCTCAAAGTATGAACTTTTTAGGATCATCATCATGTCTCAGGTCACAATGTGTTAAATCTGAGATCTCTGCACCAGAACCATGTCTTCAAAATATGAAATCTGTAGAGTTGACACCAGGGTCTCAAGAGCAAGGCATGAATTGCCAGGAGCTGACTTCAGGATTACAAGGTGTCAAATCAGGAATCTCGGCACCAGAGTCAACTAAGAACTTCATACCAGGACCAATGTTGACTAGTGTCAAATTTTCAAATTTGTCTCCAGAATCACAGCAACAAGGTGTGAAACATTTGGAGTTTACTCCAGAACCAAAGTTGCAAAGCACGAGGAATGCAAAATCATCTTCAATGTCTCTGCAACAAGCTATACAATCTGTGGAGTTAGCATCAGAGTCACTGTTTCAAAGACCAAAATCTGAGGATCTAACTCCAAAAACAAGCTCTCAAATGACAGGCTCCTCTGAAATCATCCCTAGGCCAGGGCATCAGTTTGTAGAACATGCAGAGATGATTCCAAAGCCAATGCATCGAGTCCCTAAATCTGTTAGTTTGACTTCAATACCAATTTATCAATTTACAGATTCTTCAAAAATGGCACAAAGTTTGGCACATCAAGACACAGAAACTGTAGAGAAATCTGTGAAGTTGACCCAAAAGCCAAAAGGAAAAGCCATGAAATCTTCAGGAATGCCTCTGAAACGAAATCTTCAAGTACCAGAATTTGCTGATCTGACTCCAGTGCTAAGGAATCAAGGTTTAAAATCCTTAGAATTAACACCAAAGAAAAGCCACCAAATCCTGGAAACTCTGGAGTTGCTCTCTCAGTCAGGGTCCCAAGTTAAGGAGTTACATACAGGGCAGCTGCAGCAAGTTGTGGAATCTGAAGGGATGACTTCAGGACCCAAGAATCACATTACAGAAACTATGGGGTTGACCTTCAAGACAAAGCTGCAAGGGGAGGAATTTCTTGGAAGGAGTCCAAAACCAATAAGTAAAACCACTGATGCAGAGAGATATTCAAGGCCCTACCCTCAAGCCCAGGAATCTGTGGAGGTGATCTCCAAGCAAAAACTGCCAAGGGGAGAGTCTATAGCATTGATTACAAAGGCATTTCAAGATGTCCCAGAATCTTCAGAGATGACAGAAGGGATACGATATCAAGTTCCTGGGTCTATGGGTTTGACCTGTAAGCGATTCCTAAAGGCAAAGCAAATAGGTCAAGTTGCAGGACACACAGAATCTGCAGAGGTCACCACTGAGACATGGCAACAAGGGGAGGGAAAAATGAAGCTTACCCAGTCACAGAATCAAAGTATGAAATACTCAGAAACAGCCCCAGGACTACTGGGTCAAATTACAGAATTCATGAGGATTAGTCCAAAGCCATTAGAACAAGTCACAAACTCTACAAAGACACAGCTTCAAGTTGCTCAAGCAATAGGGGTAAAGCCAGTAGCTCCCATCAGAGTTGCTACACCTGTGAAAGTGACTCCTGGGCTACCACATCAAGTTGTGAAGTCTGTAACGTTAACATCATGGCCAAACTCTCAAATGGTAGACTGTGTTGAGTTGACTTCAAAACCACAAGATGTGAGACCTTCAACCTCAAGCCTAAGGTTGCAAAATGCAAAATTTAAGAAATTAAGCACAGAACCAAAGTACCAAACTTTGAAAAGAATGGATTCGACAGGGTTTCAAATTGTAAAGACTGTGGGACCACCACTTCAAATTGTAAAATCTGAGGAATTAGCACCAGGGCCAATTCCCCAGATTGCAGAACCAATAGGAGTGGGGCTTAAGGCAACAAATTACTTGGATTTATTCCCAAGGCTACATCTTCAAGAACCAGTAGAATCTGTAGAATTAACTCCAAGGCCAAATACTGAAGTGAAATCTGCAGAATTAACCACACAGCCAACATATACACTTGAGGCACCTACAGTGTTAAATCATAAACAAGGGCTTCAGGCTGTGAAATCTACAGGGGTAAAAACAGGACCGCCTCAAGTCATGGAATCTGAGGATTTGAATCTAAATGAGGTGTGTCAGAATAAGGACTTTGAGGAGGGATTATCAGAAGAAGAGTTACAAATAGGGAATTATTTCTCTAGGTTTCTACACAATTCTTCAGACTCACTCATCTCAAGTTCTGTCAGAACATCTGAATTAGATCTTTGGGATTCTAAGATGCTGCAAGTATCAAGTGTATTGGATATAAAAAACCTTGTGACAGATATTTTGCAACCTGAGGAGTCTTTTATAGACCTTGATATGATACAATCTTCAACTTTTTCCTTATCCCTTCATAACCAATCCCCTGATGAGACAGTTATTACTGTAAAAAACTCAAATTCTGAGATGCCAGGAGTGGATGTCATACCTAATGAAAGGACTAAGAGGAAACATGTGGAGGAGTCAGAGAGCTCACTCCAGAGACCCTCACAACATTCACCACAAGACTGGATGTCACCACCTAGGTTTTCCCAGGCAGAGTCAAGGGCTCAAAGAGCCCTTTCCTGGCCTGTCCTGGGCAGGCAACGGAATGTCTGGGAGAGTCGCTCCTCGAGGCCACGACTACCTAGAAAATATCTCTCCAATATGCTAATGCTGGGGAATGTCTTGGGGACCACTATGGAAAGGAAGCTTTCTTCTCCAACATCTTTAACAGAAAGAGCCACTGAAGATACCTGTCAATCTATTCAGAATTTATTTGGGGTTCCAGCTGAATTGATGACATCTTCTGAGAGATTATTTGAAAAGGGTCAAGGTACTATTTCTCAGCCTTCAGTGGTCAAAAACTACATTCAGAGACACACTTCATGCCATGGTCATGAAAGAAAAACACACTTAAGGATGTGGACACGTACTTCCATGCCCTCCATAATACAGCACTACTCTGGGAGTAGAACGAGAATAAAGAAAACAAACTCAAAACCCTGCAATATATCCCGGGAAGTCATTCAGTACATGCCTGTTTCATGCACAGGGAGTCAGCCTCCTGCCCCAGCAAAGTCAGAGTCTTCCCTCAACATATTTTTTGCCAGGAGAGATTCTGTTCCAATGGAAGAGACTGAGAACTCACAGAGTGATTCACAGACAAGGATTTTTGAGTCCCAACACTCCCTCAAGCCAAGTTATCTTTCCCAGGCCAAGACTGACTTCTCAGAACAGTTCCAGCTGTTACAAGATTTACAGCTAAAAATAGCAGCAAAACTGTTGAATAGTCAAATACCCCCCAATGTACCTCCACCTTTAGCTTCAGGTCTGGTCCTAAAATATCCTATCTGCCTACAGTGTGGCCGATGTTCAGGATTTAATTGCTGTCATAAATTACAGGCTGCTTTTGGGCCTCACCTTCTTATCTATCCACAGCTTCACCTTGTAAGCACTCCTGAAGGCCATGGAGAGATTAGGTTACATCTTGGCTTTAGGTTGCGAACTGGTAAAAGACCCCAGCTCCCAAAGTATCACAGAAGAGACAGACCAGTCACGCCAAGGAGCCTCAGATCAACATCATTAAGGAAAGCAAAAGGTTACACACGTGCTTCCAAGAGTCCTACTTCTACAACAGATTTCCGGTCTGGGTCTTCCCAGTCTCCTTCTCCTATAGAAGTCCACATCAGGCGAAGGCAATATGACAGCTCTAGCCTAATAGAAAAGACAGAAATTAGAGAGCCTGGACACTATGAGTTCACTCAAGTTCACTCTCTATCAGAGAATGACTCTGAAAGCAATCAGGATGAAAAATGGGCTAAAGTGAGAACCAAAAAGACCCATGATTCAAAATATCCAATGAAAAGAATCCCCAAAGGAGTTAGATCACAAAATACAAAGTTCTACACAAATGGTAGAGCTATAATACAGAGTCCCTCGAGGGAATTACCAAACCAGTTAAGAAGGAAGAGGAGTGGAGCATCTCAGACAACGACCACCTCTTTTAAAAGACAACCTAAGAAATCCTCCCAACCAAAATTTATTCAACTGCTTTTTCAGGGCCTAAAGCAGGCAATTCAAACAGCACACAGAATTATGGCTTTGGCTGGGCAGAAGCCTGAGGACACAGCAAGGTCAGACTATTTCTGGTCAAGCAAAACCTACCTTCCAAAACAAAAAGCCAGAGACTATTGCTTGACAAGAGACAGCAAAAGACACAGGATGCCAACTCTCAAGCGAAGGCAATCAGAGTCAGTCACCAAGCAGGAGAGCACACGGTGGGAAGAAACAGACCAATTCAGACCAGCTCAACAACCAAAAAGGGATAGCTCTTTCCATCTCAGACCTAAGCAATTACCCAAGCCCACAGTTTCCCAAAGAAGTACCACTCTCAAAAACACCTCAACTAGCCAGTGTTTGGGTCCTGTTCAAAACGACAGTAGTAGCAGAGCTAAGAAAAACTTTAACAGAAATGAAATCTCTAACCAAGAGTCCAAGAACTTCAAACCAGGAATCAGAGTTCATGCTGGAGGGAGACTCTTAAAACCTGGTTCTCTTATGAAGAGGACCTCACACAGTCACCTTAAAGGGAAACCCACACACAAGGAACAAAACCACCAGAGCTTCGGCTTCAGTAGGGAAAGAACCCCATGTTATTCTTCTGGAAGGAGCCAATACAGTTCCTCTGAGAGGGGCCAGCACAGTACCTCTGAGAGGAGCCATCGAAGTGCCTCTGAGAGAAGCCACCGCAGTGCCTCTGAAAGGAGCCACCGAAGTGCCTCTGGGAGAAGCCATCGCAGCGTCTCTGAGAGGAGCCATCAAAGTCCTTCTCAGAGGAGCCATCACAGTGCCTCTGAGAGAAGCCATCACAGTGCCTCTGAGAGAAGCCATCGAAGCGCCTCAGAGAGAAGCCATCGAAGCGCCTCAGAGAGAAGCCATCGAAGCGCCTCTGAGAGGAGCCATCGCAGCGCCTCTGAGAGGAGCCATCGCAGCGCCTCTGAGAGGAGCCATCGCAGCGCCTCTGAGAGGAGCCATCCAAGCCCTTCTCAGAGGAGCCATCACAGTCTCTCTGAGAGGAGCTATCGAGGTCCCTCTGAGAGGAGATGTCGCAGTCCCTCTGAGAGGAGATGTCGCAGTCCCTCTGAGAGACGGTGTCGCAGTCCCTCTGAGAGAAGCAATCGCAGTCTCTTTGAGAAAATTCGTCGCAGCTCCTCTGAGAGGAGAGAACACAGTGCTTCTGAGAGAAGACAGCACAAGCCCTCTGAGGGGAGAGGACAAAGTCCCTCTGAGAGGAGCCACAACAATCCCCTCAAGGAGAGACTCAAACACAGCTCCCCTAGGGAGAGGCCCAGACATGGTTTGAGTAAAGATTTCAAGAGTAATTCTAACACGTCTACTAGAGACCACACCAAAAATCCCCAAAGGAGGGCAAGTTTGGAGGCCTGACGCTAGTAGATGGAAGAGACCCGCCCCCGTTATTCATTGCCTAGCTCAAGTCTCCCCTGAGCGGCCCTGGCTTCTTTCCTACTCGGCCAAGGCCTCCACTTCCTAAGCCCTCAGCAATGAAAGAGCTTCTTCGTCTCTCTACCTGGGGGGAGGGAGAGCGGGAATGGGTCTGTCATTTCCCTAAGATAAATAAAGGGCAATAATTGACCTTCCTGTGCATCAAGAAAGACCACTCTTCTCGCGGGGTGGAGCCTGGGGGCGCCGGAAGGGCAGGAGAGGTTGTGCAAACCGAGGGAACGAAAGGGAGGGGCTCTCAGGCCAAAGTTGACGCTCCAAACCCCACCCCCAGTTTCCCGGGTCCCACCGCGCACTGCCGGGGCGGGGTCTCAGAGGAAAGGGGGGCTAGTCACGTGACTCGCCCCTGCCGCAGCCCCCTCGGAAGCTGCTAGGCGGAAGTAGACGTTCGCCACCGGGCTGGCGGACCCGACTCTACATCCGGGAGCGGAGAGGAGAGCGGAAGTGGCGTTGGTCTGGCCGGAGCCCTTGGGTGAATTTGTTAGGCGTGGAGAGGGAGTGATGTCTTCCAGACTCGGTGCAGTGCCCGCTGTGAGTTTCTCGGTTTGACCGTTACGCTTTAGGGGTAGCGCTGTCGAGCGCGCCACACGCGGTGCCTCGCTTTTGTCCCCTGCTGAGTCGGTTTTCTCAGAGCTCAGCGTAGGCCCCACCCTTCTAGGTCAGATCTATGAGCCCCCGTATTTACCCCCACTTTCTGCTGCCCGTTCCCCACCCCCTGGACTAAATTCCTCATCAGATTACCGTTAGTCTCTATTCCTTTTACATCCCTGATGTCTCCCATATCCTTTGTCCTGTCTTTCCGTCTCCCGTTTAGAGTCTTTCTTGGACCAGGGCTTTGAGAATGGAAGAGATGAAGGCTCTGGTGGTGTCACCTGCCTTGACCCCGTAGGAAGGGCGGCGCACTTTCCCTAAAAAGTCTTGCCTTGTTCAGTGTGCAGTAGTAGCCCTGGGAGAGCTTCAGTTCTTGGCGCAGGGGGATTCATCTTTTTGTGGTCAAGTTTCAGAGGTCCCTAGCATACACTCACTCATGTGCTTACCATTTGCTAGACCCCGGGACCCACACCCTTTAAGCAGCAGAGGAGCACGAGGATCGTGGGAGCTAAGAAGTAAGTGAGGTTTTCTGCAGTCCATTTATAATTATGTCACCAGTGTTGTCCAGTAGAACGTCCTGTGATGATAAAAATATTCTACATCCACACTGTCAAGTGTGATAGCCACTAGCCACGTATCATTTTTGAGCGCTGGAAATGTGGATAGTAGCAGTGAGGAACTGAATTTTAAATGGTATGTTGATTAACTTAAATTTAAATAGCCACCTGTGGCTAGTGGCCATCTGATTAGACAGTGCAGGTCTAATCTTGGTGTGGGGGAGGAAAACGTCCCTTGCAAAAAAAAAGTACGGATTATAATAAAAATGGAATGTGTGACTGTGTAGCCCTGCATTTCTTTAGACATTATATATGTACTCATGAATACATTGATGAACTTGGGAAGTACTGATGAAAATGACTAAGAAGTACTTATATTTTCAAACTACTTGGCTTCAAGGCTGGTTTATTATATTGTATACTGAATGTGCTAAGCTTTTCCATATTCGTTAATACAAAAAAATTCTTGTTCAGGAGATACTCAGAAAGGATTAATTCCTTCATATAACATTTACTAAATATCTGCTTTATGTCAGTTGCGTGTTAGGTTAGATATACAGACATGAAAAACACAAGGAGATCAACACAATACTGTGTAATGAAATATTTTTATTTCAAGAATTATATATAGTCTTTTGGGAAGGTGAGTGATGTTTGGAAGGGAAGGGTTCTGGTGCAAATCACTCCTAAACAGACTTGAAAGTCAAGGAATAATGCATTTAACCATAAGGAAAAGGATTTTTTTGTTTGTTTTTCAGAAGAAATAACAATGTGAATTTGTAAAAGGTTTTAATGAAATAGCAAATGGGTAATTGTTAGGAAATGTAAAGGCTTATGGGCCCTCATCCATTGATAATCAGAATCATTGGGCATCAGAATCCCTATTTTTGACTGGCCTAGGATATTGTGGAGTTTGAGAATCACTGATGAGAATTGAGACTAGAAGAGTAAAGGATGAAAACGTGGAAAAGATCAGTGTTTAAGGTTTGGGTAGAATAAAAAAAGGCTGCAGATGATACTGAGATGAACTTAAAATATTTTTCTAATAAAATATAACTATTTTCACCTAGAGAATGAACTAGGGGCTCTTAAAAGTTCTTGGTAGATCAGAAAGGAGTTGAAAATAGGTTAAACTTTTCATCTTCATGATAAGAAGCCAAGACTAAACAACAAATTATTTTAAAGTCCTACAGTTATGATAGTCATTGTTGGAGCCAAAAGCTATTTCTTGTCATATTTATGGAAAGAAAGAGTGAGTGAGTGGATGAGTGAAAGTCGCTCAGTTGTGTCCAACTCTTTGAGACCCCATGGACAGTAGCCTACCAGACTCCTCTGTCCATGGAATTCTTCATGCAAGAACACTGGACTGGCCTGGGTTGCCATTTCCTTCTCCAGGGGATCTTCCCGACCCAGGATCAAACCCGGGTCTCCTGCACTGTAGACAGATTGTTTACTGACTGAGCCACCACAGAAGCCCCAGTATAAAGAAGTTTGATATTAATCTGGTTTTTAATAAATAATAAAAAAATAAATAAACCCTGAGTTGATAGGTACTGTAAAATACTTGAGAATTGTTTTTGTTGAGTGCTTTAAAAATAAGAAACCTGGAGAGAGAATTCCCTGTCCACAATGACTTAATCCTCAAGTTAATCATGCTGACATATAAACTAGTTGATTTTTCACTATACACATGCTTATTCATGAGCAGGGAGCTGGGTATGTCTGAGTCCAACATTGACTGTATAGAAATTCCTATGAGGATGTTTCCTAAGAGGAGTCATATGGGACTTGACTCTTTATAGCCTGTTGATACTATCAGGTTTTTCTGGTAGAGATTATTCCCATTGTTTGGTATGGTGGGTTTTGGCCCAAGAGGACTACCTATTCCCATTAAATTATTTTTATACCTTCACTGAGGTATAATTGAAGTGCAGTTGGCTGCATATGTTGAAAGTATAGGGTACCTTCAGCTTTGACATAATGTAAGTACCCATGAAACTGTCACCACAATCAAGATAAGTTTCCTTGTCTCCCATAAGTTTTCTCATGTCCCTTTGTAATTCATTCCTCCCTTCACGCCTGTTGCCAGACACCCACTGACCTGTTTTCTGTCACTGTACAGTGGTTTGCATGTTCTAGGATTTTATATAAATGAAATCAGACACTATGTCCTCTTTCTGCATTCTTTCTTTCACTCAGAATAATGATTTTGAGTGAAAAATAGTTTTTATTGCTAAAAAGAATTCCATTATGGATATACCATAGTTTGTTTAGCCATCTACCTGAGAGATGTTTGCATTATTTTCAGTATGAGGGTGTTAGAATAAAACTGCCATGAACATTATGTGCAAGTATCTGTGTGGAAAAATATTTTTTTTCTCTTGATAAATACTTAACACAATATATATTTATAAGATGGTACTTACCATCTTAGATTGATGAGCTCATATGTCAGGAGTATGTTTAAGTTTTTAAGAAATTATTTTGCAAGTTGGTGATATGATTTTACATTCCTACCAGCAGTGTATGAAAGTAAGTCTAATTTTAGCAACTTTAATGGTGTGTAGTGGTGTTTCATTTTGGTTTTAATTAGCATTTTCCTGATGAATAATGATGTAAAACATCTGTTTATGTGTTTTATTGGTCATTCATATATCTTCTTTTGTCAAATGTGTGTTCATGTCTTTTTGTGTGTGTGTGTGTTCATGTCATTTGCCACCAAAAAAAAAAAAAAGTTTTGTCTCACTATTAAATTGTACTATTTAATTAAAAATTTTTTTGAATACATTTCCTTTGTTACATATATCTTGACTATTTCCTCAAGTCAGTGGTTTGCATTTCATTTTCCTAATGGTATCTTTTGAAGAGCAAAAGTTTTAAATTTATAATTAAAAATAAAAAGAATTTTATTATTTTTTTCCTTTTATGTTTTGTGTTTTTTGTGTTTTATTTAAGGAAACTTTGCCATCTCTGATTGCAAAGATTTTTTTCCTGCGTTTTCTTCCAGATTTATAGGTTTTGCATTCAGGTCTGTGGCTCATTTAGAGTTAATTTTTATGCATGGTGTGTTATAAAGATCAGTATTAATTCCTTATATATCTAGTTGTTGAAAAGACTTTCCTTTCCCTATTCAATTGCCTTTGCACCTTTGTCCAAAATCAGTTAAATGTACGTAGGTGTGGGTTTCCTTGGTGGCTCAGTGGTAAAGAATCCACCTGCCAATGCAGGAGACATGAATTCGATCCCTAAGTCAGGAAGATCCCCTGGAGAAGGAAATGGCAACCCATTACAGTATTCTTGGCTGTAAAACACCATGGGCAGAGTTGCCTCGTGGGCTGCAGTCCATGGGGTCACAAAAAGAGCCGGACATGACTTAGTGACTAAACAACAACACATATAGGTGTGGGTCTGTTTCTGAACTCCTGTTATCCTATTCCATTGATGTATATGTTTGTCTTTTTGATAATACTGAACTATCTTGACACTGTAGCATTACAGTAAGTCTTGAAATCAGTTGTCATGTACTTTGTTTTTTCAAGATTGTTTCAACTGTTATGTTTTCTTTGTTTTAATATAAATTCTGCAGTTTGTCAACTCTATAAAAAGAAGCTAAAATAAAAATAAAAAAGGAAGCATGCTGGAGTATTGATTGGTACATATATTGAATCTGTAGGTAGATTTAGGGAGAATTGCCATTTTTAACAATGTTGCATTTTCTGATTTATAAGCATATTTTCCATTTGTTTTGGTCTTCATTTTTTCTTGCCATTGTGTTGTAGTTCATTGTAAAAGTCTTGGATGGCTTTTTTAAAAATTTTAATTCGAGGCTAATTATAATATTGTGGTGGTCTTGGATGGCTTTTGTTAGATTTGTTTTTAGGTTCCTAGATTTGTTCTAGATTGCTGTGTTTTTTGTTATTGTCAATGCTATTATTTTTATAAGTCTGTTTTCTAGTTGCTTGTTGCTAGTAGCTACGAATACAATTGAACTTTTGTAATTTAACCTTGAATCCTGCCACTTGCTAAATTCGTTTTTAATTCTAGTAATTATTTCATGTATTTCCTTAGATTGTCTTTATAAACAAACTGCGAAAAATCTGTTAAAAAAACCTGCAAATCAGTTCAGTTGCTCAGTCGTGTCAAGACTCTTTGTGACCTCATGGAATGTAGCACACCAGGCCTCCCTGTCCATCACCAACTCCTGGAGTTTATTCAAACTCATGTCCATTGAGTTGGTGATGCCATCCAACCATCTCATCCTCTGTTGTTCCCTTCTCCTGCCTTCAGTCTTTCTCAGCATCAGTGTCTTTTCAAATGAATCAGTTCCTCATCAGTTGGCTAAGATGTGTAGAATTGTCTGCTTTTCTTTTTCTGCCAGTTTTATTTTGTATACTCTGAGCCTCTGTTGTTAGACATGTGCAATGAGTAATTATATCTTCCTGATGATGTTATTTTTATTATGAAGTGTTTCTTTTTATATCTGGTAATACTCTTTGTCTTGAAGTCTATTTTATCTGATAGTAAAATAGCTACTCCAGCCTTACTATGTTTGCTGATGGCATAGTATGATTGTTTTATACCTTTACTTCCAATCCACATATGTCGTTTATGTTTAAAGTGTGCCTCTTGTGGACAGCCTGTATTAAAATACTTTTTTTATTTACTCTCTCAATGTCTGACTTTCACCTGGAGTAATTAGGCCATAAATGTTTAAATTAATTATTGACATGATTGGATTTAAGTTTGCCATTTAATTATTCGTTCTCTCTACCTTGTTTTTTTATTCCTATATACCTTCTTTTGGATTACTTAAATGTTTAGTGTTCCATTTTATTTTATTTAATTTTTACTCTCCCTCCCCCCTGCCTTTTTTTTTGGTGGGGGAGAGATTTGGTAATGGTTGCTTTCAGAATTACAATATACGTACCTATCGTTTCATCATCTACTTAAAGTTAATATCCAACCACTTTGCTTAAATGTAGAAGCCTTAACCATATAAATTGCTTTAACTGCTTATTGCTGACTATTAAATTATAGCTGTTGTATATGTTATATCTACATTTACCTTACTAGATAATGTTAAAATTTTGCTTTAAACAGTTTTTAATATTTGTCAAACTATTTACCATTTCTCTTACTCTTTCTTCATTATTAAAAATCCAAATTTCCCTCTAGTGTCATTTTTTCCTTCAGTTGAAATTTTCTCTTTGCATTTTTCACAGAGCAGTTCTGCTGGTGACAGATTTTCTTAGTTTTTGTTCATCTTAAGGGTATTTTTCACTGAATGTGGAATTTCAGGTTGATAAATCTTTTCTCTCAGGATCTTAAAGATGATGTTGTGCTGTCTTCTGTCCTTGGTTTCTGTTGAGAAAATCATCATTTGAATCATTGTTCTCTGTATGTAATATGTCATTTTTTTTCTAGCTGCTTTCTGGATTTTTTAAATCTTCAGTTTTAAACAGTTTCATTAAGATATATCTAGGTGTGTTTTTCTTTGAATTTATCCTATTGAGTGTTTAATTTACAGCTCCGTGAATCTGTGAATTTTAAGTCTTTCATTAAACTTGGGGGATTTTTCTACCGTTACCTTTTTAAAAATATTTTTTCTTAGTCTCTGTCTCTCTTTCCTCTTCTGTGATTACAACTATATCTAGGTTAGATCTTTTGATATTGATCCACAGATTGTTGAGGCTCTGTGGACTGTTCTTCAGTCTTTTTCCCTCTTTGTTCTTCAGATTGGTTAATTTCTCCTGATCTGTCTTAAGTTCATAGATTCTTTCCTCTGTCGTCTCCCTTTTGTTACTAGTCCATCCAGTGAGTTTTTTATTTTATTTGTTATTTTTCAGTTCTTAAATTTCATTTGGTTCTTTATGATTTTTATTTTTCTGCTGATGATTCCTGCATTTTCCTTTATTTCAAGTGTGTTTTCCTTTCATGAAGTGTAGTTATAATAGCTGCTTTAAAGACTTTGATAGTTCCATCATCTGCATCATCGTGGAATTGACATCTGTTTATCTGTCCTTTAAGAATTGCTTGCATTTTACTGGTTCTTTGTATGCTGCATAATTTTGGATTTTTATTCTCAAGATTGTGAATGTTATTTGTGTAGATTGTGGGTCTTTTTAGAATCTTCTGGGGATCATTGCTGCTTTTATTTCTGTTTAGGTTCACACCATAAATTCTGTTCTGCTTTCTGAAGGCATTGGTTCAGTGTTAGTTCCTTTCTTTGAGTCTTTTTTATGATGGTTTAGAGCTTAGGGGTTAGTTTTAGACGTTTTCAGGTTTTTCAAATCCTGTTTTCAGTTTTCCAATCTTCTAATACATTGGTTTGGATCTGTTTCATACTGATAACTTAGGGGTTAGTCTGAGACTTGTGTGCTTTGTTCAAATCTTATTACATTTTTCAAAGCCTTTGCTAAGCTGGTTTGACTATGTTCCATACATACATAACTCAGGTTAAGCAGTGATTTGTGTGGATTTGTACACAGAATTAGGAGATTACCTTCTTTGCCTGCCTCTACTCTGTGATTCACTCATGTTCTCTAGTATATAGAGACCCCTTTTCATGGATTCTAAGGCCAAAAAGTTTCTACTGGAATTTAAGCTGTCCTTGCTGGTCTGCAGGTGGAGCCCATCATGTTGCAAAGCCACTTGTGAGAGGGGGAAAGAAACTAGAAAGCATACCCTGTGTAACTCACTTCTACCAATTTTAACTCTTCTGCACAATCCACCTGCTTTTGTTTACTTTTTGAGGTCCAGAGTTTTTCGTTGTAATCAGCAGGAAGAATGGGCTATAGTGGGTGTATGCCACTATGCAAAAGCGGGACGTTTCTATATTAAAGCTGTAATATTGAACCTCATGTACAGAGAGCTGAGAATCATTTTTCCCTTTTTGTAGCATACTGACATTGTAAGCCTCTGTTATTTTTCTGTTTTTCCAATCCCCATGTCTGTCCCCTTCCTCCCAGAGACAGCCATACTAACAAGTTTGGTATTTGTCCTTATAGTTGAGTCCTTGTAAATAGCTAGTGTTATTTGTGTATTTGTTAATTTACTGAGTTGACATTGTACTATAGATCTGTTCTGTTTCTTGTTTTTATTCCACAATATGCTTTTTAGTTATGTTCATAGATGTGTAGAGATGGTTTATTGCTTCTAACAACTACATAGTATTCTGTAGTAAGCATGTATCACATTTTACTTTTTTCCCCCTAAGAATGGTCACCAGTGTTACTTCTAACTCCCTGCTACCACAGACTTCTATGTGTAATTCTTACCAACTCTGCCTCTAAAGTATTGTCTTGAGTTTTTTGGTTTGTCATCTCTACTGCGAAACTTTAGTTCAAGCTTAAGCCTTTGTCATCTCTTACCCATACTGTTGCAACAAACTGCTAACTCTTCTCTTTTCGTTCACTCATCCTCTGTGGGTCATTTTTTGTACAGCATCCAGAGTGGACTTTCTAAATCACACATCTAAGGTAGGTCTCACACAGTTGGTTGGAAAGGGGATGTCTCAGAGATCCTGGACTAAGCAGTTTGAGAACTGCTACTCTACCACACTTTGAGACACCTAGAAGATACTATGTTGCTACTCAGTAATGTTTGTTAACTGCATAAGTGACTGGTCTTAGATTTGGAAATTTGGATGTAGCTGTATACCAGATTTCTGGCCAGTGTAACGCAGATAAGATAGCACCCTTCCTTTAGCTATGAAATCTAAGTATCATGTTGCTTAATTAAGACAGGGTGTCCTGACATCAAGGTTTAGGGCTGAGGCTAAGGGAAAAGGAAGATGGATCAGACTAGAGTTTACAAACTGTTCTTTTCCTTCTTTATTCTTAGGGGTACTGTTTGGTTACTGTCCCTCTGCCAGAGAAATAGAGAAGCCTGGATATACCTTCTTATAGATCAGGAGATCTTCTGAAGGGTCATCAAACACCCTCTTACTTTTACTACTTTCTTTTCTTTGATGAATTTAGGAAAGAATACCTATTTTGGCTATAAAGTGATGATTTATGGAGAGTGCTTATTTTTTCTGATTATAGCAAAGTGTAATAACAATTTTATGTATTGTATCAGGTCAACTATTTTAATTGTTAGAAAATTACAATCTAAATTGTTTTTATTATCAGGCTTCTTAGTTTTTTTGTACAGGTAACCAACTTGGTTATCTTCTTAGGATGTAATATAGTTAATCGGAACTTTATCCCAGACCCTTCTTTGTGGTGTTTCTCTTTGTGTCTTGTTAGTAGCAGGACCCAATGCTCCATAAAGGATAATAGTTTCCAGTACACTATCCCTCACGATGACTCCTTAAGCGGCTCATCATCTGCTTCTTCATGTGAACCAGTGAGTGATTTTCCAGCGTCTTTCCGAAAATCTACCTACTGGATGAAAATGAGAAGGATCAAGTCAGCTGCTGCTTCCCATGTAGAAGGTATCAGTATTATTATTTTATTCTATCTTATTCCAAAGACAGAGAACTCTCTACTTAATATTTTGAGGTGGTGGTTTAGTCGCTAAGTCATGTCTGACTCTTTGTGACCCTATGGATTGTAGACCAGACTCCTCTGTCCATGGGATTTCCCAGGCAAGAATACTGGAGTGGATTGCCATTTCTTTCTCCAGTATTTTGAGATAGCTATTGTAAATGACTTTTAAAGTATTAAGTACCACTTACGTGTTTCTTATTAGTGATTGAATTTTTTTTTTTTTTTTGGCTGTGCTGTGCAGCTTGTGGGATCTTAGTTCCCCAGCACGGGATTAAACCTGGGACTCAGCAGTGAAAGCAGAGTCCTAACCACTGGACAGCCAGGGAACTCCCTTGAAATTTTTTAAGGTGTTAGGCTGTCACACACTATTAGTTTCATGAACTGCTCCTCTATTTTACTGAGTGAAAGTCTGCAGATCTTATTTCTCTAGGCTATACTGGTATCACCTTTCCTTTTCACATGAATTGAACTTTTTTTCCCATTGTTCTAGTTTGATCCTCTGTTGAAGGTTTAGGGACTGGTGGTAAAAGGGCTGTTCTAAGTAGAATTTTCTTAGTGGTTATAGCCTGAGGGGTTCTTGGGAGCCCTTTATCTTAGACAGTTAGCCTCAAATCAGGATCAAACAAATCACACTGCCTAAAGGACCTTATTAGTCACAGGGAACAGTTAATCATTTGGAATGGAGAACAATACAGAAGGAAAAGGGGAGGTTGAGTCAATTAATAGAAGGTTATATCAACTTCCCTAAAAAACTTATGAATACTTCATGAGGCCTCGCTTGCTGATGATCTTTTTTTCCTTTCATGATCTTGTGATAGATGATTTAGAGGCAGGCCTAGATGTTCATATATAAACCATACTAAGATTTTGTTTTGTTTTCTTGTGTTATTTCAGGGTCAGGTGGAGTATCAACCAAAGGAAAAAGGAAACCGAGGCAGGAAGAAGATGAAGACTATCGAGAATTTCCTCAGAAGAAGCATAAGCTTTATGGTAAGGGAGTAACTTCGCTAATTCTTTTTCCCTGGGTGCCTAGGTTTTGTTTTTTGAAGGTGAAAGGAACCTTAGGTTTTGGCCTTAAGCACTTTTGAGCCCTTTGAATTTTTTGGCAAGGAATGGCCTCCAACCTGCCTTATTTTTTACCCTTTTCTTCTCTCTTGACTTAAGGGAGTCAGTTGGTTGAGGGAGTGGGGCACAGCGTGTTGAGGAGGGAAGAGATTTTGGTGGTAGCGCAGGATCAGCAGAGGTGATGTGTCAGGCTTCAAGTTTCTGTTTTGCGTCAGGGAGGAAGCAGCGGCCTAAAGCTCAGCCTAATCCCAAAGCCCAGACTCGCCGTATTCGGAAGGAACCACCAGCTTATGCAGCAGGTATGCTTTCAGAAGCTTTGTGAGATCTAGTTCTCTCATTCTGTCTTTGTTGTTGTTGCTGTTGGTAAAGGAATGATGTACCAAAGCATTTCTTTAGGAGGCACTTGTTAGGGACATAGGTTTGAAGATAAGTCATGTTTGTTCAAGTTTTGGCTCTTTGTTAATTCTTTGACCTGCCTCTTAATTTCTGCAAACTTCAGTTTCCTAGTCTCTAAATAGGAATAATAAAGCAGTCAGAATTGTTGTGAAAATTAAATGGGATAAAAGCATTCACCAATCTCTGGCACATACGAACACTTAGCAAACTGGTTGTTAGATATCTCAATTACATATCCCATTCTTACATGCTGCTATGAAAAATGTTACTCATTGTCACTTATAGGTCAGTAAAACTGGGGAAAAAGTTATTGTCCATTTCTATGAGCCACTGGGCTTGGGAGTAGTTCTTGGATGGTTTTTGTCATGGGAATTGAATAGGAGTTTCTGAAACTCTTCACTGTCTGAAAAAATTTATTTCTAGAAGTTATATACAGCAAGAGTTTTTCCCCCAGGAAGAGAAAAAGCCACTTTATGATACTTTTCCTAAAGTCTGAGATTGTGCTTTTTGTATCTGGAGAATACCGCAAATTGTAAGTGTTCCTTTCTCTCCTTTGTAGGCAGTTTAGAGGAGCAGTGGTACTTAGAAATTGTGGATAAAGGCAGTGTCTCCTGTCCTACCTGCCAGGCAGTGGGGAGAAAGACCATAGAGGGCTTAAAGAAACACATGGAAAACTGCAAACAGGTTAGATAATTTGTGGCATTTCATAACTCATGAATTTTTACCCAAACTTGAAACCTCCGACACTGCGTTGGATATGCTGATTATTGTGGAGAAGAGGCAGCTTTGTGTCATAGAGAGTCTGACAGACTTGGGTTTGAATCGTCATTCAGCCACTTACTTGTTGGGTCATTTAGTTTTTCATTTGTGGACCTCAATTTTCACATTTATAAAGTAGCAATTATTACTTCCTGTGTAACCCATGAGGATAAAAAAGTGCCTGTCCCATTTCTTGACAAATACTGGCACTCAGTAAATGGTAGTTCTTATTATTTTAAAAATGCGTAGCCTTTACCTCTTTGCCCTTGAGGACATGACAGTGAATTTGGGGGATTTTGAGATTCATTATTATTGTATAATTTGGGAAATGAAGATACAGATGAGAGCATTTGCATAGGACTTTGTGACATCCTGTTTCTTTGTTGAACAGTTTGGCACTGAGCAGCATTTTTCCCTTGTAGGAAATGTTTACTTGTCATCATTGTGGGAAACAGCTTCGTTCATTAGCAGGGATGAAGTATCACGTCATGGCAAATCATAATAGCTTGGTAAGAGCATCTTCTGTCCCTCATGAGCATGTGATATTTGAATGTCTTTACTTGGATGAGTGTAGAAACCTCAGTGGAGATGGCTAAAGCTCTGGGACTTCATAGGGATGTAAGGAAGAAGAGGTCATTTTGATAGAAGAGTTACACACAATAAAATGTGGATACGGAAGTATTTGAGGTATTTGTGTGTTTAGGTTAGCCCAAAGGTTCATATCCTGAGAGGTAGAGACTTTGAACTCTTAGTTCCTTTACATTCACTTTACTGTTCAGGAGAAGATAAAGAAAGCCAGGAGTCAGATAACTTAGATTTCGTGATCATTAGCTTAGGTTCTAGTCCAGTCCTTGATTCTCATGGAATTTTTTTCTGTGAATCATCTGCCTGTTTGTTTCTCTTGTTTTCAAGCCCATTTTAAAGGCTGGAGATGAAATAGATGAACCAAGTGAGAGGGAACGTCTCCGAACAGTTCTGAAGAGACTGGGAAAGCTGAGATGCATGCGTGAGGTAAGAGCCCAAAGACAGAAACTCCATTTGCCTGGAGCCTCAGGTCAATGTCTTTCTGTTACTTGCTCCCATCTCTCCTTCTCCCTTACAGAACTGGTTTTGTGTCATCTTCCAGCATCAGAGTAACTTCTGATTTTCAAGGTCTCCTGAACTCATTAACAGTTCTTTATTTTCTTTCTCATCTCCAGAAATGTGTGCTTCTCCCTTTTCCCTTTGTTTGAAGGAGTTTCTTTGTCATCCTTTCTTTTGTGTGATAAAGAGGATCATAGTAACCTCATATTGAGGAACTTTGGTATTGCTGGGTATTTGGTGTTGGAATGGAGCTGGTTCATAGATCAAGGAGGAAGCTCTGACACAGAGGAGGTATACAGTTCTAGTTTGTTGAATGCTGACTAAACTGGTTGAATTTCATGCTTGGTGGTAGAAAGGATAGCACTTGGGCCAGGGAAAAGGAAGGGTTGTGCCAATGGGAAATGTTGAAGAGGGTCTAGTAATATCAGAGCGTCTAGTTGTGTGACATGGCTCTTTAGAAATTAGAGGTCATATCAAAATACATAAGATTAAAATATAGGCCTTTCTCCTGTGTTCAGAGTTGCTCTAGTAGCTTCACCAGCATTATGGGATATCTGTACCATGTGAGAAAATGTGGCAAAGGGGCTGCTGAGCTGGAGAAGATGACCCTGAAATGTCACCACTGTGGAAAGCCGTATAGATCAAAGGCTGGACTTGCGTATCACCTGAGGTCAGAGCATGGTCCTGTGAGTACTGATTACTTTCCAGACCTTGTTTGGGGGGTCTATTCTGTGGTGACTGCTTTGCGGCTACATCTTCTGTACATCCTTGGTTCCTCATTTGTAGTTCCTTTTATTCTGAATGTTTTTGTTCTCTTTTTCCTTGTTTCTGTGCTCTTCTTTCTGCTGTTTGATCACTATTAGGTTAGAGAAATCAAAGTTTATTGTGTAGTCTGGGTCGAAGTAAACTCAATACTGTATTTTTAAAGCATAAGGCATTCTCCCTTAGCTAGAAATTTTATGGGACTCTATCCAGCTGGTTCAGTCCCTCTATTCCAGTTTTCTTGTCCTGACTTTTTCTTTTCCTCATTACATTTCTAGGCTCTCCTACCTCATGTTTCTTTTTAGCACTAAGTTTCAAGGTATAGTTTAGATATGGTCATTAATATTCACCCTTTTTAGTGTACATTATAAGAGTTTGAGAAAAACATACATAACTACTACCACAATCAAGATATAGGACAATTTAAACATTTCCCCCAAATTCTTTTGTGTCACTTTGTAGTCAGTTGTTCTTCCCACTCCCAGCTGGCTCACCACTGATACATTTCATGTCCTTATAGTTTTGCCTTTTTTGGAATGTTATATAAATGAAGTTGTACAGTATATACCTGTTTGAGTCTGACTTCTTCCACTAAGCATAATACATTTGAAACTTGTCCATGTCTTACATGTATCATTAGTTTATTCCTTTTTGTTTCTGTCTAGGATTCCATTCTGTCTAGGATGTTTCACAAGTTGTTTATCCATTCACCAGTTGAAGAGCATTTGAGTTCTTTCTAGTTTTTGGCAATCAGGAATAAGCTGCTGTAAATATTTACATAAAGGTTTTTGCATGAAAATAAGTTTTAATTTCTCTTGGGTAAAGAAATACTTAGGAATGGGATTGCTAGGTTATGTGATAAATGTATGGTTTACCTTTTTAAGAAACAGCCAAACTTTTCTAAAGCAGCTGAGCCATTTTCTCACCAGCAGAGTATGAGAATTTTAGTTGCTTTGCATGTTTATCAACTCTTGGCTATTGTCAGGTTCATTTTTGAAATCCATTCTAATAAATATATAGCAGTATTTTACTGCTGTTTTAAATTTGCACTTCCCTAATGACTAGTGATGTTGACTGTCTTTTCATGTGCTTATTGGGAATGTCAGTCTTTAGTGAAATTTCTTCTTTAGTGAAGAGTCTATTGAAATCCTTTGTTCATTTTATTGTTGGAGTATTTGTTGTTTTACTAATAAGTTTTAAGGCTTCCCTGGTGGCTCAGAAGGTAAAGAATGCACCTGCAATGTGGGAGTCCTGTGTTGGGAAGATCCCCTAGAGGAGGGCATGGCAACCCACTCCAGTATTCTTGCCTGGCTTCCCTGATAGCTCAGTTGGTAAAGAGTGCACCTTCAGTGCAGGAGACCCCAGTTTGATTCCTGGGTCAGGAAGATCTGCTGGAGAAGGGATAGGCTACCCACTCCAGTATTCTTGGGCTTCCCTTGTGGCTCAGCTGATAAAGAATCCACCTGCAATGGGGGAGACCTGACCTGGGTTCAATCCCTGGGTTGGGAAGAGCCCCTGAAGAAGAGAACAGCTTCCCACTCCAGTATTCTGGCCTGGAGAATTACATGGACTGTATAGTCCATGGGGTCACAAAGAGTCAAACAAAATTGAGTCACTTTCATTAAGTTTTACATAATATTTTGAATTTTTTAAAATACATTCTGGACACAAGTCTTTAAGCAGATACATGTTTTACAAATATTTTCTTCTGGTCTTAGCTTGTCTTTGCATTTTTTATAGTGTTTTTCAAAGGGAAGAATTCTTAATTTTCATAAAGTTCAGTTTTTCTTTTTTCTCCCTTCATGGATAATGCTTTTGTTTTTATAGCTAAGATATTTTTGCTCAGTATGATGTATAATTTTCTTTTGCTGCATTAAAACAATCATCATAAAATTAATGGCTTACACAACATAAATGTATTATCTCACAGTTTATTAGGCCAGAAGTTCAGGCTCAGCTGGTTCTCCTGCGTAGAACCTCATCAGACTGGGCTCAAAGTGTTAGTAGGACTGTTCCTTTATGGAGGTTTGAGGGGCGGATCTGTTTGCAGGATCATTAAGCTCAATCAAGAATTCAGTTCCATGCAGGTATAAGACCTTATTTCTTTGCTTGCTGGGAGAGGTGCTCAGCTTCTGAAGGCCACCTGCAACCTTTGGCTCATGGACGCATTTGTGTTTGAGTCAGCAAGAGTATTGAGTCTCTCTCATCTTGGGAATCTTTCCTGTCTTTTTTTTTTCTGTCACACCTGTCTTACTTAAAGTCAGCTGACTGTGGACACAAATTAGATTTACCTTAAAATTAAACCTAGGTTAATGTTTGATTGACTAACTGATGACAGTAGCCTAACAAAGTGGACACATCAGAACCCATCATGCCCAGGATCATAAGAATGTTCTCCCTAGGTTTCTCCTAGAATTTTTATACTTTTTATGGTTTATATCTAGGGCTATAATGCATGTTTATTTCTTCTTATATGGGTATGTCTTGACTTTTTAACCACTTGTTACAATACAACAGATTTTATCCTGCTAAGAAGCTTTTTTACCAGTAAAATATGCAGTAATATGGTGGAGCTTGATACTAGTGGTTAGCAAGCTAGTGAAGAGCTATTTTGATTTTTAGGGCAGGAAGGACAGCCTTTAATCACTGGCTCTAATGGAAACCATTTCTCAGGCCTGTGTTTTACTATGTCTTATTCTTGCAGATATCCTTCTTTCCAGAGTCAGGACAGCCAGAGTGCTTGAAGGACATGAGCTTGGAGTCGAAGAGTGGAGGCCGAGTTCAAAGACGTTCTGCCAAGATAGCTGTATACCACCTGCAGGAACTGGCCTCTGCTGAACTGGCCAAGGAATGGCCTAAGAGAAAGGTGCTTCAGGATCTGGTACCTGATGATCGGAAGGTGAGGCAGAAACTTGTATTAATTTTGAACCATTAGGTCTGATATTGTGCTTACTACATGCAGAAAGGTAAACATATTTGAGTAATTACATGACAAATAGTATTTTTCTCCTTTATCCTCGAAGATGGAGTACATATGATCCAGCTTCAGTGTTTGAATTCATGTAGGTCCTAGAGTGACAGTCTTTTTCAGAAGTTCTTTAAGGAGCTCTCTTAATTTTAGACTACTTCCAGGGGAACCTGAATTCCCAGAATTTTGTTTGGTCTTTGCCCAGTGTGTTTTTACTTTGTTAGTTCATATGTAGTAGTTTAATATTTAGTTTAGGTAAGAACTCCTCTTATTTGTATCAATTAGTTTTTATAGCAGTAGACTTCCTCTTCCCACCTTCTTTCTTTTCCCAAATAAAAGCTTATGCAAAACACCATTTTATATACTAAAAAGGAGTTGCATTGACTGGGGGTAGTGAGCCCAAAACTGAAAGAAAAAAATCTTAAAAGCAGCAAAGCAACTGGATATGTACAAGAGAACTCCCACAGGACTATCAGTTGACTTTTCAGCAGAAACTTTGCAGGCCAGAAGGGGGTGACATAATATATTTAAAACCATGAAAAAACCTACAACCAAGTACCCTACCCAGCAAGGCTGTCATTCAGCTTTGAAGGATAGAGAAAAGATTTTACAAGACAAGTAAAAGCTACAGGAGTTCAGCACCACTAAATCAGCTTTATAAGAAATGTTAAAGGGACTTATGGATATATAAAACAAAAAGATACAGAATATGTCTAAAACATTTGATGGGGGTAGAATAAAAATGCAGGGTTGTTAGAAAGCCTTCATACTTACGAGAACAGCAAGTATATATGTATAATATTGTGGCTTGCTGTTGGGTTTTCTCTGGTGGCTCAGATGGTAAAGAATCTGCCTTGAGTGCAGGAGACCTGGGCTTGATCCCTGGGTTGGGAATACTGGAGAACAGAGTGGCTACACACTCCAGTATTCTTTCCTGGAGAATTCCATGAACAGAGGATCCTGGCTTGCTATAGTCGATGGGGTCCCAAGAGTCAGACACTACTGAGCAACTCACACTTTCACTTCCAAGGGTTGCTGTATGTAAACCTCTTGGTAACCACAAACCAAAAATCTACAATAGATAAACATGAAAAAAGAGAAATGAATCCAAAACTGTCACTAAAGATAGTCATCAAATCACAAGGGAAGAGAGGAAAAGAAGAAGGAGGAACAAAGAAGAATAGATAACCTGAGAACAGTTAGCTAAACACAGTAAGCACATATCTGTCAATAATTACTTTAGATATAAATGGACTAAATATTCCAATCAAAAGACAAGGTGACTGAATGGATATGAAAATAAGATCTGTATATATGCTGTCTAAAAGAGACTCATTTCACATCTGACTGGCTGAAAGGGAGGGGATGAAAAAAGGTATTCCATGCAAATGGAAACAGAAAGAAAGTTGTTCAATACTTATATCAGACAAAATAGAACTTAAAGACTATAACAAGAAACAAAGTACATGACATAGATAAACAATCCAACAAGAAGACATAACAATCTCAAATATATATTCACTCAGGGTGCTCATGTTCGGTTGTATCCGACTCTTTGCAACCCTTTGGACTATAGCCCACCATGCTCCTCTGTCCATGGGATTTTCCAGGCAGGAATACTGTAGTGGATTGCCGTTCCTCCTCCAGGGGATCTTCCTGACCCGGGGATCGAACCTGCGTCTCCTGCATTGCAGGCAGATCCTTTATCCGCTGAGCCAGCGGGGAAACCTATTAAACACACGAAATGTAAAAATAATGTGTCTTATGTTGCTTTTGGATGGAATATATATATTTAATATGTAAAGTCCATGTGGTATAATGTGTCATTTAAGGCGAGTTTTCCTTACTGATTTTCTGTTTGGATGATCTGTCTGTTAATGTAAATGGGGTGTTAAAATCCCGTGCTGATACTGTGTTACTGTTCTGCATTTTTGTTTGTTAAATACATAAAGCAAATATTAACAACCAGTTCTGTACTCTGATTTATCAAAGGTTCTTTAGTTTACCTTCCTTACTTCCCCCATTACCTCTCCAGACTTGGTTCTGTCTTTCTATCTCAGAGAATTAGCTTCCTTTCAGATACTTTCATTTTTCAAGTAGGAGGATTCTTTACTCACCAGAAATAACTATCTGTTACCAATGGTGAACTTTGTAAGAACTATCTCTGCAGATGTTAAAAACTTTTTTCTGGAAACTAGTTAACAGGACTTCTCTGGTGGTCCAGGGGTTAAAACTGTGTTCCCGATACAGGGGGTTTGAGTTTGATCCCTAGTTGGGGAAATAAGATTCCGCATGGCCCAAAGCATGGCCAAAAAAAAAAGTCACTGGAAACTAATTACAGTTGTAAGAAGAGACCAACTGGTGTCAAAATGTGGGAAAGAAAGTTCTGGGACTAATTCTAATTTTGTAGTATAAGGAAATAATAGGTGTTCTGTTCTCTTAGTCTTCTTACATTCTTTCAGATTGAACCTTAATTTTTTGGTGTTAGAATTTTTGAATATCAAAAATTAACATGATTTCATTGAAGAAAAATGATAAATGCAGATAAGCAGGAATAAAATGAAAACCACTCAAAATTCTAGCACCCAGAGAATACTGCTGTTAACATTTTGATTTCTATCTTTTGACCTATATACATATATTTCTATTAAATATATAATATTTATATATTATATTTATATATTGGTATATATGTATAAATATATAATATTTATATATAATATTTCTTGAGTATTAAGTATACATATATAGAGAGAGGACATATCTGTATTGCTTTCTCTCTCTTTTGTAACAAATATTTTTACTGTGTAATGCTCTGTCACTAGCTTTTTTATTTTCAACTTTAGCTGAAATGTTATATCTGAAAGTCTCCTGTCGTCTGTTAAAAGTCAAACTGTTTTAAGACAAAACAGTAGGCAATGTTTTGAAACAAACATAATATGTTTCAGGAACTTAAAAGGATCTTACATGTTTTTTGTGTATGAAAATATACTTCTGTAAATCCAGAATTACATGACCTGAAGAGTTCACATAATTCTCTTACTTATGGGATATTTTGGTTGAAAGGTAAGTTCCTCCAATAAAATGTTTCCTGTCTTATAGTTAAAATATACTCGTCCTGGGCTCCCGACCTTCAGCCAAGAAGTACTACACAAATGGAAGTCAGATATCAAGAAGTATCATCGCATCCAGTGTCCTAACCAGGTGGTTCTTTCTCATTCATCTAGTCATTAAATGTTGATCAAGTATCTACTGTTGTTTCAGTTATTTATTCCTTTGTGACAAAGCACGTGAATCTTAAAGAGTTAAAACATTGATTACTTTATTAAGAGTTCTGTAAATCACCAACTCTATCCACACTCAAAGGGCAGTTGTATTAATACATGGCATCAGCTGGAATCATTTATGGGTTGCTTTCAGCTGGAAGTTCTGAGTGTTGAATGGCTTCTAAGCAGCCACTTCAGTTGGGATATTGGCTGCCCATATGCACTGTCTCTCTTGCATTGTAGTTGGATTACCAGCAGGATACATGGTGACTGAATTCTCAAGAAGAATATTCTAAGAACATAAAGCAAAAACTCAGGTCTCTTAAGCCTAGCTTCAGAATTTGTTCAGCATCATTTTCATAGCATGCTGTTTGTCAAAGGAATCACAGGACTTACCCAGTTTCAAAGGGAGAGTGTATGACTCATTTCCTGATTGGAAAAGTGGCATAGACTTTCCCACCATCATCAATCAACTGCAATTGTATGTGCATTCCTTTGGGGAGGAGTAGATATACAAGAGACATTTATACTAGAGAAAGTTGATTTTTGCAAAACCTGAGCATACAATTTTTTGTGTTTTTCTAAGTATCGGAAAAGCACAGGGAAGAGAATGTTTTAAGCTTTATTAAGCAGCTTGCTTATCTCTTTTTCTTTTACCTCTTGTTCTCTGGCTTGCATATGTTTCTGTGTGGTTGTGGTGCAGTTTATTTGACCTCTTCCTCCTGGGGGCAGAGTGGGTTAATGTGAATGGCCAGATGGCTAAGAAAATGATGCTATTTGGTATCATCTTCATATGCTCTCTTCTCTTTTACAGGGTTGTGAGGCTGTCTACAGTAGTGTATCTGGTCTTAAAGCTCACCTGGGCTCTTGTACATTGGTTTGTAACATTCTGAACTATTTATCTGAACATGACCTCTAAAATAGTCTGACATGGAAGAGAATTCAGATTCGGTGAACAGCTACTTACCCTGTTGTCTGTTATCTTCAAAGACTTGTTTAGTTTTTTTGTGTGTCCCCAAAATTCTTGGTCTGTTACTAGGTGGGATACCAAGGCATGCCAAAGATGCAGAATAGCCCAAAATAGCCATAAGTCATATCAATGAAAAAATTTGGAGAAAAATACATAGTTCTCAGTGCCTATCAGGGATTTAACTTTTTCCACCTGAGCCTATGCTACACTGGGCCTGTCCTGCTTTACTGGACCTTCAGCTTCCTAGAATCAACTTAACATGTGTTTATTTAGATTGGTGATGATCTCCAGAGCCATCTGAACTATACTGTCTTCCTGGCATGGGAGATGGGATTCCTGGATGTCAGGTTCACAGCCATTCACCTCACTGAATCTTTTCCATGTTGACCCAGGGGCCCTATAGCCCACCAGCCCTGGGATTGCTGCCACTTGCTGTTCCTGTTCAGTATCTGCTCACACAAAATGAGCACCATGGAAATCTGAAGCTTCAGGAGGGGAGAGAAGTCTTAATTCAAGGCAACAAGGGAGTGGTAGGCTCCCAAACCAGACCTGTGCAGGAATGCTTAGGGGTTTGTCATCTTGATCCTAGTTTGAGTCATTCAGCTAGGTCTTATTGAGGGTGATCTTCTAATTTTGAATTCCCAAGGCATTCTTTACAGCAGTGGATGATTTTAGTGGGAAGAATTACATGTTGGTTCCTCATTGAACTTAAGGAGTTTGATCATTTAGGGGGGGACACCTGGAAGGAAGTGGAAGACATAGGGAAGATAGAACAATGTGACATGTTACATAATAAAATTGGGGAACTTCAGATTGTGTTGGGGGCTTAGTGCGGGCAGTGTTTGGTGTAGAATTACATTAGAATAGATGTATTATGGTGATAATATACCCAAATGAGTTTTCCTAAGTATATTGCTGTGCTTCACTTTGCTGAAGTCATATTTCCTCTTTTCATTTCTAATAGTCCCTACCCATTGCCCAGGTAGCACATGTGGCTTGTTGGAAGGATAGCATTAACTATTTAACATGTAATGGTGCACTTTAACTTTTACCTGGCATGTTGTCTTCTCCGTACTTTGAGGAAGGGAGGGTCTCTGCTGGCACTAACTTACTTATCTGCTGAATTAGCAGTTTACTTGGCTGTAACCATTATTTGTGGGTGTAACTTAGGATAGGCTTAAAGTGCTGGGTGGTGATTTGCGTTCAAACAATAAATTGTATTTTTTCAGTATTGTAAATATATGTATGTATATATGGGTGTGTATACACACACTCACAAGCATAGATAACATAGATACATACATTACTGTTTGAGATTTTCCTAAATTTGCCCCTAAATTGACCAGTCATGCTTTTTTTCTTTCTTGAAAATAGGGAACGTTTGTGGCTGGAAAATACAAGTGTCTTCTTTGTCAGAAAGAATTTGTGTCAGAGAGTGGTGTCAAGTATCACATCAACTCTGTCCACGCTGAGGTGAGGTTCCTTCTTTCCCACAACTTCATAATCTTGTGGATCCCGTGACTGTGCCACAAGGGCACATGGATTTTGTGCTTCTTACTATGGGCTGGGACTGTCAAGAAAAACTAAAGCGTCTACTGGACTCATTAGAGTTAAAAGACTTTCTTAAATCAGATGTAGACTAGTATATTTCTGTGAAAGCATTTGGGCTTCCTTGGTAGTTCAGCTGGTAAAGAATCTGCCTGCAATGCAGGAGACCCTGGTTCAATTCCTGGGTCAGGAAGGTCTGGACAAGGGAGTGGCGACCCATTCCAGTATTTTTGGGCTTCCCTGGTGGCTCAGACAGTAAAGTATCTGTTTGCAATGTGGGAGACCTGGGTTTGATCCCTGGGTTGGAAAGATCCCTTGGAGAAGGGAATGGCTACTGACTCCAGTATTCTAGCCTGGAGAATTTCATGGACAGAGGAGCCTGGCATGTTATACTCCATGTGGTCACCAAGAGTTGGACACGACTGAGTGACTTTTACTCACTCATTCATGAAAGCATTTGAAATAACTGTGGCTATGAGCATCCCTGATTCTTCTAATTAACTTGTATGCACGGGCTCAGTCATGTCTGACTCTGTTGTGAGCTCATGGAGTGAGGCCTACCAGGCTCCTCTGACCATGGGATTTCCCAGGCAAGAATACTGGAGTGGGTTGCCATTTCCTTCTCCAGGGGATCTATGCAACACAGGGATTGAACCCACGTCTCCTGTGTCTCCTGTTTTACCACTGAGCCACCTGGGAAGCCCTCTGATTTCCTGAAGTCTAGTTAAACTAGGCATTTGACAACCAGGCTGCATTTACACCTTTGGAATTCTTGTTTCACAGCAATGTCTGTACTCCTGTTTTCTGGTATTCCAACATCTTTGAGCAACCTGTTTTGAATATTGTTGAAATACTGCATAGAAACAATGTAAAAGATGTTATTGAGAGAACTGAGGTAATTTGAATACTAACTGTACTACATAGTGATAGTAATAAGTCAATGTTAATATTCCAAAATGTGATAACTGTATTGTAGTTATGCAGGGAATGCCCTTGTTCTTAGGCAGATACATGACGTTTTTAGGAATAAAGTATCATGTCGGTAACTAAACTGAAGATGGTTCAGAGGAAGGAACAAAGGGAGAGTTGGAGGGAGGGAAGGAAGGGAAGAGAGATTAACAGAGGTCAGTCTCAGTGTTCATTGAACTATTGTAACTTTTGTGGAAAGTCTGTAAATTTTCAAAATTAAAATATTAAAAGTTGAAAATGCTTTAAGTTCAGAAGATCAAGAGTTTTCTCTTGGGGAAGGTTTTTAGGAGTCCAGATGAACAGAGAATTTGTCTGCTATAGAATTAAATCCCTTATTGCAAAAGCTCAGGGAGTAGAGTGTGTGTTCTCTTGGCATATTTTACTGCAGAAACTATTGTTGCCTGCTGGGGAAAAATAGCAAGCCTCTGCAGTAGTTCTCTGCCCTCAGGTGTAATAGTTCTTAGCCATGTGGGCTTCAGTTCAGTTCAGTTCAGTCTGTCAGTTGTGTCCGACTCTTTGTGTGACCCCACGAACTGCAGCATGCCAGGCCTCCTTGTCCATCACCAACTGCCAGAGTCCACCCAAACCCATGTCCATTGAGTCAGTGATGCCATCCAACCATCTCATCCTCTGTGGTCCCCTTCTCTTCCTGCCCTCAATCTTTCCCGGCATCAGGGTCTTTTCAAATGAGTCAGCTCTTCCCATCAGGTGTCCAAAATATTGGAGTTTCAGCTTCAAAATCAGTCCTTCCAATGAACACCCAGGGCTGATCTCCTGTAGGATGGACTGATTGGATCTCATCGCAGTCCAAGGGACTCTCAAGAGTCTTCTCCAACACCACAGTTCAAAAGCATCAATTCTTCTGCATTCAGCTTTCTTTATAGTCCGACTCTCACATCCATATACGACCACTGGAAAAACCATAGCCTTGACTAGACAGACCTTTGTTGACAAAGTAATGTCTGCTTTTTAATATGCTGTCTAGGTTGGTCATAACTTTCCTTCCAAGGAGTAAGCGTCTTTTAGTTTCATGGCTGCAGTTATCATCTGTGGTGATTTTGGAGCCCAGAAAAATAAAGTCAGCCACTGTTTCACTGTTTCCCCATCTATTTGCCATGAAGTGATGGAACCGGATGCCATGATCTTAGTTTCCTGAATGTGGAGCTTTAAGCCAACTTTACACTCTCCTCTTTCACTTTCATCAAGAGGTTCTTTAGTTCTTCTTCACTTTCTGCCATAAGGGTGGTGTATTCTGCATATCTGAGGTTATTGATATTTCTCCCAGCAGTCTTGATTCTAGCTTGTGCTTCCTCCAGCCCAGCATTTCTCATGATGTACTATTGCATATAAGTTAAATAAGCAGGGTGACAATATACAGCCTTGACGTACTCCTTTTCCTATTTGGAACCAGTCTGTTGTTTCATGTCCAGTTCCAACTGTTGCTTCCTGACCTGCATACAGGTTTCTCAGGAGGCAGGTCAGGTGGTCTGGTATTCCCATCTGTTTCAGAATTTCCCTCAGTTTATTGTGATCCACACAGTCAAAGGCTTTGGCCTAGTCAATAAAGCAGAAATAGATGTTTTTCTGGGCTTCAGTTAGTGTCATCTGTTGTGGTTCCTGTTGCTTTACCGGTTGAAGCTTTGGGGATCCCTTTCCTCATCTGAGATTTCTTCAGGAAGGCCAGTCCTTATTTTCTTTTTTAATAATACTATAACTTTTTATGCTATAGGAAGTGTTTGAAAAGTGTTAACAAAATATGGTTTTGTGTAGTTCACTTGTTTCTCCAGTTTCTTCCTCAGAAGTTGGAACCAACAGATTTCACTTAGTCTTGGACTTGCTCCCAAGCATTTGTTCAATGATTTATGATGGTATTTATGAACTCTGTACTGTGGTAAACGTGTTTACCTTGTTCTTACCATTTTGCCTCACTTTCTTAGGCTACATTTTTTTAAACATGTTCAGAAACAGTGTAAGTGGACAGAGTAGTGTAATGAACAGCTTTCACAGTCCTCTCTGTGGCCCATCTTGTGTCACTGATAATTGCATCCACTTTCCTTGTCCTTTTAAGGCTTATTTTAAAGCAAATTCCACATCACATATTAGCTATCAATACTTCTTTCAACCTGTGTCTAGAAATATGAGGGCTTTTAAAAATACATAACTGCAACCATCATCACACATTAAAACTTAACAAAGGTTCCTTAATATCGTCATACATGTACTCAATATTTATACTTCCCTGTCTCATCATTTTATTTCAGATTTGGTTTATTCCAATCAAGATCTAAAACCGGACTTCCCTGGTGGTCCAGTGGTTAAGACTCTGTGCTTCCACTGCAGGAGGAAAAAAAAGGAAGTAAATGAATGAATGAATTAAAATAAAATAGACAAATGCAGTATATGGACCTTTGTTTTAGATTTTGTTTTTTTGCCTCACCACATGGCATGGGGAATCTCAGTTCTCCTAACAGGGAACCAGTGCCCCTTGCATTTTGAGCGCCGAGTCTTAACCACTGTACTGCTAGGGAAATCCTTCTGTTTGTCTGTTTTAATCTAGAGTAGTGCTATCTAATAGAAATATAATGTGAGCCACATGTGTAATCCCAAGTTTTCTACTAACTGCATTTTTAAAAAGTATAAAGAAAACTGGTGAAATTTACTTTAATACTGTATTTTATTTAAACACAATATATCTAAAATACTATCTTTTTAACATGGTAGTCAATATGGAATTATTAATGAGATACTTTACATTTTTCTTTTTTTTTTTTTACATTTTTTTTCAGAGGAAGTCTTTGAAATTTACTGTGTGTTTTATATAGAAAGCATATCTCAATTTGGATTAAGCACATTTTAAGAGCTTATTAATGACACATGGCTGGTGACAATCTCATCAGGCAATGCAGATGTTTCTTTTCCCCTATTATTTAAGAAACCAGGCCCTTGGTCACATGTTTACTCAAATTCTGGACTTGGCTCTTTGCATTCCTATAGCAGTGATTCTCTATTCTGCTATTTCCTATAAATTGGTAGTTAGAGCTAGAAGACTGAGCAGATTTCTTGATTTAGGTTGACATTTTTTTATTGAATGTATTTCTGTGTTTTGTTTTGGTTTTTTTCTTTTGCAGGAATAGTTCTTCATTGGGTTCCAGTTCCTCCAGCCCTTAATTTTTTAAACTGAGACTCAGAGAGGTTAAGTAGTTTTCTGATGGTCACATGGTTCGAAACAGAGCTGAGATTTATACTTCGGTGGCCTGACTGCAAAATTAAAAATTGAAATAAAAATCTCCCATGGCCAAATGCTTTATTTTTCATGAGGAGATCTTCAAAAGGAGAGGAATGGGTGGGATGATGCTAAGTAATCAGACTTTGTAGATCCCTTACAGTAGTACCTGAAGTCATGTCTTACACAAGAAATGCTTGTAATGACTGCTTTGTATTGAATTTCTCCAGTTTATAAGACAAAGTTCTAAGCTCTGGTTTCATATCTGTTTCCTCCTTACTGTGTTCTGCCCTAATCCTACCTTAAAAAAAAAAGTCTTCGATACTGCTTCCTCGGGCACTGTATTTTGACTGGATGGTGTTTCTGTTTTGCCTCTGTAGGACTGGTTTGTTGTCAATCCGACAACAACCAAAAGCTTTGAGAAGCTGATGAAGATAAAGCAGCGACAGCAAGAAGAAGAGAAGCGGAGGCAGCAGCATAGGAGCCGACGGTCTCTAAGGCGGCGGCAGCAGCCTGGCATTGAGCTTCCTGAGACAGAGCCAAGTCTTAGAGTAGGGAAGGATCAGAGGAGGAATCATGAGGAACTGCTAGTGGCGACATCCCGTAAAGAATCAGAGCAGGAGCCAGTGCCATCACAGTTTCAGAAAGTCAAGTCCCCAAAGACAAATCATAAACGAGGAAAGAAATAGGCAGGCAGTGTGAAAGCACTCCTGGGAGAGTGGATGGGAGGCTGTGGTCACAGGGACCTGTGTGGAGAGGCCTGAGTCACGGGGGCTGAGTGAAGAGAAATTTACTCTTTCAGCTGTTTGTGTAATGCTGTGACACTCTCAGCTCCTTCCTCCTGTGTAAATTTCACTGTTTTCCCTACTGATTCTTGTGAACCCTCCACCACCCCCACCCCATCTCCTTTTTGGTAGATTTTCCTGCTCTTCTCATTGGAGTCCCCCTGTTCTTCTCTCATTGTGCCCAAAGAGCTCCCCCTTAAGGTCCACTGTAGGCCTTCTTGCCCTGTACAAGACTAAGAAACCTGTTTGATTATTCTTTCCATACTGGGGTATAGAATGTTCTTGGAAGCGCCATTGATTTCGTAGTTACTCCATCATCTGTCTTATAAAATGATTCCAAACTAACTTTTTAAAACCATACTGATTGATGATTTTGTATTTGTGATATAACAAGCCTAGAACCTAGAACTGTTGTCACTCCTTTAATAAGGGTCCCCTATCTGCTTGGGTGACAGAATATATGGAGGCTGTTCGTTGTCTCATTATGGTTTTAGGATTGAAAGTGAGAAAATACTTAGAATAATAAAACTAGACCCTCTGGATGCAGGTTTTCCTGGGAAATACTTTGTCCCAGGTGGCAGTAAGTAACCAGATGCACAGGCATGATATGCAAACTTAGGAGGAATATGTCTCACATAAAATGACTGGAAAGAAGAAGGCAGCAGAAATAAATACCACCTCAAATAAACTTTCCTGCAGTTTATTTTGTTCCTGCAGTTTTGAGGATTGAGAAGTAATACCCTTTTGCCTCTGATATTTGACACAGAACCCTAATATTGCTGGTACTGCCATGAAGATTGGTAGCCAGGGTGCACATGCCTTCTCCCCTGGACTTGACCTGATGGTTAGTCTGCACTCTGTTAAGTCCTCGTATCTCCCTTTAGCCAAAGTCTGTCTCTGAATTTTCTGAGAATGTTGTTCTCTACCCTTTTTTAGATGTTGTGTTCTGTCCTCTTTATAACCTGAGACTTTGACACCAGGTGTAGATACTTATCTGGAGTTGGAAAGAAAAGTTCTTTTTCTGATACTCATGCCTAGCCGATAGTATCTGTTAGGCTGTTTCTCCTTGAGGCTGGCTTTCCCTGGAGCATTGATTAGAGCAGCTCTGTTATTGTATTTCTGAATTCTCTTCCCCTTTTCCATAAATATTGGTCTTCTATATTCTTGCCAGTTTTTGTGGCTTATGCCACATAAAAAGCCAGAGACCCTTAACCCTGATGTGGACCAATACTGCCTTTTCAAAATCCAAAGGCTGTTACCACTATTAACTGTTCTCTGTGCTCCTCCATATAGCCTTAAAATGTGGGCTTTTGTGAAGACCACTTTGACACATAGGAGCATTGAAACCTGGTTGGGATACTGCCAGAACAGGTAGTTTTGAAACGAAGGATATGGTCTATCCACTCGACATTGTCATTGGCAGTTGCTCTCTTAAAGCCCTTTCCATTCATGAGGATTGTCAGGGAGGAAAATGGAGAAGCTCTGTTAATTTCTGGTGAGTAAGATTTGGGGAATGTTTGGCAATGGCAAGAAAAATAAATGACTGTGTTAGAATGATGTTTTCCATTGTTCATTGACTCCAATGTGCTACCTGTCTCTTTGCTGACACTCTGTGTGTGAAGGGAGGGAAATGATGACTAGAGATGGGAATGAGTTTTGAAGAAGTAACATACAGTAGTCTCAGTAGTCGCTTAGGTCCAAAATTATGCTGGTTCAAATGAATCTACTCATACCTTGCTTTATTGCTCTTCCCTTTAGAGATACTGATTTTGATTGAAGTATGAGTTGTTGCTTTAGACACAGTGATATTGGACACTTTAAATCAACTACAGTGTAGTGTAGTCTACATTGTATACCTTTTACATGCACTGTTCAGTTCAGTTGCTCAGTAGTGTCCGACTCTTTGTGACCCTATGAACCGCAACACGGCAGGCCTCCCTGTCCATCACCAATTCCCAGAGTCCACCCAAACCCATGTCCATTGAGTCGGTGATGCCATCCAACCATCTCATCCTCTGTTGTCCCCTTCTCCTCCTGCCCTCAATCTTTCCCAGCATCAGGGTGTTTTCCAGTGAGTCAGCTCTTCCCATCAGGTGTCCAAAGTATTGGAGTTTCAGCTTCAACATCAGTCCTTCCAGTGAACACCCAGGGCTGATCTCCTGTAGGATGGACTGATTGGATCTTGTCGCAGTCCAAGGGACTCTCAAGAGTCTTCTCCAATACCACAGTTCAAAAGCATCAATTCTTCTGCATTCAGCCTTCTTTATAGTCCAACTCTCACATCTGTACATGACCACTGGAAAAACCATAGTCTTGACTAGACCTTTGTTGGCAAAGTAATGTCTCTGCTTTTTAAATATGCTGTCTAGGTTGGTCATAACTTTCCTTCCAAGGAGGAAGCGTCTTTTAATTTCATGGCTGCAATCATCTGTGGTGATTTTGGAGCCCAGAAAAATAAAGTCAGCCACTGTTTCCACTGTTTCCCCTTCTATTTGCCATGAAGTGATGGGACCAGATGCCATGATCTTAGTTTTCTGAATGTGGAGCTTTAAGCCAACTTTTACACTCTCTTTCACTTTCATCAAGAGGCTCTTTAGTTCTTCTTCACTTTCTGCCATAAGGGTGGTGTCATCTGCATATCTGAGGTTATTGATATTTCTCCCAGCAATCTTGATTCCAACTTGTGCTTCATTCAATCCAGCATTTCTCATGATGTACTCTGCATATGAGTTAAATAAATAGGGTGACAATGTACAGCCTTGACATACTCCTTTTCCTATTTGGAACCAGTCTGTTTTTCCATGTCCAGCTCTAAGTGTTGCTTCCTGACCTGCATACAGGTTTCTCAGGAGGCAGGTCAGGTGGTCTGGTATTCCCATCTGTTTCAGAATTTTCCACAGTTTATTGTGATCCACACAGTCAAAGGCTTTGGCCTAGTCAATAAAGCAGAAATAGATGTTTTTCTGGAACTCTCTTGCTTTTTCGATAGGCACTGGGAAACTGGAAGATTCATGTGACTCGCTTTATTGTGAATTTCACATTGCAGTAGTGTGCACCCAAGCCCCCAATAATAGATGTGTGCCTGTAACTGGTTTGAGATTAAACTTGTCCAGTCTAATCCAGAGCCTTCACAGGGGATCCTTTTATTTTTGCTGTCTGAGCCAGGGATCAACAGGACACACTAGAGAGGATTCTAATCATATTACTGAGTGTTTAAGTTTTTAAACCAAATTCATTAGAATACATTTCCTGAAGTTGGACTGTATCAGGTCCAGCTAGATTTTGGAGCAGTGTGAACTCCCTGCACTTGGGAACAGGCATTGGTACAATTAATTTATAAACAAATTGGCAAGATCTCTTAAACTTGAAGATCTGCCCTGCAACTCAGCACACCCTAGGGCTATATAGATTCCTCCTGCTCAGGGGTTCCAGTAGACATCTACAGGAATGATATTTCAGTCTAAAAATAATGATACTGCAATCTGATTCCCAATTTATATTTGAAGCATCCTTGTACCAGACTACTAACTGTCCAGCAAAATTGGACAGGGTTGCAGAATTACAGGGTTATAGGACAAAGGACTATACTTCCCAGGGCTCCACCCAATCCCCCTATAGTGATGGAGTAACCAGCTAACTTCTCTCCAGTGGAATGTGAGTAGAAATGTGTCAATTCTGTGCCAGAACTTTTAAGAGGGTGAGTGTGTTTCCATGCTTACTTTCCCCTTCTGGTAGTTGCGTATGATAAGGCATCTCTAGGGCCTGGTAGAGCACAACATGGAAGATGTTTGATTCCCTGAATCACCTCAAGAAAGACTATTTGCCCTTCAGGATGATCTCAGATGGGTAAAAAAATAAATGTTCTTTGAGACATGATGCAGTCTTTGGTCTGTTAGTGAGCCTAGTCTCCTGTATAACCTATCTGTCCCCTCCCACTAAGAGTCAGTTCTCCCCTATGCCTTCTGTTCACTCCCATGTTTGCCTTTCCATTCTGAACAGTCCTCACCTCTTACCTTTTCAAGAGCTTCCTTACCGGATTCCTTCTTTTCACTGCCTTGGTATACTCCACATACAACTGTGCTGAGTTTTTTATACTATAAATCAGACTTCATTCACTTGCTCAAAGCCTAATGATTTCCCAGTGCACTTAGAATAAAATTCATCCCCCTTTGTCCTACAAGGCCTCCTTGCTCTCACCATTAACCTTTTTAACCTCCTTGGTCTCTGCTCCACCGTTTTTTTGTCCTGTCCCCAACTAAGCCACATTGACTTTTGTTCCTTAATGCTCCCAAACTCCTTCCCATCTTGGGACCTTTGCATTCTCTGTTCCCACTGTCTAGAATGTTTTTTTTCCCTAATTGTGGTACTGCAGGCTTCATTTTATCACTTAAGTCTTAACCTAAATATCACCTCTGAGGTCTTTTCTGTCTTAACACACTTTCTGTAACATCATCCTCTTTCCTTTCCAGCATAGGGAAGCAGACAAAAAGTAGACTGAAATCCTAGTTGGCCAACCTACTGCTGGCTTGCTGCTAAGAATTTCCAAGGGCTTTTATCAGCTGACCCACCCCTTAAAAGTCTTCAAGTCCTCAGAGGCCTTAACTCCCAACAGAGAAAGCCAGAAGTACTACACCAGACCAGATCTCGTTATCTGGGATGAGAGAAATCCAAAATAAACTCAGACAGGATGGAAATTATTCACTCCTGAATTAGATCATCAGGATAGCACTGGCAGGAGGGGGAATTAACAGAATAATAAGATTCTCCATCCCTCCTGCATTCCAACTCATTATCCTTAGTTATATATTTTTCTATTGTTTTTGCATCCATAGAGAATAAAGGTTTCAAATGTGTTTTGGATACCACATTTTAAAACAAGCTCTATTTTCAGCTCCACTGACAAACTCTTTAGGTTTAGGTTTCTGTGTGCTACACAATTTGTACACTAAAACTGCATTTTTATATACACTAGTATGAGGAAGACATTCAGAGTTGGTAAGAAGTGAGAAAAGATATGAAGTAGAAGGTATATTACATTGGAACAATAATGGAATCACTGGGTATTATAATCTTTTTTATTTTCAATAAAAAGTTAGGAACCAAGACATTACGCATTTAACAGCAAGTTGTTAAAGCTAGAAGTAAAGGCACATGAAGGTGAATCTTAAGTACAAGAATTCATTTTACATATGAATGAAACAAAACTGGGAAAATCATTTGAAGTGTTTCATCACTCACAGTTTCTTAAAAACATAAAGCTGATTCTATTTTTTCATCAGGGAGTGATATTAAAATATGAAGCTATATTTCTGTACCAGGATTCAGCATTCAAAGAAATCCCTGATTTGATCATTAGTATGTCCTAAGTGCCAAAATGTAACTATCCTAAAAGTCTAGACTAATTTAAAATACTATTCCTAGTTCAATTGAAGGGGCGTAGATGTAGGATACACATGACCTAAAGCTAAAGTGCTCTTTCTATTGAAACTTCAGTCATCTTTGTAATCTTAGAATTTGAGGATGTTGCTAGGGAACAAGATAGCAAAAGATCTTCAAAAAGTTCTCCAAATATATGATCACTTTCTTTTGATACATTTTTCTAAAACAGGCAGAAGCATTCAGTCATCTCACTCAGGTTAGTGGTATTTCTCCACAGAAAACTGACTAGCTATACTGTGCCTTCTACCCTTCCTTCACAGAGTTTGAAAGTGTAAGTGAAAGTGTTAGTCGCTTAGTCGTGTCTGACTCATTGTGACTCCATGGATTGTAGCCTGCCAGGCTCCTCTGTCCATGGAATACTCCAGGCAAGAAAACTGGAGTGGGTTGCTATGCCCTTCTCCAGGGGATCTTCCCAACCCAGAAATTGAACCCGGGTCTCCTGCATTGCAGGCAGATTCTTTACCACCTGAACCACCTATGTAAAGAATCTGCTTGCAATGCAGGAGACCCAGGTTCGATCCCTGGGTCAGGAAGATACCCTGGAGAAGGGAATGGCTACCCAATCCTTGCCTGGAGAATTTCATGGACAGAGCAGCCTGGCGGGCTACAGTCCATGGGGTCACAAAGTGTCAGACACGACTGAGCAACTAACATCACAGTTTACTCAAAATTGTATGGGCTGAGCATCAGACAGCAGGTCATCCTGTTTACACTTGCTGTTACTAATCTTTAAATCATGAGAAAACTACAGAAGCAGCTGCTTGATCACCAGCACAGACTTTATAAAGAAGTTTGAAAACACTGCATGTGTGTGCTAAGGTGGCCAAAGAAGATACATGGACACTGGTTGTTTACAGAGCACAAAGCAGAATCTAAAAATCTGAAATGCTATTCCTCAGGGGTTTCTTTTTCTGTAAAGAAACCTAACTTAGCTAGGTGGAACACACCACACAACTTTTTTTGTCACTTTCTCAAGGTGTTTTCTTGAGGTGGTTTCACAGGTGAATTTTTGGCAAATGGTACTGGGTTATCTGGAGGTATGAGAACAGCCCAGTTATTACCAGGAGCTAATTAAAAAAAAAAAAAACAACCTAACTTAATGGGAAGCCAGTGCTACCAATAATCTAGCAGTACTGGTTGAGAAAAACACCTAATCCTTCACATTAACACATTATAATGGGTATTTTATCATAGCAATCTGAGATCTCAAAGCCTTCCTAATCAGGGTTATGTTTTATAGCACCTAAGAACCCTTGCTCCAGTCTTGACTTAGTGTTATTTTAGAAATTACTTTGGGTGCACCTTTGATTTGGTGCCTAGGGCAGGGTTCCTTGTGGTCTTCGGAGAACCCTGTCCATTTGGGCACCGATTACGCCTTTCTTGCAGCTGTTGCCTCCCTCGCCTTAAGCACTCCACATACCAGTGCTCCTGTTGCAGCAGCTGCTTCTTCTTTTTTAATTGGCTGTGAATATCCTCCAACTGATGGCATTTCTGAACTAACTCTGGTAGTTCCTTCTGTAACTGTTGGTGCTGTCTGTTGATGTTACTGTGGAACTCGGAAACGTGCTGCTTTGCTGCCTTCTCCAAGGCCTGGTTCTTGCTTTTCAGCTCCTTTGTTAACTTCTTTCCCGACTCCCTTGCCTCTAGCTCACTCAGCTGTGCCTCCAGTAATGCTTTGTCCTGGAAGAACCGGACGAGCATCGCCTGTTTCTTTGCAGCTGTCTCAACGTGGGTCTTCTTTATCTCCTGCTGAAGTTTCTCAATTTCTCTGTCCTGTTTTTCCTTTATCACTGAAATGTCCCTCATTGCCTCCAACTGCTTATTCAAATTGGATAGGGTGTTTTCCTTCTCCAAGAGCTCTCTTTTAAGCGCTGAATTTTTGTTCGCAAATTTGGAGGTTAATTCTTGTTTTCTTTGTTCAATCTTCACGCTTTGTTGTAGATAGTAGTTCCACAGCTTCTCAGTTCTCTGTCTAGACTCCTCCGTTTGCTTGGTCAGGTATTCCTGAAAGAACTGGTTTTCCTTCTCTATGTGATCTTTTTCCTCCAGTAGCTGCCGGGTTTCCACCACTAAGGGCTCTAGCCGAATTTGAGTTTCTTTGATTTCCTTGTCCAGCTTCATCATTTCCATTACTGCTCTTCCCTTAAACCTTTTCTCTACCTTTGTTAGTTTCTCTGGCTTGAGAAAAGTATGTATGAAATTAACATCTGGTTGAAGGGAATTACTGGTGTCCTCAGCCAACCTGAAAGAACAAGTGAGACATTTGCTCATGTTTTTCATGAGAAATTAGAAAATAATTTTAAAAATGCACACTTCTACTGTAATTCATATATCAAGTATTTGGGAGGACAAATAAATGTCCCTCACACAAGGTAAGGGGATAGGAGTGGTGGGGGGAGAGTGGTGGAACTAGAGGTAAAGACAAGGGAGTCTAATTTACAACTGACATGTCTTCGCTGCAACCCTGAGAGGTAGTATCTCGAGCTTAAGGAGGAGAAAACAGGTTCAGAGAATTGAAGTGACTTCACCACAATGTACACCCCCAGAAATTCCTAGTTTCTCCAAACTAGGCTCTATGTATCTCGGGGCGGCCCAGCAACTCTGGGGCTTGGATCCTTCCAGAATCTGGAGTCCTGCAGTCTAAGCCGCTTAACGTCCTCAGCTGATAGCCAACCCTCAGTTCAGTTCAGTTCAATTCAGTCGCTCAGTCGCGTTGGACTCTTTGCGACCCCATGGACTGCAGCACACCAGGCCTCCCTGTCCATCACCAACTCCGGGAGTTTACTGAAACTCATGTCGATTGGGTCGGTGATGCCATCCAACCTCTGTCTTCCCCTTCTCCGCCTGACTTAAGAAGTTAACTCCAGGAATGTACAATGTACTACAGAGCCTGGGTGTAAAACCCACATCTCACAGCTTACTGAACACTAGAGCCACTCCAAAGGGCCATTGGAGCCAACCGGGTGATTGGGAGGAGCACATGCCTCAGCTCTTAGCTTCAGCTTTCCGGGTGCCAAGGGCGCTAGGGTGGAGGGAGGTGCCCCTTCAGTACCTACTTGACAAACTCGTCAGCCGACTGTTTTTCCCCGATGTTACGGTTCTGCCCCTTTCGGGAGACCACCAGGAAGCGAGAGCTACTTTTGGGGGCCGGCAACACGCGGAAATAGCGTGTCATTACGGGGGTTATCCCCAGTTTCTCCGAATTAGGCTCTGCGGATCTCGGCGTGGCCCAGCAAGTCTGGGGCTCGCATCCTGTCAGGGTTCCCTGTCGTGCAGTCCTAAGCCGCCTAACATCCTCGGCTGACGGAACAGCTCTGACGGCCGGCTCTCCAGAGGCTCGGTTCCCCGCTCCCCGGGGGCTGACAGGAAAACGCCCTCTCTTCACTAACGTAGCGCGGGAATCCCTGGTCGTCCCTGGGGTTCCTGGGGTCCCCGCTGTCCCTGGTGGACCCTGGGGTCGCTGATCGTCCTGCCCGCCCGGGATCCAGAGCTTTGACCTTCCCAGGCCCTGCCCGACGACCGTGAGCAGCTCTTTGGTTGGCCTTTTCCAGCCGTCCTCCCAGTGCCTCCACTTCCCCGACGGGGTCCCTAGTTGGGGCCCCATCCGGATCATGACGGACAGAAAAAGGGGCACGCCTCGCCCCTTGGCCCTGCCCTTTCTGGCTGATTGGGTTGGATTCGATTTGGTTTTGTTCGGTTCTAGTCTCATTCAGAATCCGGAACGTCGCGGGTGTCTCTCTGGCAAGTAGCATCTCTATGGTCTAGTGGGCGGAGCCAGGAGCAAGATGGCCGCGCCCGCAGCTGCCACGGAATCTCAAGCTTCAGGGGGTACCCAGCCCCCAGCGTGTCTGTTGGTGTTGGGAATGGCGGGGTCTGGGAAAACCACCTTTGTACAGGTGACCTACATGGCGCGGGCGTAGTCGGGGCGCGCGACAAGTTGTCTGTGGTGGGAGTAAGGCCAGGGGAAAAAGTGAGGAGGTCTCTTTGGGGGAGTTGGTGGGAACGGGCGCCTGTTTCAGGGACAGACCGGAAACTCCGGTTCCTTTCTCCGCGAAGCCTTCTCAGATCCTAACCTGGGTTCATTTAGACTCTTCTACGCACCATCAGTGCCGATTTGGTACGACCGTAGTTGGTATAGAAATTGTCATGTTGCCAACTCCACAAGGCAGAGGCTTAAAGGAATTCTGGAGGTTAATAGAGTGCTAGGTTTCTGAAGTGTAGATTTCTAAAGAATTCTTTCTGGGATGCCTGCCATGTTTCAGGCACTGGGGATACAGGAGAAATGACAAAGTTCCCGGTTAGGTGGAGCTAATTTGGCGGGGAGATAGAAACCCCGCCCCCGCGCCAAGTTAAGTGATGGAGAGTAGAGGAGACTCTTGGATGTGCGACGAAGAAAGGTAGCATTTCAGCTGAGAGTGAATGTTGTAGGTGGAGATCAGAGACGAATAAGGTAGAGGGAAATGGAAGTACAATTCTTCTGGTAAGTTGGGTAAAGGGGAGGAAGTTCACTCTTGTCCCTGTGTCCTGCTCTTGGTCTCAGTCCATCCCTCTCTCCATGTCACTGCAGAGGCTTACAGGATACCTGCATAGTCAAGGGTGTCCACCTTATGTGATCAACTTGGACCCAGCTGTGCATGAAGTTCCTTTTCCTGCCAATATTGGTGAGTAAACTCTGCCAGAACTTGTGTAAAGTTTCTTAGAGAATGGGAAGCTGTCAACCTATCCTACCCGTCTTTAATACTTTCATTTTTAATGTTTTCTAAACTGCCTGATTTCATTTCCCTTAGATTTGCTAGTATCCTGAAACAGCCTTCTTCCTATTTCCCATTTTTTTCTTTGTCTACTCCCTCCCCTTCCTTGTTATTGTTGTTCAGTCCTTCAGTTGCTCAGTCATGTCCAACTCTTTTAGACCCCATAGACTGCAGCACGCCAGGCTTTCCTGTCTTTCACCGTCTACTGGAGTTTGCTCAAATTCATTTCCGTTGAATCAGTGATGCCATCCAACCATCTCACCCTCTGTTGTCCCCTTCTCCTCCTGCCTTCAATCTTTCCCAGCATCAGGGTCTTCTGAAATGAGTTGGCTCTTCCCATCAGGTGGCCAAAGTATTGGAGTTTCAGCTTCAGCATCAGTCCTTCCAGTGAATATTCAGGGTTGATTTCCTCTAGGGTTGACTGGTTTGATCTCCTTTCTGTCCAAGGGACTCTCAAGAATCTTCTCCAGCACCAGGTTTGAAAGCATCAATTCTTTGGTGCTTAGCCTTCTCTGTGGTCCAACTCTCAGTAGTACATGACTACTGGAAAAATCATAGCTTTGACTATATGGACCTTTGTCTACAAAGTAATGCCTCTGCTTTTTAATATGTTGTCTAGGTTTATCATGGCTTTTCTTCCAGGGAGCAAGTGTCTTTTAATTTCATGACTGCAGTCATCATCTGCAGTGATTTTGGAGCCCAAGAAAATAAAGTTTGTCACTGTTTCCATTGTTTCCCCATGTATTTGCTGTGAAGTGTTGGGACCAGATGCCATTAGTTTTTGAATGTTGAGTTTTAAGCCAGCCTTTTCATTGTCCTCTTTCACCTTCATCAAGAGACTCTTTAGTTCCTCTTTGCTTTCTGCCATTAGAGTGGTGTCATCTGCATATCTGAGGTTATTAATATTTCTTCCAGCAATCTTGATTCCAGCTTCAGCTTCATCCAGCCCAGCATTTCTCATGATGTACTCTGCATATAAGTTAATAAGCAGAGTGACAATATACAGCCTTGATGTACTCCTTTCCCAATTTGGAACCAGTCTGTTGTCCCATGTTCAGTGCTAACTGTTGCTTCTTGACCTGCATACAGGTTTCTCAGGAGGCAGGTAAAGTGGTTTGGTATTCCCATCTCTTTAAGAATTTTCCAGTTTGTTGTGATCCACATAGTCAAAGGTTTTAGCATAGTCAATGAAGCAGAAGTAGGTATTTTTCTGGAGTTCCCTTACTTTTGCTATGATCCAGTGGATGTTGGCAGTTTGATTCTGGTTCCTCTGCCTTTTCTAAATCTAGCTTGTACATCTTGAAGTTCTTGGTTCACATACTGTTGAAGCCTAGCTTGAAGCCTTGCTAGCGTGTGAAATCAGTGCAGTTGTGTGGTAGTTTGAACATTCTTTGGCATTGCCCTTCTCTCTGGGATTGGAATGAAAACTGACCTTTTCCAGTCCTGTGGCCACTGCTGAATTTTCCAAATTTGCTGGCATATTGAGTGCAGCACTTTAACAGCAACATCTTTTAGGGTTTTCAGTAGCTCAGCTGGAATTCCATCACCTCCACCAGCTTTGTTTGTAGTAATACTTCCTAAGGCCCACTTGACTTCACACTCCAGGATATCTGCCTCTAGGTGAGTGATTACACCATTGTGGTTATCCAGGTCAAGACTTTTTTGTACAGTTCTTCTGTGTATTCTTGCCACCTCTTCTTAATATCTTCTGCTTCTGTTAGGACCATGCCGTTTCTGTCCTTTATTGTGCCCATCTTTGCCTGAAATGTTCCTTTGGTGTCTCTGATTTTCTTGAAGAGATCTCCAGTCTTTCCCATTCTATTGTTTTCTTCTATTTCTTTGCATTGTTCACTTAGGAAGGTTTTCTTATCTCTCCTTGTTATTATTTGGAACTTGCCCATTCAGATGGGCATATCTTTCCTTTTCTCCTTTGCCTTTTGTGTCTCTTCTTTTCTCAGCTATTTATAAAGCCTCCTCAGACAACCATTTTGCCTTTTTGCATTTCTTGGGGATGGTTTTGATCACTGCCTCCTGTACAATGTCACAAACCTCCATCCATAGTTCTTCTGGCACTCTATCAGATCTAATCCCTTGAATCTATTTGTCACTTCCACTGTATGAGTGTAAGGGATTTGATTTAGGTAATACCTGAATTGCCTAGTGCTTTTCCCTACTTTCTCTAAGTCTGAATTTTGCAATAAGGAGTTCAGGATCTGAGCCACAGTTGGCTCCTGATCTTGTTTTTATTGACTGTACAGAACTTCTCCATCTTTGCCATTATGTTTGTGAAGAACATAATCAATCTGATTTTGGTATTGACCATCTGGTGATGTCCGTGTTTACAGTTGTCTCTTTTGTTGTTGGAAGAGTGTGTTTGCTATGACCAGTGCGTTCTCTTGGCAAAACTCTGTTAGCCTTTGCCCTGCTTCATTTTGTACTCCAAGGTCCAACTTGCCTGATACTCCAGGTATCTCTTGACTTCCTACTTTTGCATTCCAGTCCCCTGTAATGAAAAGGACATTTCTGTGTGTGTGTGTGTGTGTGTGTGTTAGTTCTGGAAAGTCTTGTGTGTCTTCATAGAACCGTTCAACTTCGACTTCTTCAACATTAGTGGTTGGGGCATAGACTTAGATTACTGTGATATTGAATGGTTTGCCTTGGAAATGAACAGAGATCATTCTGTCATTTTTGAGAATATATCCAAGTACTGCATTTTGTACTCTTTTGTTGACTATGAGGGCTACTCCACTTCTTTAAGGGATTCTTGCCCACAGTAGTAGATATAATGGTCATCTGAATTAAATTCGCCCATTCCGGTCAATTTTAGTTAACTGATTCCTAAAATATTGATGTTCATTTTTGCCATCTTATGTTTGACCACTTACTATTTACCTTGATTCATGGATCTAACATTCCAGGTTCCTGTGCAATATTGTTCTTTACAGCATCGGACTTTACTTTCACCACCAGACATATCCATAGCTGGGTTTCGTTTCCTCTTTGACTCAGCCTCTTCATTCCTTCTAGAGCTGTTTCTCGACTCTTTTCCAGTAGCATATTGGAAGTTCATCTGACCTGGGAAGTTCATCTTTCAGTGTCATATCTTTTTGCCTTTTCACATTGTTCATGGGGTTCTCAAGGCAAGAATGCTGAAGTGGTTTGCCATTCCCTTGTCCAGTGGACCATGATTTGTCAGACCTTTCCACCATGACCCGTCCATCTTGGGTGACCCTACACGGCATGACTGATAGTTTCATTGAGTTAGAGAAGGCTGTGGCCCGTGTGATCATTTTGGTTAGTTTTCTGTGACTGTGGTTTTCATTTTGTCTGCTCTCTGATGGATGAGTATAAGAGGCCTGTGTAAGCTTCCTGATGGGAGGAACTGGCTGTGGGGAAAACTGGGTCTTGCTCTGGTGGGCAAGGCCATGCTCAATAAATCTTGAATCCAATTTTCTGCTGATGGATGGGGCTGTGCTCCTTCCCTGTAGTTTGGCCTGAGGCAGCCCAATCTTAGACCCTATGGTTCAGTTCAGTTCAGTCACTCAGTCGTGTCCAACTCTTTGTGACCCCATGAATCGCAGCACGCCAGGCCTCCCTGTCCATCACGAACTCCCGGAGTTTACTCAAACTCATGCCCATTGAGTCGGTGATGCCATCCAGCCATCTTATCCTCTGTCGTCCCCTTCTCCTGTCCCCAATCCCTCCCAGCATCAGGGTCTTTTCCAATGAGTCAACTCTTCACATGAGGTGGCCAAAGTATTGGAGTTTCAGCTTCAGCATCAGTCCTTCCAATGAACACCCAGGACTGATCTGTAGGATGGACTGGTTAGATCTCCTTGCAGTCCAAGGGACTCTCAAGAGTCTTCTCCAACACCATAGTTCAAAAGCATCAATTTTTTGGCGCTCATCTTTCTTCACAGTCCAACTCTCACATCCATACATGACCACTGGAAAAACCATAGCCTTGACTAGACGGACCTTTGTTGGCAAAGTAATGTCTCTGCTTTTAAATATGCTGTCTAGGTTGGTCATAACTTTCCTTCCAAGGAGGAAGCGTCTTTTAATTTCATGGCTGCAATCACCATCTGCAGTGATTTTGGAGCCCCCCAAAATAAAGTCTGACACTGTTTCCACTGTCTTCCCATCTATTTCCCATGAGATAATGGGACCAGATGCCATGATCTTAGTTTTCTGAATGTTAAGCTTTAGGCCAACTTTTTCACTCTCTTCGTTCACTTTCATCAAGAGGCTGTTTAGTTCTTCTTTGCTTTCTGCCATAAGGATGGTGTCATCTGCATATCTGAGGTTATTGATATTTCTCCTGGCAATCTTGATTCCAGCTTGTGCTTCTTCCAGCCCAACGTTTCTCATGATGTACTCTGCATATAAATTAAATAAGCAGGGTGACAATATACAGCCTTGATGTACTCCTTTTCCTATTTGGAACCAGTCTGTTCCATGTCCAGTTCTAACTGTTGCTTTCTGACCTGCATACAGGTTTCTCAAGAGGCAGGTCAAGCGGTCTTGTATTCCCATCTCTTTCAGAATTTTCCACAGTTTATTGTGATCCACACAGTTGAAGGCTTTGGCATAGTCAATAAAGAAGAAATAGATGTTTTTCTGGAACTCTCTAGCTTTTTCGATGATCCAGCGGATATTGGCAACTTAATCTCTGGTTCCTCTGCCTTTTCTAAAACCAGCTTGAACATCTGGAAGTTCTCGGTTCACGTATTGCTGAAGCCTGGCTTGGAGAATTTTGAGCATTACTTTACTAGCGTGAGATGAGTGCAATTGTGCAGTAGTTTGAGCATTCTCTGGGATTGCCTTTCTTTGGGACTGGAATGAAAACTGACCTTTTCCAGTCCTGTGGCCACTGCTGAGTTTTCCAAATTTGCTGGCATATTGAGTGCAGCACTTTCACAGCATCATCTTTCAGGATTTGAAATAGCTCAACTGGAATTCCATCACATCCACTAACTTTGTTCGTAGTGATGCTTTCTAAGACTCACTTGACTTCACATGCCAGGATGTCTGGCTCTAGGTGAGTGATCACACCATTGTAATTATTTGACTCTATGGCAGGGCTATTGATTTCCTTTTTTCCTTACCCACTACTATTCTCTCTACCTCTTTTTGACCCGAGGGTGTCAGAGTACGGCTGTTTGGAAAAATGAAGTGACAGAAAGTCAGTCATCTGTCTTCTAAGCCATAAACCCTTCCGCAGGCTCTGATACATAAACCTTGTGTATGTAGTTTCTTGTCTTCAAGTTTAGAGCATGAGGGTTTGGTGCATAGTCTGCTTACTGATCTGTAGCCATCTTGCAAAGTTACATGGGAAAATGTGTGTGTATATGCTGGTGTGCATTGTCATGGTAAGAGTTTCCCTTCCTCATCACACTCTTGTGAGGATAAAAAAGATTAAGAATAGGTGAGAGCCAGTGTCCTGATACTTGATAGGATCTAGGCCTCCTGATTTTTAGACTATTCCTTGGTGTTAGTCTTTTCTCCCCTGGTCTCTTTTTAATCTTATTAAGATTGTACTCCAAACATACTAATTAAGGAAGACCTGGTATTAAGAAGCAGAAATCATTATGGGAACAATTTTGGAGAAAAAATATTTCCATCTTTTCACTTAAAGGCTCAGTTCAGTTCAGTCGCTCAGTTGTGTCCAACTCTTTGCAACCCCATGGACTGCAGCTTGCCAGGCTTCCCTGTCCGTCACCAACTCCCCGAGTTTGCTCAAACTCATGTCCATTGAGTCAGTGATGCCATCCAGCCATCTCATCCTCTGTCGTCCCCTTCTCCTCCTGCCTTCAATCTTTCCCAGCATCAGGGTCTTTTCCAGTGAGTTGGCTCTTCCCATCAGGTGGCCAAAGTATTGGAGTTTCAGCTTCAGCATCAGTCCTTGCAATGAATATTCAGGACTGATTTCCTTTAGGATGGACTGGTTGGATTTCCTTGCAGTCCAAGGGACTCTCAAGAGTCTTCTCCAATACCACAGTTCAAAAGCATCAATCTTTGGCACTCAGCTTTCCTTATGGTCCAACTCTCACATCCATACATGACTATTGGGAAAACCATAGCTTTGACTAGATGGACCTTGTTGGCAAAGTAATGTCTCTGCTTTTTAATATGCTCTCTAGGTTGGTCATAGCTTTTCTTCCAAGGAGCAGTAGTTGATGGGGTAGGTCTACCAACTGCTGCATAGGTTTAGTTAGATATTACTGGATAGATCAATTTCCTTTTTATTTTGAATTCCATCCAAATACATTTTTTTCTAGTTCTGTTGAGATATAATTGACATACATCATTGTATATGATTAAGTTGTATAACATAATGGTTTGATTTAGAAACTCAGGAAGTGATTATCATAGTAAGTTTCAGTTCAGTTCAGTTCAGTTCAGTTGTTCAGTCGTGTCCAACTCTTTGCGACCACATAAACTGCAGCACGCCAGGCCTCCCTGTCCATCACCAATTCCCGGAGGCTACCCAAAATCATGTCCATTGAGTCAGTGATGCCATCCAGCCATCTCATCCTTTGTCGTCTCCTTCTCCTGTCCTCAATCTTTCCCAGCATCAGGGTAGTGAACATCTATTGTCTCATATAGATATAAAATTAAAGGAATGCAAAATCTTTTTTCCCTTGTTATGAGAACTCTTAATAGCTTTCATATGTAACATATAGCAGTGCTCGTTATGATTATAATATTGTATATTACATCCCTAGTATTTATTGGTGTTAGCATTGGAAGTTAGTACCTTTTGCCTACCTTCGTCCACTTGTTCCCTCCCTCCGCATCCACTTCTGGTAACTACAGATCCAGTCTACTTTTTCTGTGTGTTTATTTGTCTTGCAGTGTAAGTGACCTGCCAAAGTATTATCATTAGTTCCTGGTACACAACATACTAATTTGAAATATCTGTAAACATTTCAAAATGATCGCTATGACAAATCTAGTTAATATCTGTCACCATACAACAGTATTATATTATTATTGACTGTATTCCCCACACTGTACATTTCACCCCCATGACTCATTTGTTTTGTAACTGAAAGTTTGTACCTTTAATCTCCATCACTTATTTCTCTCCCTGACATCCGCTCCCCAAGTTAATGCCTTTATAAAAGTGTTATCGGCTTTAACTTAGTTACTAGTAAGTGAGGAGTAAGAAATAAGCCTTTTTTCTTGATTTAACTCCCTTTTTCTATATATATGGTCGCTGAGAAAGTATTTAAGTTGTATAGAACTTTTCTTTTCATCTCAGACCATCCCTACTGTAACTGGAGAACTCCTAGCCTAACCTCCTTCTTGGGTTACTTGGCAGTTATCCTTGGCCATAAGGAAGTAAACCAGTGTGAAACTGGAGAAATTACTAACAGACAGTGCTGAGCATAGAAGCTTCAAAAGCTGGTTTCAGTTTCTTGTTGGGAGGGAAGATACTTCCAGGGTACCTTTTCTCCTCCTAGTCTGTTCGTGAACTTGCTTCTTTTGCTATCACAGTTCAGTGATCTTAGCTTGAAAATTTATGAAACAGATTTGAAAAGTGACTTGGATGCTAAGAGAGAAATTGATTTCTTTCCTCAGGGGAAGCAGAGATGACTTGAGAGGTCAATTGGCTTAGATATTATAGAGAGTCTGAAATTGTATTGTTTCTTATGTGTTAAATTCCATTTCTTCCCCCCCCCCCCCACCCCGCAGACATTCGTGACACTGTGAAGTATAAAGAAGTCATGAAACAGTATCCTTTTCCACGTCTACTTTGTTGTTGGCTCATCCCTGGTTAGTTACTGTCCGTGTATTGTGTAGCTTTGAAAAAATATCTGTGCCTTTCCTTGTGAATTATACTAGCAAAAGCATTTGATAGCTTTCAAGTGACTTTATAAAGAGGAGGATGATGAATGTGAGGAGAGGCATTGTAGGTGATTAGACATCCTATTTCAGCTTGTGAGTTCCATTTTCTGCCTTTGTCCCAAACTGCAGGATGTTGTGATTAGCACGCAGGATGTTGTGATTAGCACGGAGGATGAGAGGCTAGCTGGTGGTGTGCCTGGGTCCACAAGGTAGTATTTATTGCCTTGGTGGATAAAGCTATTGGTCACCATCTCTTTAGACTGGGAAACTCAAAGGTTAGTAAGATCAACTCTAAGTTTTGGGTTGGTCAACTCTTAGTACATTGCCCATAAAATGTGTACTTTCCCTTTAGGTCCTCCTGAGTAGGAAGACTGATTCCAATCCTCAGGTGACTTGATGAGTGAGAATCAGAGCAAGGAGTGGTACATAGATGATCGTCATGGCTAATGCTCTCAGGCTGTCAGTGCCTGAAATATCTGTCCATTCCATTTGGCCCCATTTTATGTGGCTGTTTTTAAACAATAAATGAATGAGGTAGACATAAATAATAAATGTTTCCCTATGAGGTTAAGATTGTGTGGTACATTCTAGTCAATGGAACACTAATGTTTTGCTGGGTTTTTGTGTGTGTGTGTGAGGGATTGTCAAGATAATAAACTTTATCATCTAAATTGATCTATAAGCAATTTAAATCCTTAACTTAATGTCTAGGTATGGACTTGGACCTAATGGTGGCATAGTGACCTCACTCAATCTCTTTGCTACCAGATTTGATCAGGTATATCTGTCTCTATTTACATAGACATGGCTGTGTTAAAACTTGTGACTCTTAAATGCCTTGGCTTGATCACATCAGGAAAGAAGGGCAATCTATCTGGATGTCCATATAGAATATAAGGAGGCATTTTGGTAGACACAGAAGTAGGCAATGTGAGGATGATCAACATGGCGAGAGACTTCACACTGAATGTTTGTGGCAGCCAACACAGCAGACACCTAAGAGACTTGAGTTCTCTTGCTCTCTCTCTCTCTTTTTTTTGGCCATGTGTCTTGCAGGATCTTAATTCCCCAACCAGGGGTTGAATCCTGGGTCTTTGGCATTGAAAACACGAGAGTCCTAACCACTGGACTGCCATGGAATCCCCCCGGGTTCTATTCTTGATCTGTTGTTGGCATGCAGTTTTACCCCGAGGGTGGGTTGGAGGGTTGGGGAGTGGGAAGGTCTGCCAGGCAGAGAATGGAATGATATGGGGCTTTTCACTTGCAGTAGATAGTTGTCATCTATGAGGTTTTCTCTGTCATATTCCACTTCCTTAAGAGTTTTGCATCACTGTTTTTTTTTTAACCCCGGTTTCACCCAATGAGACAAGCTGTTAGCATTTTACCAAAGCAACAAGAAAGAGACTTAGGAGCGACAGATCAAGTCTTCAGCTGCTCAGGCCCTTGCCCTGTGCTCCAGGGTGTTGTGCTGCTGCAGGTGTGGCTTTGCTTCTGTAGTTCCATGAGCATGTTAGCTGGTGTCCTCAGATGGAGAACATAGAGATTCAGTTTTGAATGGTGCCTGTGAGGTGGGCCACTCTGGACAGGGCCCTGCAATTTTTTTTGTTGAACCCGTATCCTGTTGTAATTGACATCTTTCCCTTTTAGGTGATGAAATTTATTGAGAAGGCTCAGAACATGTCTAAGTAAGTGATTTCAGTCTATTGCCTATTTATTACTCTGTAGTAGACGTGTTTCTAGGTGTTTTGAAAGATTTTGGGATACTATCAAGTTTTGAAAGAGTGAAGTTTTAGATGAAACCATGACAAGTGAAAAAATTGTGGGCAAGAAGACAAGTCATTGAGATGCTCCACAATTTTGGAGCTCGGTTTAATAGAATCGCACCCCCAATCACTTTGGAATATGGTTCTGGCTTCTTAGGAGGTATCTTTAGAATTTGAGTCAACTCACTTGTTCAGTTGCCTTCTCTTACTTATTAGCATTAAAGGCTCTGAGATACCTTTCTAATCCTTATTTAAAGTAATATAATTCACATGATTCAGAGAGACTATTTTTTAATTTAAAAAGTATTAAAACATAAAATAGAGTAATATTCTTATTATCATTGTCTATGATTAACTGTTGTTAAATTTTTAATAGGTTTGCTTTTTTAAAAGAAAGGAAGATAATTTATTGTTTTTGTAAAAAGAGTATAGACATTACTGTGAATATTTCCTACCATGCATAGACTTAAAATAGGAAGCTATCATCCTTCTTATCATTAGAAATAACAATCATTATTATCATTATTGCTACTATGAGGATATAGTAGCAGTGATTTATCATCCCAGGTGTTTCTGTTTATATGTACATAGATAGAAGGATGGCTGGATAAGGTGTTTTTACAAAAAAAGGATCATATAGGAGTAGTTTTTTTATTTTTATTTTATTTACTTTTTTTTAGTAGTTTTTTTTAAAGTAACAGCTTTGTTACAGTATGAATTCACAGACCATAAAGTGCACTCTTTAAAAGTATACAGTTTAGTGGTTTTTGGTATATTCACACAGTTGTGCATTGATCATAATCACCTGATTTCAGAACATTTTCATCTCCAAAAGAACCCCACTCTCATTAGCGTTCATTCTATTCCCTGTTCCTCCAAGCTCCTGGTGGCTGCAGGCACCATTTTATAACATACATGCGTTGAGGGTTCCATTTTCTATACATACTTATCAGTACTTATTACTGTTTTCGATTAGAGCCATCTTAATGGGTATTAAGTGGTGTCACATTGTGTTATGATATATATTTCCTAAATGATTAATGATGTTGAGCACCTTTTAGTGTACTTCTTAGCTATTGGTATATATTTGGAGAAATGTCTATTTGAATTTTTTGCTTTTTTTTTTTTTTTAAATAAGTTTCCAGTACACATTATAATTCAACATCTGTGTACACTACAGAGTGATCACCCCCAAAGGCCAGCTATCATCTCTCACCATACAGTTCATCCCTTTCACCTCTGTGACCCACCCACAACCCCTTTCCCATCTGGTAACCACTGATTTGTTCTCTGTATCTATGAACTTGCTTTCGGTTGGTTTTCTTTTCTCTTTGTTTCATTCTCTCTCTTTTTTCCACCTATGAGTGAAATTGTACAGTAGTTGTCTTTTTGCTTCTGATTTGTTTTACTTAGTGTCATCCATGTTGTCACAAATGGCAAGATTTCATTCTTTTTGTATGGCTAAATAGTTTTCTACTATGTGTATACCACGTCTTCTTTATCCATCCATCCATCAGTGAACACTTAAGTTGCTTCTGGGTCTTGGGTGTAGTACATAGTGCTGCAATGAACATATGGGTGTGTATATTTTTTCTAATTAGTGTTTTTATATTCTTTGGATAAATACCCAGAAGTGGAATCACTGAATCATATATGATAGCTCTACCCTTCAGTTTTTGAGGAATCTTCCTACTGTTTTTCATAGTGGCTGTACCAGTTTATACTCCCACTAACAGTGTACGAGTGTTTCTTTTTCTGTACATCTGCTTCAACACTTGTTCTTTGTTATATATTTGATAAGAACCATTCTAACAAGTGTGAGGTGACATTTCACTGTGGTTTTGATTTGCATTTCCCTAGTAATTAGTGATGTTGAACATCTTTTCATGTGCCTATTGACCATCTGTGTAACTTCTTTGGAGAAATGTCTACATATTAGATCCTGTCTCATTTATAAATCATGTTGTTTGTGAATTGTGTGTGTTCTTTATGTATTTTGGATACCAATCCCTAATCAGACGTGATTTGCAAACATTTTCTGCTGTTCAGTAGGTTGCCTTTGGGTTTTTTTTTTAGCCATGCCCAGTGACTTGTGGGATCTTAGTTCCCCAGCCAGGTATTGAACCCTGGGCCACCACAGTGAAAGCACCAAGTCCTAACCACTGGACCACCAGGGAATTCCCACCTTTTAGTTTCGATGATGTTTTCCTTTGCTGTGCAGAAGCTTTTTCATTTGATGTAGTCTCATCTTTTATTTTTGCTTTTGATTTCCTTGCTTTTGGTGTCTGATCCCCAAAAACTTCACAAAGACAGATGACATTGAGGCTACTGCCTCTGTTTTCTTTCAGGTGTTACATTCAAGTCTTTCATCCATTTTGAGTTCATTTTTATGTGTGGAGTGGTCTGGTTTCATTCTCTTGCATATGACTGATTTTCCTAACACCATTTCTTGAAGAGACTTCCCTTTCTCCATTGTTATGTTCTTGGCTCCTTTGTTGTCAGTTAATTGTCCATGTATGAGTGAATCTTTGTTCTTTTTTACAAACAGCTTTATTGAGTTATAGTTCATGTGCCATACACTTTACCCATTTTAATTGTGCAATTCTGTGGCCTTTATGGTAGTTATAGAATTGTACAGCCATCACCACAAGTTTAGAACATTGCATCCCCTCAAGAGGAGACCCTCTTCTTTAGTTACCACCTTCTTCTTTTTCTCTTCCTCCTTTCCCTCCATTTTCCTCCAACCCCACTGCTAAGTAAACAGGTTTCCCAAGAGATTTACATACTGGTTTTGGTTATCTCTCATTTTTAATGCAGTGTGTTTCTAAAACTGTCAGTTTCCTCTGTGACTGCAGCACTGATGTATTGCTGCTCCTGCCAATGAACCTGAATACTGGACCCTGACCACAGCCTGGGGGAATGTGGTCTTCACTTTAATGGCAATGGGAAGACGTGAGACTTGGCATGGGAGGTTATTTCTTGTCTTAAATGCCCAGATGTTAATGTTTTGTGGTCTGGAATATCTTTCAGAATGCACAAATAAAAACTTCTTTTATGATCTTTTTTGACACAGGTATGTCTTAATTGACACACCTGGACAGATTGAGGTATTCACATGGTCAGCTTCTGGGACAATTATCACTGAGGCCCTGGTAAGTATTCTAGGACTTGTTACTGAGGGTTAAGTAGAGAGCCAGACAAGAAAAACTTCATCTTTCTGCCTGGGAACTTATGTGGGATAGAGTCATAGAGCTCTGCACACCCTCCTAAAGTGGTTCTTCCTCTCCACAGAGGGTAGGAGAAGAGTTTGGGGACAGATCAAGGACCTTTTGACTAAAGCTGTGATTATTCTGTGGCTTTAGGCATCCTCGTTTCCAACGATTGTCATTTATGTAATGGACACATCTCGAAGTACCAACCCAGTGACCTTCATGTCCAATATGCTCTATGCCTGCAGGTAATGCATTATTGTTGGGCATAGTATTGTGTCAAGAAGTGAAGTCTCCACTTGTTCTTTTCCTTCATTGTTGAGTCCTGAGTGCTTCCCTGTCAGTTTATGCTGCCCACACCCTCTTTAGTGGCTCTGGGTTGGTGAGGGAAGAAAAGCGCATATGCCTTGGCATCAGCCCCTGGTCATCTTTCCCCTTTGCTTATTACAGAATAGGTGATGAATGAAAATGCACCTTCTGGTAGATGCATTGCCCCAGTTGAATGAAATCCAATTCTGAATAGAATAGAGGCTCTGGTCTAAATGTTTTTTCTTTTTTTTGTGTGCTAGGAAAAATGAGATTATAACATGAGGAGAGACTGAATTAAAGATTCATCTGTGACTCTGCATGCACATATTTTCTCAAGTGTGGTGCTATTAGGAGAGGAAGGGCATCTCCTACTAGGCTATTAGTGTGTTAGACCTAGGAGCAAGGTGGGCCATTATTAACACTGAGTTTAATTTTAGGCATTTGCAAAAAGCAAGCACTCAAGTTTCTCTCTTCTAATGTGACCAGGGATGTTCCTTCCTGTTAAACACAAGAAATCCTGGTCCAAATAGAAATCTGATGTTTGATAACATGATTTTGTCTTCATAGTAACTGTTTATTAAACAGTTAATTTGGTGAAAACACACACACACACACACACACACACACACAAACATACCCAGGATCAGTACCAAAGCATTATTACTCCAAGAATAGGAGAGAGTGTGTATGTGTGTTATTTGCTTAGTGGTAGTGGTTTACTGCTTGGGATGGGAACACACGTGAGTGCTGTGTGAACATGGATACCTGTATTTAGAGTCTGAACCCCTCTCCCTTTTAATTACTCAGTTCCATTGGATTAATAACGCAAGCAGGAGCTTAAGTGCTTTTACTAATAATGCCTTCATATTTGATTTTCAGCATCTTATACAAAACCAAGCTGCCTTTTATTGTGGTCATGAATAAAGTAAGTGGAGTCTTCTTCCTGTCTTGCCTGAATATTTCTTTTCCTCAGAACCTTGTGTTAGAAGTTTGGTTAGGTGAGAAGGATGATTTCAGATGCTAGAGAGCAGAGTTAAGCTAACTGAAAGCAAAGTTGTGAGCACTTCTCAGAAATGGACTCAATTAAATTGAATAAATATATGTCACGGATTCTTCTCCAAAGTTAATTTAGGCTAAATAGAGTAGCTCCTGGTCCACAGGATATGGGTTATCTCTCAAGATCAGGTAAATGGTGGAGGGCCTGCCAGTCTATGGGGAGTGGCAATTAAAACAAAACCAAAACTTCTCTGTGGTTGGTTGTTGGCCAGAATGCAAGAGACTGTGTACTTGACTTTGGAGCCTGGAAAATGCTGGCCTCCACTGTGGCCATGGTCACTTGGCAGTGGATAGTGAAGGGTCTGTTTTAACCTGGAATATACACATCTTCATTTAATTATTTATACTGCACAGCAGTCTTGGCTCTTTGTGGCTTGTTTCAGTGGAGGAGGAAATGGGGGAAGCAGAGAAGGAAAATATATGAATGATTGCTCTTTGTTGTCACCACTTAATTAAAAGAAATTGGGAGGAGGAACTTCCCTGATGGTCCAGTGGTTAAGACTCCACACTGCCACTGCAGGGGTCATGGGTTCAATCCCTGGTCAGGGAACTAAGACACAAGAACATGCTGTGGAATGTGGCCAAAAGTTTTAAAATTTTTTAAATTAAAAATAAGTAAATAAAAATTTTAATTAAAAAATTAGTTTTAAAAAATAAAAATTCCCATTGTTTGGGGTCTGACCTCATCTCTGGTTGCTGATAATTGTCTTCTCTCTGGTACAGACTGACATCATTGACCACAGCTTTGCAGTGGAATGGATGCAGGATTTTGAGGCTTTCCAAGATGCCTTGAATCAAGAGACTACATATGTCAGTAACCTGACTCGTTCAATGAGCCTGGTGTTAGATGAGTTTTACAGCTCACTCAGGGTAAACTTTCTCTCTTGCTTATGCTGTCCATCTCTCCAGTTAATCTATTAATCCAAAGGGCTGGCTTTGAACATATCTTTGGAGAGGAAGTTCATTACTTTATGAAAAGTAATTTATAAGGCATTGCTTATTAAAAACTGGAGATTTAAAAGATAAATATGATAGAGACTCTACTTTCAGAGAGTTTATGGTCTAGTTAGGAAAGAAGGCTAAACACAGAGTTGAAATACAATGTATTGTAACTTATATTGTGATATATTAGGAAAGATTAAAAGTTGGCCTGATAGTGGTTAGGTGGTAGATCACTTTTGAAATGAGGGATTTTGGAGGATATAGCACATATAGGTGTGCTTTGAAGGAAGGGTAAGATTTGTGTAAGGAAAAGAGGGTGTGGGTAGCAAGGAGTATGTTCACTGTCCAAGCAAAAACATTGAGATACTAATTTTTATAGAGAACAAACTGTGGTTTGATGTGATAGGGAACAGATGAAAAGAACTGCTGCTTGTTTGGTCCTCATTTTCTTTTTCACTTTTCTACTTTCCATGGACTTATTACCATGACTTTTAAACTTAAAAAATTAAAAAATTTTTATTTCCATGACTTTTGAGTAAGCATGCTGTTCTGTATTGTTTTAGCATCATTCTTTGCCAGGGACTTCTTAACTTCCAGACTTCTTCTATGAAGATTTTATGAAATTTGAACCAAATAATATACACTGTTTAAAAATATGCAGTTGTTTCCTCAGTGGCATTAATGATGCTTTTGGCAGGTGGTGGGTGTGTCTGCTGTTCTGGGTACAGGATTAGAAGAACTCTTCGTGCAAGTTTCCAGTGCCACAGAAGAATATGAAAGGTGAGGATAAAAGAACATTTTATTGATGGCATTCTTAGTTACTCACAATTCTGATATGACAGCAGTTTTGTCAGACAAAATGTTTTGGTTTTCATGTTTGTATTATATTTTCCATGTAGATGTGTACCGGGTCTCATCACATTTAGGGTTAACAAGTACCCATTAGTTTAAAAAAAAACAAAAAAAACCCCCACAATAATATAAAATCTTCACTTTATTGAATGATGAAGAACAGGAGTCATCAGGTATTGTAAAAGTCAGATATTAAATATTTTTGGCTTTTGGACTGTAATAACTCTATCATTGTAGTGCAAAAGCACCTATAGACAATTCCTAAACAGTTGAGTGTGGCTGTGTTCCAATAAGACTTTATTTATAAAAATAGACAGTGGGCTGGATTTGGCCTGTTTGCCACATTTGTTGACCCCCGATTAAGAACATAGACTTTGGAGTCAGATAGACATGAGTTAGACTTCTTTTTCCTGCGTTTAATAAGTGAGTAACTGTAGCATTTATTGTTAAGGTTGGTCATTGTGAGGATTATTTGAGATTATTTGAGATGATAGACCTAAAGCACCTAGCATGATTGCCGACACAATGAAAGCATGTTTCTTTATAAATGATTCTTATAACTGTTGTTGTGGTTAATACTGGAGTTCCATTTATCTAAAGGAAAGTGGAGTCAGAGCACCTATACACTTCCCTTAGGTCTGATAACTGGCTGCTTTCTAGCAAGCTTCATACTTAGTACGATCCTAGTAGCCACATTATTATTTTCAGACATTATTTTTTGTTCATCAGACAAGCGTTGTGGGTTTTTTTGTTTTTTTTTTTTTTTTGCGAGTGTTATCAAAGCCTCAGGATAGACTCTTTTCTGTATCCTTTCATTGTTGCCCAGATGAATGACATAATTTATATACTGGGCTTCCTGAGTAGGCCTAGCTTCTTTTACTCATCATTTAAACATCTTTTATTCATGTTCATCCAAGTGTATGATGAACTCATCAGTCATGGTCTCTCCAGAGTTGGATCTTCCCAGCTCAGCAGTCAGTCTTTTGTCTCTGCTGGTTTCAGGGTGGGGGGCATGCACCTTGCTTTTAATTCCTTAGGGATAGAGTCTTAGTGACTAAGATTTGTTACATCTGATGTTTGGTGACATAAGATCTTTTGTTATCATCAAAATACTAGGAAAATAGAGGTAACATGATAAATTATTAATCAAAGGGATTTAGAGTGTTTTTCTTTCCAGAGAGTATCGTCCTGAATATGAACGTCTGAAGAAATCACTGGTAAGATAAGAGGCTGTTTGTGTTTTAGGGCTACTAAAAAACAGTCTCAAACTATGTCCTAATCCTTCTATCGTAAGTGATTTTGTTTTGGTTTATCCTTTAGATACTTGTAACGGCTTTCCTTGTAGCTCAGCTGGTAAGGAATCCGCCTACAATGCAGGAGACTTGGGTTCGATCTCTGGGTTGGGAAGATCCCCTGGAGAAGGGAAAGGCTACCCACTCCAGTGTTGTGGCCTGGAGAATTCCATGGACTGTATAGTCCATGGGGTCGCAAAGAATCAGACACGACTGAGCGACTTTCACTTTCACTTAGATACTGGTGAAGGATACATGTATCTTTTAGATATAATGTATCCTTTAGATACTTGTTAATTTGATCTGTAAATTTGTATGTATGCTGTCTGGATGCAGAAAGACCTTTTTTTCTTCTCTAAATTTGAAGTAATAAAAATCAGGTTTATCCTGTTATATGTGCTGAGCCCTTCTAGTGCTACACCTCTACCCTGACTCCAAGGTCCATTTAAAGGCTGTTGTAGAATTTTGTTTAAGAACAGAGAGGTAGTTCATAACTCTTACCCCAAATGATCAGGTGTCCTGTCCCCATTGGCTCCATTGGACATCTTATCATTCAGCCTTCCTGCTATGTATACTTGAGGGTTCTTTTGAAGATTCTGTGTCCAGTTTCTGAAACCTCTCATACAGTCTGTAGAGCCCTTTGGAATGAATTTATACTAATATGGGCCCACACTGCTTAGTGTTTCTGTCATTCATCCTTTATTTCCCTCATTGTTTAAGTAGCCTCTAGTATTTGTATAATTTGTCATTTCCATTAGAAGTCTGGCATCTAACTTGGGCCTTCTTTTTTAATATAATGACATATTTTTCTATGTATAATAGGCCAGTGCACAGAGCCAGCAGCAGAAAGAACAACTGGAACGCCTCCAGAAAGATATGGGCTCTGTAGCCTTGGACACAGGAATTGCCGCAGGTACTGGAGGGTCTTCTGGTGTTAGGAACTAAAAGAAGGGTACAGTTATCTCCACTTAGTAGTTAGGTGTTTGGATTTAAGGGAGAGAAAGAGAAAAGGATAAAGTAAATGTGGTATTTTATATCTGTCTATCAATTTAGATAAATCCTAGATCCAACAAGTAATTGGCCACCCATGTTTCCCAACTGAGCTTTTTTAACCTTTTAGGCTCCTGAAGAGGGAGTGGTCGTGACATCCCATGGCCTTAGGTTACATGGCTTGATGTTAGGTTCTCCTAGAGACCATTACCTAACAAGCTGAATCCTCTGCTCAGGACTCAAGCCCACTTGATTAGACTTTCTCCTGATTATTGGAGCTCAGCCCTTACTTAGTTTCCCTGTGTAGGGAGCTTACTTCTATTAGTATATTCAGTTTTACATTTTTTTCTCCTATTTTTCTTTTAAAATTAATTAATTTAATTGGAGGCTAATTACTTTATAATATTGTAGTGGTTTTTGCCATACATTAACACGAATCAGCTGTGGGTGCACATGTGTTCCCCATCCAGAACCCCCCTCCCACTTCCTTCCCCATTCCATCCCCCAGGGTCATCCTAGTGCACCAGCCCTGAGCACCCTGTCTCATACATCGAACCTGGTCCAGTGATCCACTTCACATATGATAATATACATGTTTCAACCCTACTCTCTCAAATCATCCCATCCTCATCTTCTCCCAGAGTCCAAAAGACTGTTCTTTACTCCTGTGTCTCTTTTGCTGTCTCACATATAGGGTCATCATTACCATCTTTCTAAACTCCATATGTATGTGTTAGTATACAGTGTTTGTGTTTTTCTTTCTGACTTACTTCACTCTGTATAGTAGGCTACAGTTTCATCCACCTCATTAGAACTGATTCAAATGCACTCTTTTTAATGGCTGAGTAATATTCTATCGTGTATATGTACCACAGCTTTGTTATCCATTCATCTGCTGATGTACATCTAGGTTGCTTCCATGTCCTGGCTATTGTAAACAGTGCTGCGATGAACATTGGAGTACACGTGTCTCTCTTAATTCTGGTTTCCTTGGTGTGTATACCCAGAAGTGGGATTGCTGGGTCATATGGCAGTTCTATTTCCAGTTTTTTAAGGAATCTCCATACTGTTCTCTGTAGTTGGCTGTACTAGTTTGCTTTCCCACCAACAGTGTAAGAGGGTTCCTTTTTCTCCACACCCTCTCCAGCATTTATTGCTTGTAGACTTTTTGATAGCAGCCATCCTGACTGGCGTGAGATGGTACCTCATTGTGGTTTTGATTTGCATTTCTCTGATAATGAGTGATGTTGAGCATCTTTTCATGTGTTTGTTAGCCATCTGTATGTCTTCTTTGGAGAAATGTCTGTTTAGTTCTTTGGCCCATTTTTTGATTGGGTCATTTATTTTTCTGGAATTGAGCTGCAGGAGCTGCTTGTATATTTTTGAGATTAATTCTTTGTCAGTTGCTTCATTTGCTATTATTTTCTCCCATTTTGAAGGCTGTCTTTTCACCTTGCTTATAGTTTCCTTCGTTGTGCAAAAGCTTTTAAGTTTAATTAGGTCCCATTTGTTTTTCTTTGCTTTTATTTCCATTACTCTGGGAGGTGGGTCATAGATTTATGTGTGATTTATGTGTGATTTATGTCAAAGAGTGTTTTGCCTATGTTTTCCTCTAGAAGTTTTATAGATTTATGGTCTTACGTTTAGATCTTTAATCCATTTTGAGTTTATTTTTGTGTATGGTGTTAGAAAGTGTTCTATTTTCATTCTTTTTCAAGTGGTTGACCAGTTTCCCCAGCACCACTTGTTAAAGAGATTGTCTTTTCTCCATTGTATATTCTTGCCTCCTTTGTCAAAGATAAGGTGTCCATAGGTGTTTGGATTTATCTCTGGGCTTTCTATTTTGTCCCATTGATCTCTATTTCTGACTTTGTGCCAGTACCATACTGTCTTGATGACTTTAGCTTTGTAGTATAGTCTGAAGTCAGGCAGGTTGATTCCTCCAGTTCCATTCTTCTTTCTCAAGATTGCTTTGGCTATTCGAGGCTTTTTTTATTTCCATTACAAATTGTGAAATTATTTGTTCTAGTTCTGTGAAAAATACCATTGGTAGCTTGATAGGGATTGCATTGAATCTATAGATTGCTTTGGATAGTATACTCATTTTCACTATATTGATTCTTCTGATCTGTGAACATGGTATATTTCTCCATCTATTTGTGTCATCTTTGATTTCTTTCATCAGTGTTTTATAGTTTTCTATATATAGGTCTTTTGTTTCTTTAGGTAGATTTATTCCTAAGTATTTTATTCCTTTTGTTGCAATGGTGATTGGAGTTGTTTGCTTAATTTCTCTGTTTTCTCATTGTTAATGTATAGGAATGCGAGGGATTTCTGTATGTTAATTTAATATCCTGCAGCTTTACTATATTCATTGATTAGCTCTAGTCATCTTTTGGTGGAGTCTTTAGGGTTTTCTATGTAGAGGATCATGTCATCTGCAAACAGTGAGAGTTTTACTTCTTCTTTTCCAATCTGGATTCCTTTTATTTCTTTTTCCTTTCTGATTGCTGTGGCTAAAACTTCCAAAACTATGTTAAATAGTAGTGGTGAGAGTGGGCACCTTTGTCTTGTTCCTGACTTTAGGGGAAATGCTTTCAATTTTTCACCATTGAGGATAATGTTTGCTGTGGGTTTATCATTCATATATAGCTTTTATTATGTTGGGGTATGTTCCTTCTATGCCTGCTTTCTGGAGGGGTTTTATCATAAATTCTCCTTTTCTTGAAAAATACTCAGCTCCTCTGTCATTTCACCTTCTGTTCTCTTCAGACCGTCTCTGAACTTAAATTTCCATCAGGAAGTTTCCTGATCACTCCACACTTTTATGCTGGACTTACCAGCACACTGGGTCTGCTCACATGTCTTTAGCCTTCATAGGAAAAACCATAGCTGCTTTCAAGCTGAGAGCTAGTAAAAACAAATGACATTACTACTAAGACAAGCTTCTTGAGAGTTGAGTTTTTCCTCAACTTAAAAATGAGACCTCTTGGGTTACTGGCACTTTGTGAAATAAACTAGTGTAGAAATGTTTAATGGTATGAATAGTACATTTAAAAGAGAGAAGATCCTGCATTTTATCATGATCACTTTCATTCTGCCAATTTTTAATCATAGTTACTTACTGATTCAAAATTACCCTTTTGAGGAGGCCTGTGTTCCTGATATGCTGCTGATAGTATTTTACATGCAGGGAGCTCATCTCCTGTGCTGGACCCTTCTGATTTGATCCTGACTCGGGGAACCTTGGATGAAGAGGATGAGGAAGCAGACAGTGATACTGATGATATTGACCACAGAGGTGAGAGGTGGCTGAGGTGACTCATGATTAACAGAACAACTGCTTATCCTCTCATTGTTTGCCTGGGAGCTTTCTGTTATTGAGAGACTTTAACCATGCAGCCAGTAATAGCGGGGAGAGGAAATGGTAAAGGATATAGCACCAGGAAGGAGTTCCATACATTGAGAGTTCCTGGCCTTCCACAAGAATGGTTAGTACTGAGCTTGATTATGGCCTTTTCTTAGTCTTGTGTCTTCTCATCTTTAGGTCCTAACTCAATTTTGAGGAACCCAGGATTGTTTATTATAATTGTTTTAAGAATACAGGAGGCCTTAGTGAACCTAAACTGGTCAGAAGGGAATGTAACATTGAGGAGAGAATGGCTTTGGAAACCCTAAAGGGTTTTATGTGGCATAGTTTTATGGACTGTGGAGAGAATCTATTTCTTGAAACAACCCTTTTAGGTCCTTGCTGTGCTCAAGGGTAAACCTCTATTTCAGTGTGCTGGATGCTAACATGTAAATTGCCTCATTTAATAATATTTATTGAGGTATAATTTACAAACAATAAATCCCACCCCTTTAAAGTGTATAGTTCAGTTCATTTCAGTTCAGTCACTCAGCTGTGTCCAACTCTTTGCAACCCCATGGACTGCAGCACACCGGGCTTCCCTGTTCATCACTGCTGGAGCTTGCTCAAACTCATGTCCACTGAGTCAGTGATGCCATCCAACCATCTCATCCTCTGTTGTCCCCTTCTCCTCCTGCCTTCAGTCTTTCGCAGCATCAGGGTCTTTTCCAGTGAGTCCATTCTTCGTATCAGATGGCCAAAGTATTCGAGCTTCAGCTTCATCATCTGTCCTTCCAATGAATATTCAGGGTTGATTTCCTTTAGGATTGACTGGTTGGATCTCCTTGCAGTCCAAGGGACTCTCAAGAGTCTTCTCTAACACCACAAGTATATAGTTAGATGAATTTTAATACATATAGTCTTGTAGTAATTACCATCATAAGCAAGAAACAGAACACTTCCATCACCCTAAAATTTTGCTCATGCCCATTTTTATTTAGTCCCTTCCCCTACACCAGTTCCTGGCAACCACTTATCTGATTTTTGTGCCTATGATTTTGCCTTTTCCAGAATGTCATGTAAGTGGAATCACATATTTAACTTGACTTTTTTCATAGTGTAATGCTTTTGTGATCCTTCCGTGTTATTGCATGTGTAATATGTTTTTTTAAAATTGCTTAGTAATATTCCATTATGTGAATGTGCCTTTGTTTATCCATTCACAAGCCAATTGACATTTGGGTTGTTGCCAGGTTTAAGCTGTGGTAAATAAATTGCTATAAAGATTGGTTAATAGGTTTTTGTGTGGACACAGTTTTCATTTCTCTCAGTTAAAAATATGTAGGAGTGGGACCTCATTTTAGTTACTTTATGAGGGAAGCATCTCCCCACCTATTGGTCAAAGAAATTGTACATTTTGGGCAACATGATAAATAGAACCTGCTTTTAGGAAATACTTCCTTATTGGGAGAAGTGAACATGTAGTGTCTTAGAAAGCATACAGTTGACTCTTGAACAACTCAGGGACTGGGGTACCTATTATCCTTGGTACAGTTTTTTTTTTCCCCCCTTGGTACAGTTTTAACAGTCCTCATATAACCAACTTAGAGTTGGCCCTCTGATTCTGTGATTCTGCATTTGTGGATTTCATCAACCGTGGATTATATAAAACTGTATGTTGTATTTACTACTGAAAAAAGTTAAGTGTGTAAGGCGACTCACCCAGTTCAAGCCCATGCTGTTCAAGGTTACATGTACTATTTCTTATGGATGGGAGACAGTGGCTCTAATCCACCTGTCTAATGGGGAGAGTTTGAAAATAACTCAACTTCTTTTTTCCTTATAGTTACAGAGGAAAGCCGCGAAGAGCCAGCATTCCAGAACTTTATGCAAGAATCAATGGCACAGTACTGGAAGAAAAACAACAAATAGTTTCTAAAGTTCAAAATTTTGGAACTCTGCGTGAAGGACTATCTTTATCTCTGACTGGGGGCTACAATCTATAAAGGATGGTTTTGTTCAGAATAGCAGTTTGTCTTACTAGTGAAACTTTCTGACTCCGATGAAGCCAGGAATAGATTATTTGGACCTGATTACCATTGGCCTTCCCCTTGGATTTATGCAAGGAAGCATATTCTGTTTTTGGACACTGATATCCCTTTGAGCCTAAAACCGTAAGTTGTTATCATTTGAGCTCACATACTTTTGCTACTGATGGATGAAACAGAGAACTTAGTAGGCTGGATCTCTAGCCTCTACTTCCCGAGCATTTGCCTTTGAGCTTGCACCATGAGTTCCCTTCCTTTTTAGCAGAAAGGGTGAGAGGAAACAGGAGCTTGTCCAGAATAACAGTGGAGTCTCCTTGGCAACCAGTCAATGTTGGTATGAAATGTGCCTCCCACTGGGGAGCTCATTATAGAGCATCAGGTTCACTGAAGAAAGTGGGCAACATGTAGTTATTAAGAATTCTACTTTAGATGCTGGCTTGGATAAAGAGTTTTAAATTTTCACTTTGTTGTAAGCCTGCTTGTCATCATTTTAAGTAAGAAAATCGTCACAAATAGTCACTTCAGTTCAGAAGAGAGATTTTAAGCCACATGATGTTTATTAAAGTTCTGTGTACACACCACACCTAATAACGAGGTATGAAGCCAGGCCCTGTTTGTATTGTACTTTAATGAAGTGTGTCCTTCCTTAGTGATTTACTCAAAGGACATGGGTTTGGGTCAGGTGCACATTCCATGCATAATAGCCCTGGTAAGGGTTTGCTTCGCCTCCACATTCTTCACAGTATCTTAAAACATTATTTCTCTTAAGAAATTTTATTCCTGCCTAACCTGTATTTCAGTTCAGTGGTTCTCAAAGTGTGGTCTCTGGAACAGAAGCATCAGCATCATCTGGGAGGTTACCAGAAACGGGACATTCAAGACCAAAATCAGAAACTGGGGGTGGGGCGTGGGGCCTAGCAGTCTGTTTTAAAAAGGCCTCCAGGGGATTCTGATGCATGCTAAGTTCAGAACAGTGCTCTAACTCAACAGCCTATGGCATAATTCCAGACCAGGTGAATCTCAGGTATCAATGCTCCTATGACCTGCTTTATCAGAGTACCCGAACCTTGGCCATCTAGTGCCTATTCTCCAATTTAAACCTTCTAAAAATAAAAATATTTTGTTTTACATGAAGTATTAATTTCAATACTGTGTAACTAATGGGAACCACGGGTCTAAAAACTTGAACTTGTTCTTTTAAGAGGGAACCACTTGCACAGCAAACCTGTGCATACCTGTTTTTCTCCCTAGTGCCTTTGAATACTTTTTCATTAAAGAGGAAATCATCTGGCCTAAGCTATAAGCTCCATAATGACAGAGACAGTCTTACTCATCTGTGTATTCTTTGCAAAGGACCCAGTATATAATGGGTACTCAATAAATGTTTGCTAAGTGAACCAACTAAATACTAAATGGCTACTTTCTGGAAACTGACCACCAGATGTGTACTTTCATCAGTAAATAAGGGGAAGTGAAGTGAAGGGAAAGTTGTTCAGTCCTGTCTGAGTCTTTGCGACTCCATGGACTACAGTCCATGGAGCTCTCCAGGTCAGAATACTGGAGTGGATAGCCTTTCCCTTCTCCAGGGAATCCTCCCAACCCAGGGATTGAACCCAGGTCTCCTGCATTGCAGGCAGATTCTTTACCAGCTGAGCCACAAAGGAAGCAAATAAGGGGAAATGAAGCTAAACCTGGAACAGGAAAGGTTTAAACATGCCAAGGATGTCCAATTAGCAGACTTATAAATGCTTTGGCAACAGTTTAAATCATAACCTTATTTTGTTGCTGTTGCATTCATATTTATTCCCAGTACCTGAGACATTTAAGGCACTCAGTGATATAGGCCTTGATTTCTAGTCTACTAAGAGTGTTCTAAATTTCACAAGACTTGTATTCTGCACCCCCGAACCAAACTTCAGCAGTACTTAACTTGCACACATTTGCTAATTACTCCTGATTATTCCAGTGCTACATCAAGTACTTAATAAATAATGATTGACACTATCAGATGCCAAGTAGGGCAGATACTGTGATGGATGAGTAACAGCAGTCAGGTTGTTCAGGACATGATGTAAAGCAGAAAGGTGTATACTGTTAGCCTTTTAGAGGCTGCCCATCCAGTAGAAGCACAATGTGCAGATGTAGAATTCTGGTAAAGGAATGGACCACTGTCCTCTGATGGCCAAGCAGATGCAACAAGTTAAACAGGCACAAGTCTGTCTATGGACAGGTCCTGTTTGCTTCATTCACAAAGTGAAAGTGTTAGTCCCTCAGTCATGTCCCAACTTTTTGCGACCCCATGGACTGTAGCCTGCCAGTCTCCTCTGTCTATGGGATTTTCCAGGCAAGAATATTGGAGCAGGTTGCCATTCCCTTCTCCAGGGGATCTTCCTGACCCAGTGATCAAACCCAGGTCTCCTGCATTGCAGGCAGACTGATGAGCCATCAGTTAGTTTCATCATTCAAAGAGGAGAAAATGAAAGGAGCAACTGAAAAATGTACATGCTGAAAATACTGGGTTGCCCTTGTTTGGGTTTTTGTAAAGAATATGGAAAAGCCTGAACGAACTTTTTTGGCCAATGCAATGTTAAAAATCTGACTGGAAATAAAGAGGATTAGAATACCTGGACTAGGTCTAGAGAAGGAAGAAGAAAAATATATGGTTGAGATAGGAGAGGGCTATTTGGATAAGCAAAAACGCTGTTCATAGACTGCTCTGATTTCATAGGAGATTCTGTGGGTAGCAGAGACAGTTCGAAAAAAAGACTAGTGATAGATAAGCTGTGCAATGTTGAGCTATTTCCATTGAATTCCCAATGACTTGAACCAAGAATGAAGCAAGTTAAAAGAAAAAAATTGACATCTGATATCAGCATATATGTGAGTCTGTTCAAGCACAGCTGTGAAGCTTAATAACATCTTCATCTTCATAATATCCCTGCAGTGTAGGCCAGACCCAGTGTGATTCTTAGTTGTGCAAGAGAAACAGCTTGAGAGAAGCTAAGTCACTTGACACATGGTAAAGACAAGTCAGGGACACTGTTTTGGTCTCTGGATCACCATCCCAGTATGATATCTGTGAAAGGTGGCTTGGTTGTGGAAAACAACAAAAACTGGATGCAAAAGGTAAAAGTAAACTTATTTGGTTAAATCCAGCTCCACTGATATCAGGAAAACCCATTGTGTTTAAGAGTTCAATCACTATTTGTGGAAACAAATAAGAATTCACCAGAGTTTCTGTTAGGTCTTCTAAGTCTGGAGAGGTCTCCCTCTTTGCCTTTTATATTTTCCTCATCCTCTTTTTGCAGCGTTGGTTGAAAACAGGGGAGGAGCCCATGAGGCTGTCAGTGGAGTGGGAGCCATAGCTGCTGTCTGAGTCATCAGGGCTTTGGGGGATCCCAGCTTCACTCATGCCTGACATCGGCTCCTCAAACACATCGCTGCCCAGCACGCCATGCCCAGAGACGTTGCCTTCTTCACTTTCTTGAGGCTCCATTTTCACATGGGCCAAGTTCCAAAAAGGGGAAGCATTTACCTCTGTACCTGGGGATGGAAAAGAACACAGAACTAACTAGCAGCAAGAAAGGCTGGAACAAAGCAGGTGGCATACATCACCCAGGGCTGGCTGATGGCCTTTGAACTCAGTTTTCATTCTGATTCTCTACTTGCCTAGAGAATATGGTGGTTATTCTCTGCTCAAAAAGTTACCAACTTAAAATATCTTCTTTTCCACTTCCTCCCCTTCCTTTACCTTACCTCATCCATCTCCATTTCCCCTAAACCAGGGAAAGTAAAGCTATGCAGGTGGAAATAGTCACGGTTCAAAGGCAGGCACAACCATGGGTTCCTGGGCAGTGTTACATTTGCCTGTCCCTTTATTGGGGCTGTCTTGTTTTTCTGCCCTGTGTTTGGCTCCCTGGTTCTCTCTCACATTATGAAGTTAGTGATCACTACAAAACGGTGGCAGCAGTTCCCAGACTGCTGAAAAGAGACATGACCCTGATGTCTGAAAGAATTTCTTTCTGGCTCTCCTGCCTCTGTGTCTTCTAGCAAAGCTGTTCTGTGGTTATTATGTCTTCCATAGTGAAAGGCTCTCTGCCCAGTACTTTGAAAATGTGCCCTAATTCTGTTTAGGCCACACTGGAGCACTGGCTGTTTGCATCATTAGTTCACTGATGACATAATTTATATTTCTAAAGAACTGGGACTTCCCTAGAAGTCCAGTGGTTAAGACTTCCACTTCAGGGGGCTCAGGTTTGCTCCTGATCAGGGAACTAAAATCCCACATGCTGTGTGGTGCAGCCAATAAATAAATAAATATATTGTAAAGAACTGAGCTTCTAGAGTTATTTGCAGCCTTTTTGACTTAGGGATCATTGAGCCATCTGGTTCTGAAGGGAATCACAGAGTCTATCTGGAAGAAGCAGCCAGCTGTCTATAATTGAGTTGCCCTATTTTAATCCTTTCAGGTTCAACTTGTTGGTACTAGTGTGGCCAAGGAACCCCAACTATTCAAACATCCTTGAGCAATTAACATTATTCCACCTGTCTGGAAGTTGCCTTAATTAACCCAGCACAAACATTGGGAAAGACCAGAATACAGAGAACAGGAGGCCATCTGTCCACCTAGCTGGGTCGGCTGAATTAACTGTCATCAAGAGAGTAACAGCAAATTTGGAAAACTCAGCAGTAGCCACAAGACTGGAAAAGGTCAGTTTTCATCCCAATCCCAAAGAAAGGCAATGCCAAAGATGTTCAAACTGCTGCACAACTGCACTTATCTTACATGCTAGCAAAGTAATGCTCAAAAATCTCCAAGCTAGGCTTCAACAGTACGTGAACCATGAACTTCCAGATGTTCAAGCTAGATTTAGAAAAGGCAAAGGAACCAGAGATCAAATTGCCAACATTCATTGGATCACTGAAAAAACAAGAGAGTTCTAGAAAAACATCTACTTCTGCTTTATTGACTACACCAAAGCCTTTGACTGTGTGGATCACAACAAACTGTGGAAAATTCTTAGAGATGGGAATACCAGATTACCTGACCTATCTCCTGAGAAATCTGTATGCCAGTCAGGAAGCAACAGTTAGAACTGAACATAGAACAACAGACTGGTTCCAAATTGGGAAAGGAGTATGTCAGGGTTGTATATTGTCACCCTGCTTATTTAACTTACATGCAGAGTATATCATGAGAAATGCTGGGCTGGAGGAAGCACAAGCTGGAATCAAGACTGCCAGGAGAAATATCAATTACCTCAGATACACAGATGACACCACCCTTATGGCAGAAAGCGAAGAAGAACTAAACAGCTTCTTGATCAAAGTGAAACACAGTGAAAAAGTTGGCTTAAAACTCAACATTCAGAAAACTAAGATCATGGCATCTGGTCCCATCACTTCATGGCAAATAGATGGGGAAACAGTGGAAATAGTGGCTGACTTTATTTTTTTGGGCTCCAAAATCACTGCAGATGGTGACTGCAGTCATGAAATTAAAAGACGCTTGCTCCTTGGAAGGAAAGTTATGACCAACCTAGACAGCATATTAAAAAGCAGAGACATTACTTTGCTGACAAAGGTCCATCTAGTCAAAGCTATGGTTTTTCCAGTAGTCATGTATGGATGTGAGAGTTGGACTATAAAGAAAGCTGAGTGCTGAAGAATTGATGCTTTTGAACTGTGGTACTGGAGAAGGCTCTTGAGAGTCCCTTGGACTGCAAGGAGATCCAACCAGTCCATCCTAAAAGAAATCAGTCCTGAATATTCACTGGAAGGACTGATGCTGAAGCTGAAACTCCAATACTTTGGCCACCTGATGGGAAGAGCCAACTCACTGGAAAAGACCCTGATGCTGCAAAAGATTGAAGGCAGGAGGAGAAGGGGATGACAGAGGATGAGATGGTTGGATGGCCTCACTGACTCAATGGACATGAGTCTAAGCAACCTCCGGGAGCTGGTGATACAGGGAAGCCTGGCGTGCTGCAGTCCATGAGGTGCAGAGAGTTGGACACAACTGAGTGACTGAACTGAAGAGAGTAACATTGCATCTACATCCTAACTAGGAATAATTTCAAAGAATATCTGTAAAGCTGTGCTAGTTCCCTCTTCACCAATTAGGAAGAGAATGTTGGTATCTCCAGATCAGTGAAGCTATATTTCTTTTTAGACTTTCCATTCCCCTGCCCATCCCTACTTTTGCTCTTCTATCTCCAGACTGAGTCTAAAATGCAAGAAGTACTGAGGCTAGCACATCTCTCAGAATCAAGATGGGTAGGTTGTTCTCTCTTACTTGAAGCCTGTGGTGAAGCCTCGACCTCCAGGTTAGATGGGAAGCGCTCGCTCTGAGCCCCGAGGACTCCCATGGGCAGCGACTGGTCTCCAGAAGCAAGGTCGGCCTCCAGTTCTTCACTGACAGGAAAGGTGATGTCGCTCACAGGTTCCTCCTTGATCTTGACAGGCTTCGTGTCCTCTGTGGCCTTCTCAGGATTGACGATCCTCTCATACTCTTCAGAGAGCTGCTTACTAATCTGTTGGCAACCAAGAGTCAATTTTCCAAAGGAATGTTAAATTGGATAGTCAGTTTGTGGCATCCAATGGAAACAGAATATGAATACAAATAAAGCATCACTGCTAATGGGAGGAATTTGAGTTGAAATTTATAAATGACAGGGACATGTAAAGAAAATTTGTTTGGCAGAGAACGTGTATGTGATTAATTAAAAGGTACATAAAGGTAAAATATTTAGATGTATTATATTGGCAGAGAATGTGTATGTGATTAATTAAAAGGTACATAAAGGTAAAACATTTAGATGTATTATATCAGAACTGGGACGAAAGGTGACATTTTTGGCTATAAAAACTAACATTTGACATAAATACAACGGGTGGCTAATGAGCACTGTAGGACATCTGGATCACTTAGCAAAGCTGACTGGGTGTTATGAATTCCTTATATTTCAGATTTGGGGAAACCAAAACAGTAAACAAAATGCTTAAGGCCACAAGGGAGGGAGAGATTAGATAGTTCTGGTTTTAACAAAAAACGGTGTCTCCCCCACCACACTCTACCTTTGAGGGCAGTGTCATCTCACTGTTTTGCTCCTGGTTCATAACACTTAATGCCATCTGAAATGATTCTGATCATTGTTTACCTGTTTTTGTGTCTCTCTCAACAAGAATGCAAGCTCAAGAAACTTGTCCTATTCAACTGCTGAATTCCACAATAGGCACTCCACAAATATGTGTTGAATAAAAGCAGGCTAGCCACATGCTATAATTTCACTGCCTGAAGAAGAACCCTGGGTCTGGTCAGGTCAGTGTGGGTCATAGCCGGGTCCAAGAGGAAAGCCAAGTTAAGCTCACTCTATTCCAGGCCCCGCTCTCTGCACCCTAGGGCAAGTGTTAGGGATCCCGCCTGAACATCCCCAGATCACACATCCTTGTGCATCCCTCCTCGGGATCCTCTCACCTGTAGCATGTAACTGTGATAGTCCTTGATGCGGTGCTGCCAGAATTTCTGGAGGGAGAGCACGCTGCCGATGCCCACTTCATGGAACACCTGCTCCATCACGTCGGGGAAGGGAGTCTGCCCCAGCCGGGCTTCCTGATCCACAGCAAAGCGCAGCAGCTTGGTGAACTTCAGGCAGTACTCGTGTGCCACATCAGTCAGGGTCTCCAGGACGCTCTCATTAGCACACTCAAAGCCCGCGTGGGCCAGGATTGTGGCCACTGCCTGGTAGAGGAGCTGTCGGCAGGAGTGCCAGCTGAGTTCAGTCACAGGCTCCCCTTTCCCCCTGAAAGTGGAGACATGATGAGTGTCATTGGTTCTCTTGCAAAGGGGTGACCTGTCCTGTCTTCCTAGGTGGTTTACAATCCTAATTAAACACCTGGCTCAGTTTTCCAGGAGAATTTTAGGCAGGTTACATAGCCTAGTTTTACCTTGCTGCCATTTCAGGGCATGTCTCAACAACCCACAGTCATATCCCTGAGTGGTTCCAATTACATAAAGCTTGCATAGGTTATATGTGTTTATAAGTAAACAGTATAAAAGGGTATCTACTGAAAAGTAAGTTCCCATATTCTTGTATCAACTGCTGATTTTGATCACTTTTAGGATTTGATTAATTTTAAGAGCATAGCTCAATGGTGCACATTTTCAGCATAGTATAGGTTCCTCACATGCTGGGCAATATATGGACCTCTAGAATTTAACTACAACAAACCGTTTGTAAAATAGGAAAGCAATTCAATTTTATAAAAGCAGTTTAAAACATATATTGCAAAAAAAAAAACATATATTGCTTACAAGTGACAGAGAATGAGATGGTTGGATGGCATTACCGACTCAACGGACATAAGTTTGAGCAAACTCCGGGAGATAGTGAAGGACAGGGAAGCATGGCTTACTGCAGCATGGGTCGCAAAGTCAGACATGACTGACAGACTGAACAACAATCGCTTACAAAGCATTTTTATCCTACTTTATGCTGTGAAATTGGTAGGGGTCCCTATTATTATTCCTATTTGGCAGGTGAAGAAATTGAAGTTCAGAGGGGGTGGTTTGCCAAATGTTTTTTGGTAATATAAAGTAACAGAGCTTCTGACTTTAGATCCTGTGTTCTTCACAATACTCTGTTTTCCACCTAATCATTGTGGCAAAAATCCTATCTTTCTAAAACAAAACAAAAAAACTTCAAAAGCTGTCTAATTTCCTAAAAGTAACTTTTAATGAGCTCCTAGTAATTTACCTGGTCTCCTGAAATTTCCTATCTTCTGCCTTCCCCTGACAAAGGAAGTAAATAAATAAAAATAAAATAGGGTACAGAAGATGACTCTTCCCTGTCCACACTTTGCATGTGTCACCCCGTGCTTGCTGTACAGAGTGCCTGAGGAACTATTCACCCACGCTGCTATGATCTGCTCATTAGCAACTACTGCAATTCACCTAATAATTGGAAAATAAGAAAAGCAACTGTCAAGTAATTTTTCATTTACTGTTTATATCATCATTTCCCATGGCCAGTCTCTCTGGATCAAAAGCTAAAGACTTCAGATGTGCCTAATAAACAGAGCTAAATCAATTCTGTTTTACTTAATACATGGACCCATTTCAAAGGAAAATAATTCTTCCTGCAGCCCCATAACTAATGCAAATTATTTTTGTTACAGTCTCTTAAATACATATAAAATAAACTATGTGTAAACATCTGATGGTCACAGAATCTTCCTAATTAAAATTAGAAAACTGACACAAAACTACAAATTCTAAATAACAGCATCAATTTAATATGAGGGACAGTATTATTTTGTTAAAGCTAAGTTGCTCTCAAAATGTAAAGTTGGTACTGATTGCTACAGAGTAAGTGTTCTGAAGTTGGGCACATCTATACCAATATGTGCCAAGCATGTAATGACACATTTCTTATCCCTTTTTCACTATTCCAGTATCTTCAAAACTTCCAATTAGACAACGCACCATGACATCATCTCACCTTAATATGGCCCAACTGCAAACCTTACATAATAAGTCTATTTTTCTTCTTTTTTCATTAGTTTGGGACAATTAAAATAGTAGCAATTATCATCATCAACAAGCAGATGCAATAAGTGATGCACAACACAATTAGTTATGAAGCATTTTTACCAAACATTTAATCTGAATCTTATCTTGAGAAAATAATCAGCAAATCCAGTCTTATTTGGAACAAATGACCTGAACTCTTAAAAAAGATTAATATCATGTATTATAAAAGGGGGAAGTTATTCTAGCTTAAAAGACACTAAAGAGGCAGAGAAAAACAAATACTGTATGATATCATTTACACATAGAATCTAAAACAAACTAGTGAACACAACAAAAAATAAGTAGACTCACAGATATTGAGAACACACTAGTGGTTAACAGTGAGGAGAAGGAAGGATGGGGCAAGATGGGGTAGATTAAAAGGTACAAACTACTATGTATAAAATAAATAAGCTACAAGGATATATTGTATAGCACAGGAAATATACCCAATATTTTATAATAACTTTAAAAGGAGTATAATCTATAGAAATATTGAATTAGTGTTGTACACCTGAAACTAATATTGTAAATCAACTATACCTCAAAAAAAAAAAAGACACTAAAGAGGTATAACAATGAAATGGAATACATGGTCTGTATTAGGTCCAAGACTAGGGAAAAACATACCTAATAAAAGATATTTCTGGGACAACTGGAAAAATCTGAATACAGATGTATTAAATGATAGTACTTAAGTTGTGTTCACTTTGATGTGATACTGGTTATTGGGATTATGTAGGAAATTTATTTTTAGGCTAAGGTGAAGAATTTAGGGGTGAAATACTGTGACATCTACAACTCTAAAAGATTTGGCAAAAAAAAACTGTATGTGTATATGTATACATAAATGTTTATATATTTGTGAGTAAATGTGTGTATACACACTTATACATATGTGAGAGAAAGTAAATGTAGTAAAATAATAACAATTGTTGCATTCAGGTGAAGGGTATTTGAGTTTTTGTCATTCTATTATTTAAACTTCTCTGTAGGTCTGATGAATTCAAAATGAAAAGAAAAAAGTACTTATTTGGCATCAAATGCAAACTTTCATACTGAAATCCAGGAGTAGCACTAGCTTTTAAGGCAATCACTCAGCGGATCTGGAGCAGGCCTTCTCAATTGAAATTATGTATGAATCTCTGGAGATCTTGTTAAAATGAAAATTCTGACTCAGGAGGTCTGGGTGAGTCTGAGACTCTGCATTTCTAACAACCTCCCAGGTGATGTTGATGTTGCTGATCTCAGATCAGATTTTGAGCAGCAAGGATCAGGAACATTGTTATACTATTATTTCTCGAACTGGGTTATCAAAATGAAAATACACCATTAAAAAATTCTTGTATAGAACTCGTGGATTCCTAATAGTAAGAGAATAAGTCCATAAACCTCATCTTGAGGACAATGAGCTAAACCCACAGTATGTCTTTTAATTAACAAGAAAAACTAGATTTGGAGGACTATGAGACCACGGCCTATTTTACAAACCAGTGTAGTACTTTGCTCCTGGTAAAGTGCTTGGCATATATTAGGGACTCAATAAATATTTGTTGCATCAGAAAATAAAAAAATACAGACTCTGGAATTAGAAGAACATGGTTCAACTCTTAGACTTTCCACTAATTACCTGAGCAACTCTGGCCCAGTCATTTACTCTCATCTTCAGTCTCCTCCTGGAAATGTGGTAACATGCTTAACAGGGCTGTTGGGAAGATTTTTTGAGAAAAGTAACATAGAGCAAAGCCTTGCCTTACCGATAAAAGTCACTCTCTGGGTCACTGTGCCGGACCTGGAATGGTGCATTGGGATTCTTACAATCTAAAGGAAGGAGATCATCAGGAAGAGGAGGTGACCCAGGGCAGGAAGGAAGAGGTTCACTCTCTTCAGTCTTTACACCTTCTGTCTGTTGCTGATTCTGGGCCTGTGCTGTGGCAATGAGGTTACGCAGACGTCGGTTGTGCTGGATCAGCTGAATGGTGTGGATAGTGAGGCTGCAGGGCTCTGAGGGGATGTCCAGCATAGTGGGGGGCTTGGGCTTGTTGGCTGAGGGTTGGTGCAGAGGCGGGTCATGGACTTCTACCAGTCGGAACTCCCGAGGGAGCAAGTCAAAAGAACTTCTGTTGGTCTGGCTTGATGAGATTGGTATCTCTCCCCAGTATCTCAACATTTTGGAATTACAAAGGAAGAGCTCCCAAGTTAAATGTGGATGGTATCCTAAAGGCAGTGTTTTAAAATCTCTAGCAACTGCAGGTTAAGGGCTTCTGTAGTGAAGAATACGAGGTCTAGCCAGGTATTGACATAAAAACTAGGCAGTTCAAGACCACTTAGAAAAAGTCAGTGTCAGCAACACTGTTGGACCAAGGACGTTCTTCCTGAAGAAATTAAGAGAAATATAACTGTTAATATCACAGTCATACACTGTGACAATTCCTACTGGACTGAACCACAAGGTAGAGTCTGGGTCTTTAGTAGACTAATAGCTGCAAGAGTATATAAGGCTATAGTGTCCATATTTTCCAACTCACCCCACTAACTTATTATCAATCCTGAATGATTTGCAAGGCAAGACACTTAAATGAGACCTGGAATATTTCTCAGAGTATCTTGACACATCTCTCCTAGATCTGCAGGAGAAAAAGGAGTAGAGTTAAAGATAGGAAAAGGTTCTTCTTCTTCTTTTTCTTTTGCCATGCCATGCAGCCTGTGGGATCTTAGTGCCAAGCCCTAACCACTGGACTGCCAGGGAACTCCTGAGGTGGTTATCAATCTGTGAATGCTTCCCAGGTGGACTAGTGATAAAGAACCTGCCTGCCAATGCAGGAGTAAGAGACATGGGCTCAATTCCTGGGTCAGGAAGATCCCCTGGAGAAGGAAATGGCAACCCACTACAGTATTCTTGCCTGAAGAATCCCACGGACAGAAGAGCCTGAGGGACTACCATCCAAAGGGTCGCAAAGAGTCAGACACCACTGAAGTGACTTAGCATGCATGCATATATGCCAAGCATGGGAACCTTTAACTAACCCTAGTGGGAAAATTTATGAACCACTATCTTAAACAGTCTTATGCATTCAACTTCTGACACTCATAGGGAAGAATCTCAGATATCTGCTCTCTCTTAAATAATATCCCTTCCTTTAGTCTTTCCTTGTATCAAATCTACTCCCTACAGTGATGCTGTGCTGTGCTTAAATGCTCAGTCATGTCCAATTCTTTGTGACCCCATGGACTGCAGCCTGCCAGGATCCTCTGTCCTTGGGATTCTCCAGGCAAGAATACTGGAGTGGGTTGCCATGCCCTCCTCCACCGGATCTTCCCAACCCAGGGATCGAACCCAGATCTCCCGCATTGCAGGCAAATTCTTTACCAGCTGAGTCACCAGGGAAGCCCAAGAATACTGGAGTACCCTATCCCTTGGCCAGGGGATCTTCCCAACCTAGGAATTGAACCCTTGTCTCCTGCACTGCAGACAGATTCTTTACCACAGCTGAGCTACCAGGGAAGTCTCTATAGTGAGGCCAGACTTAATATTTTAGACTTAGACCTAATGACTTCCCATTGCCTACTGGAAAAACGTCAGTCAAAATTTTTTGATTTTCCATTTAACACCAGTTACAGTCCAGCTTCAACTCACCTTTCCAGATTCATTGCCCATATGTCTCTTCAAATTCAATAAATATTTATCAAATGCCAAGTGTCATGTGAGGAGATAAAGACTAATTCAAGGTTCTTACCCTGAGGTGAGGGAGAAAAACATGAAAAGAATGTTTCAACATTAAAGTGTGTGGTCAGTGCTGTTCTAGAGACACAGACCAAGTTCAGCGAGAAAACACAAAGGAGGAACTTCCTGAAGAAAGTGGCCACCTTAGTTCCAACAGTATCAGAATTCTCTGGTTGCAAATGCCATACATTTTCACAGCTTAATGACGTGGTCTCTGCAGGCAATGCCTTGCTACCCGCCACATCCCTGGCAAACCTGTGTTCATCCTTAAGTATGATTTAAGTCACCACCTTCTATCACCTCCCCAACACATCTCCCATTGTTAAAACGTCTCACAACACTTCATATGTCTCCATCACAGCATTTATCCCTGTATTTAAACTAGTACTTGTTTCAATTTTATTCTTCCATCTGTCTCTCACAGCTGTGATCTTGGAGTCTAAGATTTGAGTGCCTACTATACATGCCAGGCTTTGCCTCTACTGTTAATTCAATTCTTCCAACCTTTCTATAAGTAGATATCATTTTTTTTTTAAAAAGTAGATACTATTATTACCCCACACTTCAGACACGGAAGCTGAGACCTTCTGTCTTGCCTAATGTCAGAAACAGCTGAGAGGGAAGATGGAGATGGTCAGGCTCCAGGGTCTGCACTCTTAACAACTACACTATGCTGCCTCAATTGGTTTTGAAAGAATAAAAGAACGAACGAATACATGAATGAACCAAGTGACAACAAAAATCGCCCTCTCCCCTAAATTGACCCAAAGGAGCAGGAAGGACAGGCATCAAGCACAAGCAATGCCCACATCCCTACCAGGGCTCCTCTCTCACCATCAGCAGACTCGGGCGCCAGTCAGTGTCCTGGGGTCGTTTAATGCTGGGGCAGCCCAGACACAGGGAGATCTGGACCCGGACCGAGGCAAGGAGGGTCCACAATAGACTGCCACTTCGCAGGTACTGGACTTGGCGGCTCATCGGCTCCAAGAGGCCTGAGATAAGGTTCGTATCAGGTCCGGAAGGCTGGTGTGTTGACCGGCGGTTCAAGGCTGCCGGAAGCGCTTCTTCTCAATCAGGTTCTGCTGCAGGAAGTCATTACGACCTGGTTGCAACCTCTAAAGATGTCCCCATTCTGACAGTACCCGGACCGCCTTTTTCTGTTTTCCTCTTACTACAACTTCCAGGGATAACTCGCTTCTTCATAAAGCTCTGGGTCGTAAAGGATCAACTCCACTATCGCTGCTAGAGAAGCGGCTGGGGGGCTGGGGAGAGAGAGAGACGTGGAGAGGAATGTAGAGACCCGAGGAGGGTGAGGTTTCCTAGGGACAGATTTTGAGGCTGCTCCCGATTGAGGATGGCTGATAGTCCCTCTCAGTCCGAGCCGCTGGCTTCGCCGGAACTCAATGACGACTTCAAGAAGCCAGCCCTGCCGGTGCCCTCGGCGGCGCAGAGTAAGGCCCCGGCCAACAGTCCTCCAAACCCGGAGGAGGTGAAGGAAAGGCCCACGGCGCTGCCGGACTCTGATTCCGGGGAGCCTGATGTCCCGCTGGCCCTGCCGGACAGCGGGGAGACTAGGGTTCCAGCGGAGGAGCAGCCTCGGCCCCACACGGCGGCTCCTTCCCCTGGCGGCCCGGCCCGGGCGCCCCCTTACCGAGAGCCGCCGTGGGGCGGCCCCACCACGGCCCCCTACAGCCTCGAGACACTAAAAGGAGGCACCATCCTGGGCACCCGGAACTTGAAAGGACTCAGTTGCTGCCTTTTCGGGAGGCTGCCTAGCTGTGACGTGTGCCTGGAGCATCCTTCGGTGTCTCGCTACCACGCCGTGCTGCAGCACAGGGTGTCCGGCCTCGATGCAGAAAGCGACGGCCACGGGCCTGGCTTCTATCTCTACGATTTGGGAAGCACCCACGGCACTTTCCTTAACAAAACCCGCATCCCACCCCGCACCTATTGTCGGGTCCACGTCGGACATGTTCTTCGGTTTGGAGGCAGCACCCGGCTCTTTCTTCTTCAGGTAAGTAGAAAACCCTAGAATTGAAATCTCTAGAATTGAAAAAAACCCTACAACTGAAATCACCCGGCTGCGTTCCTGAGCTCCTTGTTTTTCCTGAGAAAGGAGATTGTCCTTTATGAAAGTGCTGGAATCTGGGTCCTCATCTCCAGACGTCTGGACGCATTGCCTTGTTTCTGAAAGTGACTTTAGCCATCCTAAACTCTAAAAGAATTCTTTCGCTTGATTCATCAGGGACCAGAGGAGGATCGAGAGGCAGAATCCGAGTTGACAGTAACGCAACTGAAGGAATTGCGCAAGCAGCAACAAATGATGTTAGAAAAGAAGATGCTGGGAGAAGACTCAGATGAAGAAGTGGAAATGGATACCGCTGAAAGAAAGAGAAATACTAATAGTCAGGACGATGAAATGGGCTGCACCTGGGGAATGGGTAAGGCATTAAAACTGCTGCCTGAGGTTAATAAATTCGTTTCTATTGGTACAGTTAATTTTTAAAACTCATGCAGCTTTCGTGACCCTTTGAGAAAGATAGGGCAAATACAGTTTGCACATAGGTTACCAAAACTTAGATTTATTAACTTTTCTGATGCCAAAAAACTGAATTATGGATCCAATTGATTTATCTTCTTGTGTTTTACAATGCACTCCCTTGTTCAAAAGTCTTAGCGTATGGAGAAGGAAATGGCAACCCACTCCAATGTTCTTGCCTGGAGAATCCCAGGAACGGGGGAGCCTGGTGGGCTGCCGTCTATGGGGTCGCACAGAGTCGGACACGACTGAAGTAACTTAGCAGCAGCAGCAGCTTTTCTTCTATTGTGTACAGAAAACAGTAGTGGCATCATTGAATATGTTTTTTTCAGAACCATATGTCTGTAACATTAATACTTCCTTTTAAGACAAATATAAATTCAAAAGAGATTTTATTTAGAGAAACTGTTCTAATTAAAATTGTTTTCCTTCACACTAAGTTAATATTTAGATTCATAATTGTTGAGAGAAAAGAATTCACTGTAAAATAATGCCAACCTATATAATGCTGTAATAAATTATTTTATACTTAAAAAAAGTCTTAGCATATAGTTTAACAATTAAAATTTATTTCATTAATTAAGTACTGACTATTGCTAGAGGGAGTGAGACTACAATTAAATAAAATGGAATGTTATCTAATATAGGAGTTCTGTCAAATTTTTTGTACTTTGTGTAAACATCCTGAATTGTGAAATATCTAATCAGAGGGATAAATTGAATTTTCCGTAACACCAGACATTTTGGCGGATAGGTATTCAGGAGTGGAGTCTGAAAAGCTGGATGACCTTAACTGTGTTGTGGGGAAGACAGATAAATCTTATGAAATTACTTGTGGTAAGTGCCAAACAAAAGCTGGAAACCACTAGTATGCTGGAGTGAGGGTTCAGAGAAAGGAGCAGCCCCTGAGTACCTAGACCTGCACTATCCAGTATGGTCATCATCAGCCACACTTACGGGGTGGCTAGTCCAAACTCACATGTGCCGTAAAGGTAAAATACACACTGGGTTTCAAAGACTTAGTGTGAAAAAAGAATGTAAAATATTCATAATACTTTTATTTTGATTACATGGTAATTTCACCTGTTTCTCTTACATTTTTAATGCGGCTACTAGAACATGTAAGATTGCATATGGCTTTCATTATAATGCCTGTTGGGCAGCACTGACAGAACTTTGGGACAGTGTATAAGTTTATAAACAGAAGGGTTTTAAGCTGGAACTTGAAGGAAAGGAAAAGAAGCCCTTAGGAAACTGAGCATTGGGACGGTGTCCAGGGCAGGGATTGATGATTTTTAAGGAAGTACTGAGTAGATCAGTCTGTTGGTGGACATGATAAGTATTAGGAAATTATATTGAAGACAAAGTATAAGACATGGCTGTGAGAGAATGAGAATGCGGGACTGAGGAGTTTAGATTTTTCTTTTTTTACATAGAGAATGTGGTAGGCGGTCTTGCTTTTAAAATACATATAGTGATGGAGAAAAAAGTAAGGTGCCATGAAAACAAGTTTTAACTTGTCACACAATGTAGAAACCTGAAGATGTTCAGACTGATGGTTTTGTGCTTGTTCTTCCCCACCCCCACCTTTCTTTTCATCGCTGGTAACTGTATCTTTGTGCAGCCTAAAAGGATAGTGAGTGCCATTCAAATAGTCTCTTATGTCTGATTGGCATTGCTTTCTTTCCTGTATCCTGTAGGAGAAGATGCTGTCGAGGATGAGGCTGAAGAGAACCCCATTGTCTTAGAGTTTCAACAGGAAAGAGAGGCTTTTTATATAAAGGATCCAAAAAAGGCTCTCCAAGGTTTTTTTGACCGAGAAGGTATGTATACAGATTCTGACCCTGCTGGTAAAAATGTATCCACAAGAGGGTGCTTTTCTAGATCTTCAACTACTTAGAAATGCTTTATTTTATCTAATGTCCTCCTTGTTCAGTTCTTGCCTGTGTGGTCAGTTGCTTCAGGTTTGTTTTGGAAATTGTAAAAATTCTCTTAGTCTTTTTTCACATCTTGGAAAAAGGAAGTACTTTTTTCTAACTCACCTCCTTCTGAGAAGATGCAGGATAGGGGTGGTTGGGAGACTGACCCATTTGTTACAATTTCTTTGTTTCTGATTCCCCTGATCTTTTGTCATTCTTAACATGGATTTCCACTTTATGTGATTTAAAGAATGTTTCCATTAAAAAAGTAATTAAAACTGGAATAAAGCCTTTGAGATAATAATTACAAAAAGAACATTTCTGCAGAGAATTGTTTCAGTGGATATGCTTTTAGAGAACATTTATATGTTTGTGTGTGTATGAATATAAATATATACATATGAACTGTTTGCATTCTTCACTTAATAGTTACACTTCTAAAAACTAAGCAACTGTGACAAATTAACATCAAGTCTACAACTTATAAGTGTGAGAGCTTCTATTTAGTGGACAAACCTGTGTGTAGAGACTTGATTGTTTTGAGTTTGTAGTTCTCTGTCTCAAGCTCGTCCTAATTTTATTATCAGATAATAATTCCTAGGAATAGGAAGTGAAATGCTTTGAAATTTAGTGTTCAATGTGGTTTGAGACTTTGTATTCTTATTCAACCTCTGCTCTCTTTTCCCTTTGTATCAACTAGTAATTTTCAGATGCTATTAAAATTGTTTTGCCTTTCTTCCTCCCACAGGAGAAGAATTAGAATATGAATTCGATGAACAGGGTCATAGCACTTGGCTCTGCAGGGTGAGGTATGTTCTTTTCTCAGTAACATCCATTTCTGGAAAGTGGCTAATTTCAAGTTTAATTTATGGTTACAGACAACAACCCAAGGGGCAATTTTAGTCTTTTTGAGACTATTCATGAATTTGGGGATTGATAGTTTAGTAACACATTGGGGTTATAGAGGGATGGGTAAAAGGTGTAAGGAAAAGAATTGAAATCCAGCCTTGGCAAGATAGAACAAAATGAACTGAGATTAAAAAGCTATCTCAAAAACATGACTGTTATCATAAAATATTAATGTTTTTCATGAGACTTGGAGCTTAGTTCTGTGCTTAAATCCCTCCCATACCAATGCAGATTACCTGTGGATGATTCAACTGGAAAACAGCTAGTGGCAGAGGCCATTCACTCAGGAAAGAAAAAAGAAGCAATGATTCAGTGCTCCCTGGAAGCTTGTCGAATCCTCGATACTTTGGGATTGCTGCGGCAGGAGGCTGGTGAGTATTCGGGGACTCTTTTTCCCTTTTAAAAAAAAGATGGATAGAAGGAAAATTTAACACATAAAGTAATAAAACCTCTTTTTAGGGGAAAAATACAAATTGTACAGAATTCTATGAAATGAGAAGAAAAACATTCTCTATCTCTTTAACCAAAGTTAACCTTTGTTTTGGAGAAGGAAGTGGCAACCCACTCCAGTACTCTTGCCTGGAGAATTCCGTGGATGGAGGAGCCTGGTGGGCTGCTGTCTAGGGGGTTGCACAGAGTCGGACACGAGTGAAGCGACTTAGCAGCAGCAGCAGCAGCAGCAGCAATATTTATTTATTTATATTCTCCTAGACATTATCTATAGACATATGTTCAGAACTAAAACCTTTAACAAAATACAAACACTTATAGCAAATGCATTTATATTTATGCTCTTTTGTGACTTTAAAAACAGTTTATTTATTTTTGGCTGCACTGGGCCTTTGTTGCTATGTGTGGGCTTTCTCTAGTTGCAGAGAGTAGGGGCTACTCTCTGGTTACAGTGTGCGGGCATCTCATTGCGGTGACTTCTCTTTTCTGCGGAGCACCGGCTGTAGACCGATGGCTCAGTAGTTGTGGCACATGGGCTTAGTTGTTCCATGGCATGTGGGATCTTCCAGAACCAGGGATCAAACCAGTGCACCCTGCATTGCAAGGTGGATTCCTAACCACTGGACCCCCAGGGAAGCCCCTTTTGTGACTTTCTAACATAAGAATGTATCATGGATAGTTTTTATATTGTTGTGTTAAATTTACCTTATTTTGGTAATTTTTATATCATTGCATTAAATTTACCTTATTTTTTTAAAAACTGGGTATGTAATTATTTTTATTCTGAAGTTACTTTTTATTATTGCAAAGTAAATTACATATACTTTAAAACTACCAAGGTCTTACAACAGAATATACCTGTTCTTGTCCTGCCCCTCTCCAGTCTTCGACTCTAGAAGGTCTTTAACTCTTTGAATTATTTCTTCTGGCATTTAAATATATCCATATGTCTAATCCAATATCTTATAATAACCTGTAAGGGAATATAACCTGCAAAATAAAAATGAATTACTATGCTGTATACCTAAAACTAATGGCAGTATTATAAATCAGCTATACGTCAATAAAAAAATGTTTAAAAAATTTCATATTTCTAAAAAACATGAGCATGCTATTATATTTTTAGTCATGTAAACATTGACTGTAACAAGTATTTAATGTTTATAAGGTTATGTTTATGCAAATATTAATCACAACTGAGCAGTTTTGTTTTGTTGTTTTTCTTAGAGTTAATAATTGTGTTTGTGTGTCATGTGTTTGATTTTTTTGGTACCTCTTTCTCATTCTTCCCACACATTTCAATAACCTTCTAGTGTGTTTTTCCATATGGTCAATTACATTAAATAATTTGTCAGTCCTGATTTTTTGGGAGACATTTCTCCTGAAGAGCACTCTTCTTTTAAGGAGACCCCTGCTGCAGAACAGTAATCTAGGGCTTCATTTGCTATCTTCTTTGAGATTTCCTTTTTTTTTCTCTAGGGTTGGATTTTCTGTTTCATGATTCTCATATTTCTTGGTTTATTTCTTTGTTTTAGTGAAGCACATCTTTCTGTAGTTTTGGCAGGTTAGGAAGCTGGTACCAGCAATAAGGGCATGGGTGGTAATAATCTTCAGTGGAGTTCACATCTTTCATTTTTCTTGCTCTATTGTTGTTTTGGTGGACATCCTCTAGTAGATTCCTAGGAAAGGATAGATAGCAAGTCAACTTTATTAAACTCTCCACTCTGAACATAAAGTTATTCTGACTTTACTTTTGGTTAATAGTTTGACTGGGAATAGAACTCTAAATTGGAAGTAATTTTCCTTCACAACTTGGAGGGTATTGCTCTTATATGACATCCAGCACTGCTATTGAAGTCCTAAACTATTCAGGTTACTGATCTATCATATGTTATCTTTTTTCCCCTCCTCTCACTAGAAGTTTGTAGGAGTTTCCCTTTGTTCTTAAGGTTCTGAAACTTAACTATGATGTACCTTTCTGTGGGTTTATTTTTGTCCATTTCCTTGAGTACTTGTTGGATCTGTTTGACCTGGAAATCTGGACAGTTCAGGAACATTTTGGGAATTGTGCCATTCCCTCATTTTATCTTTCTGTTTTCTCTGTTCTCCGGAATTTTGTTTGTTAGATAGTGAACCTCTTGGGCTGGTTGTCTATGTTTCTTTTTTCCCTTCTCTGTCCTGTTTCTGTGTCTCTTTTGTTCTTTCTGGGATATTTCTACAACTTTCTTTTTGTATTTTGCTATCAAGATTTCAATTTCCAAAGCTCATTTTGTTCTTTGGATATTCATTTTTAAAACGTAATATGCCATTGTTGTTCATGGATTATTAACATCTCATCTCTCTGCTAATCTCTTTTCTCCAGGTTGTTTTTTCTGTTTATTTGATGTCTATCCTGCATGGTAGAGGTCTTTCTCAGGTGTCATGTAGTTCTTAGTTATAAAAACTGCTTGGGACAAAAAAGATGATGAGCAGCTTGGAATATATAGATGGGGCTATTTAAGTTTGAGTAACACTATAGAAGGATGTGGGTGGGCGTTTTTCAGGGGAACTCCTCATGTAAGTATCTTTAGATTTTCCTTTTTCTGCTGGCAAGATTCCCCAAAGAGTACTCCTCAGTCTCCTGCATGAAGGGAGAGGACTGGCTGCCAGCATTCCTGGACCTGTGTGGTAGAGATAGCTGAGCATGTTCTCAACATTTAGCCATTTTCAGGACAGTGCTAGTTTTTGAACACAGTACCCATGCCCTCAACTATACTAGTCAATCCATAGTTCAAAGACTTTCTATCTTAAACTCTGGGTTTTTCCTGGAGATGGGAAGGAGATGAGTAGGTGGGGTGGATGATCTGTTTCTCTGTCAGCTTTTACTCAGGCCTCTTTATTTTGTCACTGCTATCCAGCCCCAGTTCTAGAGCCTTTTGAGGATTCTGTAGTGTAATCAGATCAGTTCTGTTTTTCCCCCCTGTTGGGTTAGGATCCATTTTTTTTTCCTTTTTTTTTTAAATTTTGCTAAGTTAGTTTCCACTCATCTGTCTGCTTTCTATTTTCCAAAAATTTGGTGGTGTTGCTGTCCCCATTCCTGTTCTTCCTGTCTTGTAGATTAGTGTCTTTAAAAAAAAGATCTCTTTGGTGCAGTCTTAGTGGGGTATGGGGAGAGAATGAAGTTAGATATGTGTGTTCAGTATACCATCTCAACTTGGAAATTACCAGGTTTATTATTAATAAGGACTGTTTTGTTTGCAAATAATAGAAACCTAATGAAAACTCACATGGGGAAAAGGTTATTGGCTGCAGAAGCTGGAAAGAGTAGCTCACAGGATTGAAGAAAGAACTGCATGAACCAGGACTGCAAGTTCTGGAAGCAAAACTTAGTGCTGTGAAACCAGAACTCGGTATCGTGAGGACGTATGCAACCTGTATATGTGTATCTCTATTTCTGTCTCATGACGCATGGTTTTATTTTGCAGAGAGATTATAATCCCATAAGGAAAAGCTGGATGCTTACAGCCTGTCTGTAATAACCTCATTGGAAAGAGAGCCTCTTTTTTTCCTATATCTAAATATAACTCTGGGGGAAAGATTCTCATGAATCTGGTGTGGTCACATGACTATACCTAATCTAGATGGAATGGGAGAAGAATTTTCTAGAGAAAAGGGCATTTTTACCACATCCAGGGGAGTAAGATGACATAGGATAGATAGAAACATAATGGCTACCATAGTTCCCTGCTGATGGACTTTCTAGATTTTCATTGTTACAATGTTGCATTGATAAATATGGTATAAATTCCTTATAAATAGAATTGCTGGATTATTTGCATCTTTAATGTTGATGGATGTTGTAAGATTGACCATCAAAAACATTGTGTCAGTGTGCATTCCCACCAACTATTTGAGAGTCTGTTTCCCCATATCCTTACCAAGTGAAAGTGTTAGTCACTTAGTTGTGTTTGACTATTTGTGACCCCATGGACTGTAGCCCACCAGGCTCCTCTGTCCATGGGATTCTCCAGGCAGGAATACTGGAGCAGGTTGCCGAATAGACATTATTATTCTTTTTATGTTCTTTGTAGTCTAATATATGCTTCCCTTGTGGCTCAGCTGGTCAAGAGTCCGCCTGCAATGTGGGAGATTTGGGTTCAATTCCTGGGTTGGGAAGATCCCCTGGAGAAGGCTACCCACTCCAGTGTTGTGGCCTGGAGAATTCCATGGACTGTATAGTCCATGGGCTCGTGAAGAGTTGGACACGACTCAGTGACTTTCACTTTCAGTCTAATATATATGAAGTGGTATCTCATTATTTTAGTTGGTGTTTTTTAATTGTTAAAAAAGTTTGACATCTTTTTAAATGTTTGTTGGCCATTTCTATTGCTTTTCTGTGAACTGCTTTGATTATTTTCAAGATTTTCTTTTGGATTATTGGCCCTTTCCTCATTTATTTTTTTCCTTTTTCACTAATTGATTTTTGAGAGCTTTTGCGCATTAAATAAATTAGCTCTTCCTTTATTTATTTATTTATATTAGTTGGAGGCTAATTACCTTACAGCATTGCAGTGGTTTTTGTCATACATTGAAATGAATTAGCCATGGATTTACATGTATTCCCCGTCCCGGTCCCCCCTCCCACTTCCCTCTCCACCCCATCCCTCTGGGTCTTCCCAGTGCACCAGGCCCGAGCACTTGTCTCATGCATCCAACCTGGGCTGGTGATCTGTTTCACCCTAGATAATATACATGTTTTGATGCTGTTCTCTTGAAACATCCCACCCTTGCCTTCTCCCACAGAGTCCACAAGTCTGTTCTATACATCTGAGTCTCTTTTTCTGTGTTGCATATAGGGTTATCGTTACCATCTTTCTAAATTCTATATATATGTGTTAGTTTACTGTATTGGTCTTTATCTTTCTGGCTTACTTCACTCTGT